CAATTTGATTGGGATTTGGCTAACGGGTTTTTCTCTATGACTACTGGAACGCGCGTACAGATCAGGACAAGATACCGCTGGCCATGATCCAGACGATGCGAAAGCTGAAGTCGGGCTACATAAATGGCACTCGGGTGATGCTGGGCAATCTGAAGGACTTTCTCAACACCTCGGCGATTACTGACTTGAGCTTCTTGGGCAGCACCGAGGATGGCTATCCGGATCGACTTCATCCGGACGTCCAGACCTATTTGGATGAGCATCTGCTGCGCTCGTTCAGCAATCGCAGCACCATGAATCTGCGCGGCGGTCAGCTGCGTCCGCGACATCTGCGCCGACGCATGTCCTGCAAGGGCGCCATCAAGAAAACGCGTTCCATCAATGTGGACTGTGAGTGTGCTAACGAGATGGTTGCCAGAGATAATGATCTCCTATTCTAATCATTGCTTTCTCTCTCTTTCCCCAGCCGATAACTTGGGCATGGAGGGACCGACGCCGCTGACCGAGCGTCGTCTCTCATCGATCGTGCCGCCGCCCTGGCTGCAGCCCAACAAGCAGGGCCACGTCAGCACCTTTGCCACCACGCCCGAGGAGGGACCCACCTCGCCGCCGCAGCTGGGCGGCGATCTGGGACTGCGCGAGAACATCTATCCCATGGATCCACAGCATAGCCGCTCGGCCATCGATCGCCGTAGCGAATTTGTGCGCCAGCAAGAGAGTTAGTCCTCGATCCAACACCAATTTTCCTTTGTTTGTGTTCCCCATTTTGATTTCCCTTTTTCTTTATTCTTTTTCATTTCGTTTTGGTTGAAACTTTTGCGATTTGTTTTGTTTGCACCACTTGATGAAATAACTAAAGTAACTGTGCCCAAAATTCTCATTCAACGCCATCGCGTGGACACAAACTTTGCGGACACAGAGGTGGACGAGCTGATCGCGATGCTGCGCGAAACCGAGAATCTCGAGGAGCAGGGCGACATTCTGCAATATCTGGTCGATACTCAAGGCCTCGACTTCAACACTGGTAAGTAGTCGAACCGAGGCACACACAACACACAACACATCACTCATCAGACACAACACGCACAAATCACTAAGCTGTAGAGATGTCGATTTGCAAACGGGTTAACATTACCGATTCACCCGGTTCGAGGATTACTGAATGCTGAACCGCACCTATATAGCACTGCGGGAACTCACACACACAGATATATACGCACACACACACACACGCATATATTCTATAGGTATAGTTTAATGGAAGCAAATTGCTGATTTTTGGATTTTTTGTGCTATCGAGCAAGCGTGGGTGGTTCAATGAGTTTCTCAGAGACTTTTGGGTTTGCTCTACGATTTCACAATGCAGCATTACCAACTGATCATAGATATGAATATATTATCTACATTCTATATAAAATTGTAAAAATTAATTATTTGAATTCGATTTTTGTAAGAAAAAAAAACATATTTTCTGTATTTATTGAAATTGTTATCCAGCAAATTGTGAAATCGATAGCAGATTGATCCTAATGTCGATACTTATCGACTTAATTCACATTTAACTGTTTTGTGCGTTCGTTCTTTGTATATGTGCTTTGTGCTCTCGTTCTTGTCCACACTTCACATTCGCATTCGCATCGGCATCGGCATCGGCATCCGTATCCGCATCCGCATCCGCAGCGGGTCTGGGCTTAAGGCACAAAACTGATGACAATGCCGCTGGTAAGTGTTGAAATTGAATCCTTGATCCTTGATCCTTGGTGTGCTCTATGTATATTGGGCTATTTGTTTGATGTTGTTGGTGCTATACAACTGTTACCCTACCCACCTCCCAATTCCCACTCCCAAAAAACCATTGGCATAGCATATCTAGTTATATCCGCACACCTTCTATTAATTATCTATTCTATTTGAGACGATGCTGTTCGGTTCATTTAACGTTCTCTTTGGTATTCTGGTAGCACAGTTTCATTTAAGTATTCAACTCTCTCACTGTTATACTCCCTATCATGTATGCTCACCTTATCGTACGAACTGTTATAACTCTTATACAAGCTGGTAGAGACTCTTATACACATCGAATACGTCATGTTGGCTTCGATCTATTTGATATTGCTTTTCATTTGAGAATTGATTTATTAACAAACTTTATTTTATATATTTTATTTTCAATGCACTCTACACACGCCCACTCGCACACACGCACACACTCCATGTAAATGTAACCAACAATTATAACAATACGCTTCATCTGCTCTTCATGCCATTAACGTGAAATGACTTACCAAAAACTTCTCTGCATTACCAACTACCACAACTGATCCACAATGGCCCGTGAACCTAACCCCCACAACCGAATCCAACTAACCCACAAACTAAAAACAAATAAAATATAAAAAACACACATAAAATGAAAAAGAGCTCGAGCAAGCGTTCGTGGACGATGTGATGCTCGAGTTGTCAACTGCTGGTGGTGGTGGTGGTGCTGCTGCTGGTGCTGGTGCTGGTGCTAGTGCTGATGCTGGTGCTGGTGGGTGCAAGCGGCCTTCGGCCGTGGTTGTGCCTACAGTGATCATCGATGCCACATCTTCCACACCCACAGCAAGCAGCGCCGCTCAGGACGAGGACAATGCCAATTCGGCCGTAGTTTCAGTTGCCGCCGCCAATAACAGCAGCAGCAGCAACAACAACAGCAGCAGCTTGAATAACAACGATTCTTCTCAATCTGAAGGCATGCTGGAGGAGGGACGTGTGGTGACAATTAGGGACCTACTAAAGGGCCTATACGAGAAGGCCTGCCAGGAGAAGCTCTGGGGTCTGGTGCGTCATACAGCCGGCATGCTGGGCAAGCGCGTCGAGGACCTGGGCAAGGCAGTCACCGATCTGTTGGTGCGCCAAAAGCAGGTCACCGTCGGCATGCCGCCCAACAATGAGTACACCATAACGGCACCCTTGCCAGAGGTTGAGCTGCGTCAGCTAATACACGATGTGGGTAGCCAGCCATTGGCTTCAATTGCGTCCCGTATACTAATCCCGATAGTTGCATGTTGCAGGCCTATGGCGATGATGAGAGCACAGCGATGCTGACGCAGGAGCTGATGGTCTATCTGGCCATGTTCATACGCACTGAACCGCAGTTGTTCCACGAGATGTTGCGCCTGCGCGTTGGCCTTATCATTCAGGTGATGGCCAAAGAGCTATCGCGCACGCTTAACTGTGGCGGCGAGGCCGCTTCGGAGCATCTACTTAACCTTTCGCCCTTCGAGATGAAGAACTTGCTCTATCACATACTCAGCGGCAAAGAGTTTGCGGTCAGCAGTGGTAAGTGCAATCCTTTAGGCCTTGGGCTCATTCTCATCCGATTCCTATGCGGTTTGCAGTGGCCCGTGGTAATCTGTCTATTGTGAGCTGCAAGTCGAGTCGGGTCAGCAAGAAGAGTCAAATCGGACTCGGCGATCCGGAGGGTGAGGATGCGCTAACGGCGACCATTGATGATCGCCAGGGCCAGTGGTTGCGCCGGCGCCGACTCGATGGCGCCCTGAATCGCGTTCCTCGTGATTTCTACTCGCGCGTGTGGACCGTACTAGAGAAGTGCCAGGGACTGGCTATTGAAGGCCGCGTCCTACAGCAGAGCCTTACCCAGGAGATGACGCCGGGAGAGCTGAAATTTGCCTTAGAAGTCGAGACGGCACTCAACCAAATACCACAGCCGGAATACAGACAGCTGGTTGTCGAGGCGCTTATGGTGCTAACCCTGGTCACCGAGCATAATATGGTGCCCTCATTGGGGGACATCATCTGTGTCGAGCATTTGGTGCACAAGGCGAATCAACTGTTTCTAGAGGATCAACGCAAGGTGCAGGGCGACGCGACGTTGTGCTGTGCCAAGCTCAAGGATGGTAAGGAGCAGCAACAGGCTGCTTCAGGCATGTTGCTCTGCGGTGGTGCCGCCTACATTTGTCAACACCTCTACGATAGGTAAATATCAACAGCATAACTCTGCAAGACGTGTAAACTAAATGAAATTCTTCTTCCGGCGCAGTGCACCTAGTGGCAGTTATGGAACCATGACGTACTTGTCGCGTGCAGTTGCCCTGGTACTGGATTGTGTGCCAAAGCATGGTGAAATGGAATGCGCAATCTCCTAAAGTTTATGTACGATCGCTACACTCGAACTGGAAGCAAGCAAAGCGTCTGTAGGACGACGCTCACTTAATGCCATGTACTGTACTATCGACGACTTACGCTATTATATCTCGCTCTCGCTCTCTCTTGTTATCTACCTATCGCACTATCTCTCTTTCTTTGACTATCTGGCTGTGGACACAGTCTCAATCTCTCTCGCTCGCTTCGTACTTGCGTCTGGCCGTGTATTTAGCCCAACGATATGTTAAGTCTGAGATCCGCCGCGACTCGGCAATGCTGTATATATGTATTTCGTAGACCATCCGCCTACTCAGCAATTTGTTAATGTATTTTTGTTTAAATTCTTGAGCGGCAATCCGGGAGCCAAACACAGCAGCATCATTTTATACTCCCAGCAGCTATCAACGTACATGCGCCGCGAACATTGAATATGTATTATCAAAATAATTGATTGATTGATTAATTTTTACACGCCAATGACAATTGCAGTTCCCCAGCGGGAATTCGAACACGTTTTAAATATGTTTTTCTTAGCTCTACTAAGTTGCAAGTTATTATTGTAAAAGATAAAAAAGAATAAATATATATAACAAGAGTATTTTTTGCAATGTTATTTCCCAATTGTTTTATTTATTATAAAGTTTCAAATAGGAACCAATAAACTGGTTTGTTGGCTACAAAACAAGATGAATCATATAGTTTGCAAGATTCTGCAGTTGGTCCAGCGTTGAGTGATCTGGATCTGATCTGGAATAAAATAAACTTTTTGAAGTTGTGACGATGTCTCTGTATAAATATTTGAAGTCTATATTCTGGCTATTGCCTCCCAACTAAATTTAAAACAAGTTTGAAGCTTTTAGTTTTGTTAAGCATAAATATCATTCTTTTGTTTTTTGTTTTCTTTGCTGTTGTGATTCGCATTAATTTGCGCACATAAAATGTTTACAAAAATTGTATTCATTTACAAGTTGCTTGTAGTTGTTGTTGTTGATTTTAGACATTTTTGAAATGTGTTTTTGTTTTTTAGTTGTTTTTGTTCGTTCCTCTCTATAGTGTTATAAGCTGAGCTTGCGCAACAGTAGTAATCGTGTAACAAAAACAGATTTGAAATAATGTTCACAGACAATTTAGAAAAAGCCAATTGCGTACGAGTGTAGGTGTTTTTTGTGTTTGTGTGTCTTTGTGTGGTTATTAGTTTAAACAGAAATATAAAATTAGCGATGATGTTAAACGAGAGTTCTAAGGTTTTAATAAAAAAAATCCTAGACAAAAATACTTAAGAAGAATCAATGTTTAGCAATAGCCCCTGTCGGGTACACGACGACGAGGTGCACATTTGATGATGTCGTCCACACGAAGGATCATTTCAGCTGCCTCAGCGGCAGACATCAGCACTTGGCGCTTTACGGCGAAAGATTCTGTGATACCCAATGCGCGTACATCGGCAACTTTGCCCTCATCCATATCCAGACCCAGCTGATGCTTGCCCTGAGCATGGCCAGCGCGCAGCTCGGAGATCAGTTGAGCCGAATCGAATCCAGCATTATCGGCTATAGCTGTGGGCAGTGACAGCAGTGCACCTAAAGAAACGTAGATACGTTAGTAAATTACTTTATTTAGTAACTCTTGCTGGTAACTTACGTGCAAAGGCCTCAATGGCAATTGCTTCCTTGCCGGGTGTTTCAGATGCTTTCTTCATGACGGCATTGGCCATCAGAGCTTCGGAACAGCCGCCGCCATAAATTATGCGGGACTCCTTGACGGTGGCTGCCAACACGCAGAGCGCATCGTGTAGGGAACGATCAGCCTCGTCCAGTATCTGTTGTGTGGCGCCACGAATGACAACCGTACAGGCTTCACCCAGCTTAACACCGCTAAAACGCAACAGTGTATCCTCGCCGATCATTACCTGCTCAATGAGCTTACACTCACCAAGCTTGACCAGAGCAGGGTTCTCGAATGTGGACACAATCTCACCGCCGGTGCAGTAGGCCAAACGCTCAATGCCATCAAAATCAGCATGTTCAATGGCCATCACATGAGCATCAGCGAACAGCTGCTCGGGATAGTTATAGATCAGCTGACGATTGATGAACACATTGCATTTGTGGGTCAAAATCTTGTCAACTTTCTCCTTCATCTTCTCCTTTTCGGCCATCTCCAGATCAGCAATCTTGGCCAATGAGTCGACCTTGATGCTGCTACCAAATACTTTAATTTTATCCGTGTCCATTGGTGTGTTGGCAATCAGAATCTTTGCGTTCTCAATCTGAAGAATAAACCGAATCAAACAATGAAATAAACATCTGAACAATTGTGCTCGTTAGTGTGAGAACAAGGTATCTAAGTTCGCGATCTACACTAATAATATACAGCTATATAATTGTGTCCCTTATCTAATAAAAGTTCGCACTTTAAAACTAATTAATTAAAATTGATTCGTTTATAATATTTACAATGAAAAAATTAACGTCTTTCACTTTTTTCTAGGCACTTCAATCGACTTGGGACGAATAATTATTGATTTCATAGTTGAGATAAGTACATTGTCAAAAATGTATCATGTCATAATACGATATCATTACACATCCAAGCAGATTATTATCAGATGACGTATCGTCAGCATGACACACGAGTCCGAGAAGAAGGCTCTATTATTTAATATTTAACTGAACGTATTAGAACGATTGTATTGAACGATTGCAGTTGTTGGCTGCCACATCAAACTCGTCAAAATGGCTGTGATATGACATTCAGCAACATAGCTCACAGTCAATTTGACGCGCAAATATGGAGCATTAGCAGCAGCGTGAAACACACACATACACACACTATCAAATATTTGTAAACCTAGATAATATTGTTTGGCATTATTGAAGCCTTTCACTTACGCGCTGTGGCTGGTGCACGCCGGGCTTTTTGTCCAGCAGAAAGCCGTCATCAAGGAACGAATCATCTAATGTACCACCGGACTTTTTGATAATTTGAATAGACTTTAGTTCACCTGAGCCCTTTAGGCGCAGCACTGCATCGACGGCTAGATTGGCAAAGAAATCCTTATGCTGATGCAGAATCTTTGAAGATAATGTGGTGCGTGCGATATTAAGCAAGTCGTTTTTGAATTTCTCATTATTAGCAGAATTATCCTGAGCGGCGGCTGTGAGTGCCTCGAGAGCCACTTGGGTAGCTGTACGCCAACCAGCTACAATGATCTGTGGATGAATCTTCTGTTCAACCAACTTCTCGGCTTCGCGCAATAGTTCGGATGCCAGCACAGTTACGGATGTGGTGCCATCACCAACTTCTTCGTCCTGGACACGCGACATATCGACAAGAATTTTCGCAGCCGGATTGTCAACGCCAATAGCACGCAAAATTGTGGCACCATCGTTGGTCACCTCCACTTGGCCGGCATTACGTCCGGTGGACACCAAAATTTTGTCCATGCCTTTCGGTCCCAGGGTGCTTTTCACAAGATCACCGATGGCAATAGCTCCAATGAATGACGACAGACGCGCCATTTCGGCTTTTTCCTCTTGCGCCTCATTTTTGAGGATACGCACGGGATTTAATGACATCTCCTATAAAGCATATACATATATTAATATTAATATAATAAATCAACTTTTCGACTTTGTTTATGGATAGGCTGCGTATATATATGCACATCTGTTCCTGTGTGGAAAAGCTGTGCACCTAATGTATCGGACCTAACCCCAAATAGTGCGTGATTCATCGGCAATCAAGCACAGCACACACCCAGCAGCATGCATCTTAAAAATGCTTATTCACTTTTCAAATATGCGGCATAGTTCTTAGCATTCGGCGGCACATATTCCAATTGTTGAAATAAAAATGTAAACATAATGGAAGCTTCTGGAAGCGATGTGCCTCACGTGTGTGCGGTCTTGTCAAGTCAAATGCTTTGAGGCTGATGGGTTTGCAGTCGGTGCGTGCGGCTTTTCACACCCGGCAAATAAAAACGCAAGTTTGTATGAAATTATCAATGAAAATATGAATATTTCACTGCACTTGCATCTATTGTGCTGTAAACTAATTATATTCTTTATGCAATTTTATTTATTTTACCATTTTCGATGCTTATTCACAAGTTTTTGATCACAGAATTCAGAATACCCCACAACGCGACAAAGCGACAAAGAAAATGGCGAACGAATAGGTATGGTTGTTGATGTCATATCGATGTATCGATATTTAAGAAAATTAACTCATAACCTATAGCTATAATGAGTAGACAGCACGAGGTACACGTTACTGTCACTAATTGAGCGGAATATTTAAAAATGTGTGTTGAAAAACATAATGTTCAACAACTTTGTGAATTCGATAATTTATTTTTGAATATAGTATTCAAAGCATAATAAGGAGTACATACTTTTTTTATATTAGTTTTCAAAACGTTGTATTTATTGTCTTTGTTTTCTTATTAATAATAAATAGACGAACATATTTAAATCTAAATATTACACACACAAAATCTTAAAAAAAGAAATAAACACCCAGCATCTGCATTTTGTACTCAACCGAAAATATTTGAATACAAGCTGTTCAGTCCATTGCTGATGGTCGAAAAGATGCCATTGTCCGTAGAAGCGGCTGCAGCATACGGAGGGGCGCCTGGTCTATAATGCTGCGGTACCTGCTGCATTGGCCGGTAGTACGAGGGCCCGCCCGCTCCAACTCCCTCAATGCGCTGTGAAAAGTGGGCAAAAGTGTGTTTAGTTCAGTATTTGACGTACTATTAGCAGATGTTTGTTTTTTATTCCATATTTATTGTCCACATTAAAAAGCCAAAAACCAACATGAGACTTAACAATATTAATAACAACAACACTTAATAATAATTATGGGATTTTTTCTTTGTTTTTTCTTCTTTTTTAACGGATGCACATTTTGCTATTTATTTAATTAGATACACAATAACATATTGAGTTAATAATTAAAAAAAAAAAAACAATTAATTTTGTGCGAGGTAATTTTATTTTGTTTTTGTTTTGTTAATTTGGCTAGTGTTACGAGTTAATCCTACGCTTTTTGCTCAAGAAATTCAATTTGTTCTATAATCGTTTGTATATATCTTTCAAGTGCAATGCATTCATCTCTTGCCCACTAGCGGGATTCTATAGCTATATTTTTGGACCAGTGGATCAGTGGCAGGTCGTAAGCCTAAAGCACTCTGCGAATATTTACAGACACGGGGATTGCCATTGCCATTGCCATAGCCATATGCATAGCTATGGTCGTAGCTTCTTCGCTCTTATTCATTGGGCATTGGGAGCTCATCATTGAGGAGATGTCGTTGCTTACGCTCCTTTTTGGGTTTACGTGCGGCGGCATTGCCAATGGAGCCAACAATATACTGAGCAGGGATCAGGATATATACATATATATTTGTGTACGATAGAGAAATTAGACGGTTAGATGTATAGTGCCAGCACCAGGAAAGATTGTTAATGGTAGTTAGTGTAGGGATGGAGCTGAGCTGCACTTACCTTGGAGGCCTGCAGCGTGACATTGAGCAGCGTGGGATGCTGCTCGACAATGACGAATTCCACTTCGCGGGGCGCATAGCCCTCGGCAAAGACCTAATTCAGGCAGACAGCTGGTTATAAATGAATCCTTGCCGGTTATTCGTGTTTGCGTTTGCTTTCCTTACCTCGGCCTTGTAGTAGCCCGGCAGTAGTATGCGCCAAAATTCACCGTACTTGGTCGTCTGGAAGCCAACGTCGCGTCCCTTGATCTTGATGGAGGCACGCTCGATGGGCATGCCCGCTGGATCGAAGACAAAGCCCTGCACGCCACGATGAGCCTCGGCCAGAAATTTGATAAGCGACTGTCGCGGCACAGAGATGTCAAGTTGAGGCACAAAATAGATCTATGTGTATGGAGTCTTGTCGAGGATGCTTACCAATTGATTGTCCTCCCAGTATTTCTTGAGCTCATAGGCCGGCGGAAACTTGCAGCAAGAGATCTCCAGCGTTATCTCCATGCAGCCATACCACACATAATTGAAATCCTGCATGCCACCGGTCAGTGGATACCAGGCGGCACCATTTGTGATGCCATTCTCAAAGGCTGGCGTTGCTGACTTGCATGCCACGCCCCTCGACATCTTGGCATGGTTGCGAGCATAGACCAGGGAAAGATGCTTAAAGACATCGTCGTCGGGCGTCAGCGACGGCGCTGCCGAATAGGTCTGGAACACTGTGCCCAGGGGACATGTGGTGCGACACAACACAAATTCGAATAAACACAAATACAGACACAAGAGACAGAGATAGCAAGAGAGAGAGAGAGAGAGAGAGAGAGAGAGAGAGATTTGGTGTGATTACATCAGTCAGCCAGGTGGCCAGGTGGCGGCCGTCTACTCACTCGCGCACAGGGCGGACGAACGGCAGATCCCTTTGAGCAGCCATATTGGTGCGAAGGCAAGGATTAAAGTTCAAACAGAGAGAGTTGAGGGGGAGAGATAACTTTATAAATCGGAACACTCACAGACGCGAGGCCGAGCTACAAATTTGTTTTCATGGACTGGCGCACACTCTAGAGACTACTTACTGGAGTTGGGCGTATTATCATAGGGGTAGCTGGCGACCAAGGCGCCGCCATGCAGGCTGCCGCTGAGCACAAACTGTATCTTGGATATCCAATCCTTGACTGCATCCGTCTCCGGCTGTCCGCGTTTGTTGTTCTGCTTGAAGTAATCTGGGAAGTTGCGATTCAAGTCAAAGCCACGCGCATTATAGCTGAGAATGAGAGGAGGAGAAACAACACAGGATAACGATCGTTTCGGATTTATTGATTAGACATCGGCTTACCGTCCCTGGCCGCCGTCACAGGTGCCCTCCTTGGATACCGCATAGCCATCGGGATTCATGGTGGGCAATATGTGTATGCGGGTGTTATCCAGCAGCCATTTGACGTACTGATCCGTGTTGTAGCTGCTCACAAAATACTGAATCAGATGCAAAAGCATCTCCCGGCCCACGGGCTCGTTGCCATGTATATTGCCGACGTATTTGACATCGGGCTTGCCCACCATATGCTCGTACGGCGACGAGCTGACCACCATCACCCACAGATCTCGACCCTGAATGGACTTGCCAATGGAGTAGAGCGCCGTCAGATTGGGATAGCGCGCGCTTGTCGCCCTGATATAAATCTCGACATATGATAGATGTCTTTGATTGATTAAGGCGACGTCGAACTCACCTCAAGAAGCGCGTCAGCTCCTCATGGTCGTGGTAAACAAAGTCCAGATTCTGGGCATCGGGCAGATAGGCGCGCGGCTCGGGCAATGCCAAAGACATCTGCTCGTTGGCAACTGTCTTGGCGCTTGATAACAGCGTGTGACGGCCATAGATCAACAGCAGCAGCACCAGCTGCCCAGCAATGGTGTTCCGCAGTATCATTGTGTGTGTGTGCTTGGAGATCCGTTGATGGTGACGTCAAGTCTGTAAATGTCGAAATTGGCCAGCGAGGCTCAGGTTATAAGCAGATGAAGATGGATGAGCTTCAGCCTCAGCTTCAGCTTGAGACATTGGCATTGCCATTGCCATTGGCTGTTCGCAGGTAACAACCAGTTGTGGCTGACCAAAACGAATGGCCGTCGAGTGTACGTGCTTCAATTTGTCCAGCCGTGTTGAGCTGTTGGAGATGAGTGCATTGGCCCCACAATTCCCGACAGTTCCAGCCAGTCGAACCGCAAACGTGTTCCTCAACCAGCTGGCAAATGCAATCAAAGTTCATTGATTTCTATTTGTTTGCTGGGATAGTCTCTTGGCCTCTCTCCCTCTCTTGCTCTCTCTCGCCTTCTCTCTCCCTCTCTCTCCTTCTCTCTCTATCTCTATCTACACGTCTTTAGCCCAGGCACACCACCAGCTGGAATTCCATTAAAATGGATCAGTGGTCACTTCTGCCTGTCTAATCAGAAGTCAACCGGATGGGACGTATCTCATCAATGCCCAGATAAGATACAGCCAATACCTAAGACTTTATGTATTAATAGTTAAGTTACTATCTAACCTTGGTACCCCGCAGTGACTATAAAAGCTAAAGGCCTACTGCAGATCGAGCCATTCGAAACAAAATAAAAATGAAATTCTGTTGCGCATTCGTGATACTTCTGCTTGGCTGCTCCATGGTCAGGGCTGGCCCTCAGGGCCGCATTGCTGGCGGCGAGGATGCCGTTCTGGGTCAATTGCCCTATCAGGCGGCGCTGTCCGTTGGTGGCAGCTACAACTGTGGTGCAGTTATCATTGCCGAACGCTATGCACTCACCGCCCTCACCTGCGTGTGCTCGGCCGGCAAGGATACGGCGTAAGTAGTTCTCCCTGCCTCCCTCTCTCTCCCTCTCTCTATACTGCGTCTCTCTTATACCTATACTCTGGATATGCAGGTGGCCACCACAGCTATTTATGGTTTCGGCTGGCACAGTGGATCTGTACAATGGCGGTCAACGCATACGCGTGGAGGAAATTACAGTGAATCCCAACTACAATGAACTGAAGACTGGCATTGCTCTGCTGCGTCTCAGCGAGCCAATGGTGTTCAATAACGACGTCAGCGCCGTGCCCTTGGCCACAGAGAACCCTCCATTGGGCGCCCTTGTCGACATCTCCGGCTGGGGCCGCACCAAGGATTCGGAAACCAATATGTACCGCACTTTGCAGGTAGGATACGCCGTCATTGAGGCGGAACGCCAGTGCCGTCTGGCCGATGACATCATTGAGGCCAACAACCAGGTGCTCTGCCTGGGCCACCAGAGACGCCAAGGCATCTGCGCCGGCGATATTGGCGGACCAGCAGTCTACGAAGGCGTCCTTGTCGGTCTGGCTGGCGAGATCTTGGGCGAGTGCGGCGGCATGTTGCCCGAGCGCTTCATCAGCATTGCGGCCAACCGCGAATGGATCCTGCAGAACATGGAATAACTTTCCCAATAAAGCCATCGCTCAATCGTCTACAATCAATTAATCGATCAATCAATCAATCTTAATGGCATGCTCGAGTAATTGGCAAAGCACTTCTTGAGCAACGTCTGCTCGATCTACAAATATTTGTCACAGTCCAAATACACATATTTATCTATATACTTCACTGTGGCACGTGTCTCGATTGCTGCACTTGAGATTGGGCCATGCCACACGTTTCATGGGTACTCCGTGACAGACCCATAGAGAGAGGGAGACAGGAATCGACGAGCATATACCCTGATCTCTGCCTCGATTCGCGAGGATCTATTTAAATGACATCACATCTAAATATGTGTATGTAGCAAAAGCTCAAGTCTCTGCCTCCAGCAATAAGTTGTTTGGTTCAACTAGCTAGGAGTGGAGGAAGGTCTCGTTTAACTGAAGGGTTCTGCTTGGGGTGATACTCAAGTTAAATTATATCAATTTTTATCGTTAAAAAGGAAAAGTAGGGAATTAGGCACGAACAGACATGACTATATTTACTCAGCTAGTCGTTCTGATCAAGAATATATATGCACATTGTGAGCTCAGCCACGCCTTCTTCTACAAATGAATTCCCATTTTCAATTCGGAAGTTCGAACTGTTCGCCATTGGCCCAACCGAGCTGAGCTTTTTAATGATCGGGCTTAAGCTCAGCTCTGAAGTGTTTTAAGGAACCTTAAACTAAACAAGTGAAGCAGGATTTGTTCTATTTGTTTCTATCTTGTTCTCATACAAGATTCTGTTATTTACGTCAGATTTGCCCAAAAGAATGATTAATTAATTATCAAGAATTGTGCTAAAACATTCCATGGCCTATGCAGCTTATCAAGGAAGAAGAAGCATGAGAAGATACCCTATACTCAGATAAGACAAGTAAGAAGAAGAATGAGAGATACCCTACACTCAGATAACATAATCTCATTTACTTTCACATATATTGATATATATATATATATATATATATATATATATATACAGATGAGCAAGCCTCTCAGTCTTTATCTGGACAAATTGTCATTCAATTGATATTGATTTATTATTCATATATTAAAATCCACTCACGAACTGGGAGTGGCATCGGAGAAGATTCCCTAGGGTCGATAGAGTCAATAGAGGGGTATTTGAATCGTATCCAGCTGTTCGCCAGTCTAGTTCTATGCAACTCGTTTATTCCATATGCTCGCTAGTAAGTGAATAGAGTGTATTAGTTTCACACACTAAAGAGCTAGTGAAATCGGTAGACAGGTTTCGTGCTCGTCACGACTCAAGAGGATCTTTCTGTAGAGGAGCTCAACATACCCTTCTACGGCTTCAGTAGGCATAGATATCGCTGGACCACAGCAAGATAGACACTGTATGAATCCAATATGCTCTAATTGCAGTTCATAAGCGAGTGTGACCAAATACTCAAATGTCCCCAACTGTGGTGCAAGGGTCACCCAAAAGTTTCCAACTCGGACGCCAGCCGAGCTCCATTTAAGATGGAGACGAGTTTTATGCAGTCAATTATGCTTGACCACAACGTTTTTCACTAGCTTCAGGCAATAGAAATAATGCAAAGACTTGATTAAGGCTGGCATTTGGAATGACCAGTGTCACCATGCTCCCAAAATCTTATCAACATCCGACTAATATATTGTGTAGTTCTCTAGGTAGAATCGTTTGTGACATGAGTCTGGCGTGAATGGAAATGGGGTTTTAGGATAGCATCTGTGTAGCTTGATCCAAAATTGATAATAACATTTAACTTTACAGATCTTATATGGCTATATTAATGATAGACATCCTGTTGGCCAGAGGGCGGCTAAATAAGATCAGAGCCGTCAAGTGGGCAACAGCTTTACATGTTCGCCTTGATCCAGTCCTGATAATGGACAATATTCATAAAGCCATTGGGCATGGAACTGCCGCAAATGTCGACGAGGAATCCGCCAATGCCAACCAACTCATCCTTGTAGACAGCCGGCGCGCCTGCATCGCCAAGACAGATGCCATTGGAGGATGCTTCGGATGCTGACACGAGACAGAGCAGACCCTCGTTATCGAGGTAGAGTTGCTTTTGGCAGTCGGCTGCACTGATCGCCTTGCGGCTGCCCACCTGCAGGCGATGGCTGAGCGGGCCCTGATTGCTCAGAGCTCCCCAGCCGGTGTAGGTGATCTCGGCGCCAGCAGGAGGAACCTGGCTAGCTAGTGGTATGGGCTGTATATTGGCATTCAGCGTCAGTGGCTGCTGCAGTACAATCAACGCCAGGTCATTGAGTCCATTGGCATATTCCTTGTGCACCACGATGCGATCTACCTGAGCCAGCTGACCACCAGCCAAGCGTTGAATGCTACCCACTCGCACCAGAAAACTACGGGGCGGATAGCTGCAGGCAGGAGACGAATTAGTAATGCTAATGCTGGAACACTTGGCTGGCTGGCGTTACCTTTCAATGCCGCCGCCGGTGACGCAATGTGCTGCAGTCAGGCAGACCTTGTTGCTGATCAAGGCACCACCGCAGACATGGACTCCCTGTCGTTGCAGCGAGACACTGTACGGATGGGAGCCAATCTCAGCTGCCTGGCCATCCAAGAGTCGGCCCTCGGGAGACCCCGCTGAGGTTGCGGCTGCACCAAGCAGCAGTAGGAGAAGCAAACTATACTGAACTCGGCGCATTTTGGATTTAATTCGTACTAATTGAGGGCGGCCCCACGCCCAAGACTTTTATACTGGCGTCAAAGTTTTATGACCGGCAATCTAATCGACGGCGCCCAGGTCATATTTAATGCTTATCGAACAAGCAGATTAGATGCAGACCGAAGTGCCAAGCAGCTAAGCCAATAATTGGCGATTTAGTTACCATTCCGACGCCATGAAAGACCAACGCGTATTGCTTGCATCACTCTGTTTGACCCTAGCCCTGGGTCTGGTTGTCGCCCTGCCGCAGGGCCGTTTGCTTGGCAGCGAGGATGCCAAGGTGAACGAGTTTCCCTATGTGGCATCGCTGCGTCTCAATAAGGTGCACGTATGCCAGGCCACCATCATATCCCAGACCCAATTGCTGACCGCCGCCCACTGTGTGTCCGACGTAGGCGCCAAGCCGTAAGTGGAACATACAGCACATCCCTAAAAAAGCTACATGAATGTATACGAAGTGAACCAGTTGCGAAAACTGCTTGAACTATCGATAGCAATCGAATTGAACTTCAGCTCATCCCTAAAATGAGCTAAGCTTATGCCTGAGCTACATGAACAGTTGAGGCTACTGGTTCCCTTCCAGCAACAGTTAGACTTCCAGTTGATGTTTCAATTGCAATGCAGCTATGCTTCATAACTCTCTCTGCTCCTTTGCAGCGTTTCGGTCGACCAGCTAACGCTTCGTGTCGGCAGCATCAACACGCTAGCCGGAGGTGAGCTACTGGACGTCAGCGAAGTGGTCATTCATCCCTCGTATGGCAACTTTATGCACGATCTGGCAATACTGACGCTTAGCAAGCCGTTAACCTTCAGTGAAAAAGTTAACAAAATTGCGCTGCCTGAGCCACTAGATGAGAACGAAGTCGAAGAAGTGCCAGCCAATGGCACGCCCGTCTATGTGGCTGGTTGGGGCGAGCAGGCGGATGGCGCCACCACCTACAAGCTTCAGAAGTCCAGCTTGAACACCTTAAGCAAGTCTCAATGTGAGCTGCAAGCTGGCTATGGATACGATTCCGTGCTGTGCCTGGCCAGGGCTGAAAAGGAGGGCGTCTGCCGCGGCGACGAAGGCGCCGCTATCGTCGATGACAACCAAGTGATGCAAGGCTCAGTCAGTTTCTTCTGGGGCAACTGCGGCACCAAATTCCCCGACATATCTACTCGCATCGCCTACTATCTTGACTGGATTGCAGCCAACGAGAAGTAAACCTAACCTAACTTTTCGTCAATTCATTTTATTTTTTTGAAATTTTTTTTATTGTGAGTGAAGTGTAAAAAGAGATATAAAAAAAAGAAAAGAAACCAAAAAACTAAAAAACGTATAACGCGTATTTATTTTCTATTGGCAACTTACGGTCATTTTATGGACCATGAGCTAGACGGCAATTGCGTTCACATGTGAGAACCAAACAATCCGTTTATAGCGCCCATAAAATATAATGGGTCATATCAGAAGTTAACTAACGGCCAATAGATTGTATCGTACACATGTAGGTACTACATGGTCTAAAGATAGCGTGAGTTTACTGTACAATAGAACGAACAAAGGTTCCGTATTATTAAAGCCACTCGAATTGATAGCAGCCCCAGCGAGCTTGAATTCGTGGAAAACGTACGATAGAGAATCGTAAAGGAGACACAAAATGAGATGGGGAGCAAGAGAATTGGGGACATAGACTCGTGCAGAAATAGAGAGCAAGAGAGAGAGAAAGATAATATAAGGATATATAAGGAGATACAGGGAAACAGACAAATATGAATATATATGTAAAGAGAGAGAAAGAGAGGGGCCGAGAAAGAGAGAGGTATAAAAAAGGAAAAAGAGATAGAGGAAGACAAATATATATACCTATTTATAGAGAAAAAGAAATATAGAGGAAAGGAGACACAGAGAAAGAGAGAAAAAAAGGAGACAAAAAGAGAGAGAAAGAGTGAGAACGGGAAACAAAAAGAGAGAGAAAAATAGTGCAGAGAGATAAATTAGAAAAAGAGATATATTTACATATTTAGAGAAAGAGAAATATAGAGGAAGAGAAAGTCAGAAAAAGAATTAAAGAGTGAAAAAGACAGAGAGAGAAAAAGAGAAAGTAAGAAACGAAAAATTATAATGATAAATTGATCTATGAACTGAGAAAGTTAGGGAGAGAGAGAGAGAGAACGACTTATTTTGTAATTGTCTTATATAGTTAAAAGATATATTTAAATAAACATTTCTAAAATGTTTCCTAAATCTCGAATTTATTTTTATAAACAAATTCCTTTAGTATTGTTTACGAAACAAGAAAGAGTGCTTGAGTCGAGGCTGCTCGACTAGAAGATATCCTGAATTCTGAGAATATCACCAAATTCGAATCATTCTACGCTTCCTTTTACTGCGACTGGGCTTTTTTATTCACATTTTCAGGGCGAGATTATGACATTTATTTGCATGTATTTGCCAAAGCAAATCTCTAGTATTTGAAATACGTTTATTTTAGGAGAATCCAAAATACGAAATCTGAATCTGAAGTCTAGAGTATTCATGGTTCATGCTTCATTTAAGCTGTGCTTGACAACGAAGTCGCTAATAAAAAAAATGATGAGAAACTCATTTCAAGCTCAAACAAACGGACGGACGGACAGAGGCACATGGCTAGATCGACTCAGCTTGTCATTCTGATTAAGAATCTATATACGTCTGGCAAATTGCCTTCTGCCTGTTGCATATATTTTCAAAAAACCATTATATCCTGAATGCACACTTCCAATGGGCCTAGGGTATAAAAGCACAAATGAATCAACTTGGTCAAAGATAATGAGAACTAAATAAATAGATAACACCCTATATAGTATATATATACAGTATGAAAGTCTTGACTTGCTTTCATGGGGAGTTTTAAAAGTAACATCAAGAGGAAGATCTTTATGTATAAACGTACTCTAAAAACATTTGCATATTTTTGGAGAAGGAGTCAGGAAAAGGCCTGCAGTAACTAAATTGTCAGCTCCAAATCATTAAAGATAAGATTTTCCGATTTGCGAAGACCTTAAAAGGCACACTTACAAATATATAATTGTTGGTGCATCAATAGAGCTGGTAGCTTAGTCGTTAAATTTTGAATTTCCAACTGTAAAACGATAGAATATACAGTTTGCCACGCCCCAGCAGACGTCGAAGAGTCCACATAGGAGATCAACAGTAACTCAAAACTGCTGTGGACTGCCTCGCTCTTCAGATAGAAACTCTTATCATGTGTTTATAATCCAACTTTCCGGTTTTTAGCTTCAATAGCGAATCTCCGACGGACAGGCCGACGGACAGGCGTACGGACAGCAAGGCGGACATTGCATGAAACCAATAAACTCTTTCACTTTTCGAATGGTTATAAAAAGAACTAGAGACCCAATAGAAGTGGTTGGATGTATGCCATATGAAACATGAGGGATTTGAGAGAAATACCGCATTATGATTGGAATCATAAGAAAATAGACAATCTGAAGCAAGTCCCTCCTCAGCTCGATCGGGCTTTGACTCAGCGTCATATCTTTTGAATGATGTTGCTGCTATTTCAGTTTGGGCTTCAGTTTTTAATTTGCTTCCAAATTGAAAGTCCCCTTTCGGCTGATGTGCTGTCCGGCTTTATATTGGGCAATAATATTGCGAATTTATCGCTGGCATAATAACAATAACAGTTGAAATTAGCTGCTGACCGCGATAAGATTAGATTTACTAGCCATTCAAGCAACGATAACTCACCCAGCGGGCAAAGGCATCCACTTGGAGGCATTTGCGCTGCTCATTAGGCAAAGAGGAGGCGATTCGTGTACGAAGAATACGCTAGAAACGGAAGCTAACATGTACAAGCTAGGAGCATTGCTGCTGCTGCTGGCCGGCTTGGCCGGCTTGGCCATGGCCAACGAGGCCACACCACAGGGACGCATATTGGGCGGCGAGGAGGCCTCGGCCACCTATGCGCCTTACGCCGTGTCCCTGCGCATCGACAATGCGCATGTGTGCGGTGCCAGCATCGTCTCCGAGTTGCATCTGCTAACTGCCGCCCACTGCCTCTACCGGGATGGCAAGCTGTAAGTGTGACCTACCGCCAGGATCACTTCATGTGCTCAATCCCTCTCTCTCTCTTTGACAGTGTCGCTGCCAGCCGCTTGTCGGGGCGTGTGGGCAGCACCAATCAGTATGCTGGCGGTCGTATAGTGACCGTTGCTGCGGTCACACCGCATCCCGACTATAACCAGCTGAGCAACAATTTGGCCATCATCACGTTGGCCAGTCCGCTGGCCTTGACGGATCGCATCCAGGTCATTGAGCTGGTGGATATGGACGAGGCGCTGCCAGAGGATGGCGCCGAGGTCAGCGTGGCCGGCTGGGGCATCACTGTGGACGGCATTACCTCGTTCAAGCTACGCCAGCTCGATTTGCAGCTAGCCTCGAATGCGGTCTGCCTGGATGCGTACAAAGGACACGATCCGACCAAGAGTTTCTGCCTGGCCCATGGCCTCAGGGAGGGCACTTGCAATGGCGACGGCGGCAGTGCAGCCGTCCACAACGATCGCCTCATAGGCGTCAGCAACTTTGTGGTGGGAGCCTGCGGCTCACGTTACCCGGATGTCTTCGTGCGCATTGCCGGCTACAAGGATTGGCTGCAGGAGCAGCTCGGCAACTAACTTCACACAGCCTAACCAATCTATACTAAATATATATCTATTATACTCCATTAAGAAACTGATTGCATCATTGGATAGACTCTTTTTAGGCCGGTGAACGGGTGGGCGTTGAGGGCCCTCATCTTTGGAGCACTACGAGCACATTATGTAAGCCGAAGGCAAAGCAATATTTCACTTTCGCTGGCGGAAAATGGGTGCAAAAGTCAAAGTGGCTGAACTGATCAGCAATGCCAACTTAAATACAGATCACTCTATCTATAAGCAGCTAGCTTTTAAGTGGAGGGACACACTTTATATAGTATATAAAGAGCTCTTGGAAGTAATTTTCGTATTTGTATCTAAAAACAAGAAAATTTTAAATTAGATTCCCAAAAAAAAATAAAAATATATATATAGATATATATATTTCCTAGGATCCATATAAACTAGTAAGTATATCCGCTAACGAGTACTCAATTCTATTTTGGCTTAGATTAGGGGTTTGTTGCGAAACATGTTAAGTCCACGGATGACTAAGACAGTCCAAAATTTATAAATTATTTTTTGTCACTGCGCTGTTTATATTTATAGAATCCATAAATATCGCTGATCACATCAAAGGCAAACGCCAAGTCGAAGTTTCAATACCCTTGTCATGTGAGTATTATGTTATTTGATATACATTATGGGGGTTACTTAGTGGCATTAAGATCAGACACTAGACACTATGGTAACAAATAGTTCCACTTTCCTCCTATCTCTTGATATTCATGAAGTGCATATCCTTATATACACTATATAGCGACGTTCAGCTCTACTCCAATAGTTTCTAGAAATACATCGCTGACACAATATCGCAATCAGAGATTTATTACAGATAAGATATAGTTGCGGATTTGCTGTACTTAAGAATCCTTAAGCAATGTCTTATCACTTCTTCGGGTATTGCAGTATTCCTATCCGCTTTATCTTACCTGATATTGACAAAGTACGAGACATACCAGATATATTTTGATAAATATATAGACATATCTATAGTATTCCAATCTACATTTCTATACGTTGCGCTCTTATCGGAAGGTGCCGACTAGGAAATACCCGGAACTCTGCACACTGCTGCCGTTTCAACACGAACACAAACGCCTACAGTAACTACACACACGAGATGACCGCTAGCCCGCACACTGTGGAACCATGGAACAACTACGGGTTTAGATGTGCGATCTGCATGAAATTTTCAGAGCGTAATGAAGACACTCTAAGAGTGTATCTCATATTCCGTGTCTTCACTACAAAGACCCATCCATATATATACTTTATAGAGTCTGCCCCACTTCCTGATGCCTATCAGTATATAACCTGGATAAGAGAGGGAAGTATTTGCCTAGTTTTATGGATTCATGAATAGCTTGACTATTGAATGATGATGCTGATTTATAAACAATACTTCAAGTGTTACTAGAGAAGAGATTAGTTTATAAAGCAAGATTGATTGACGGCTGACAATGGAATTGGTTTTATAATCTGTAGGCTATAACCATTAGCATTAGGCTCTGAGAGATATAGGCCTTATAAGTTGTACTTTGATAAAGGCTGTCGTAGTCAGAGAACCAACTCCCACAATATATCAAACTGAAAAGGCTGAAAAGCCAACGATTTATAACATTTTATTACTATGGGCGAAACCCTTGACGGATAAGCCAGAGACGGATAAGCATCTGATTAGGTTTTTATGCCTGTCCACGTGGAGAAATTAGTATATTGGCTTTATGCAATGTCCGTTTGGCTCTGCGATTGCCTTTATAATACGCCAAGCATTTGATTGCATTCGTAGCTTGAGCTAGCCATTGGTCTAGCTGCCTAGCTGCCTAGGGGTAGTAGACATCTTCTAGTCGGATACTCCCAACCGCAGAACGCGTGCTTCTTGTATATTATTTTTGGGAAAAAGAAGCAGAGTCTATCAACGCTAATTCGTAGCTCCTAATCGCACTTCGATGGAATTGAATTTGATGTTCAGAGTGAACGTAGTAAAGTAGAGAGACATATGGGATAGTGGTTTTACCCGTGGCGATAAGATATAGATCAGAAACTGTAATCATTGCATAAATAGAACCTTTGTGCCATTGTGAGCAACCACTCGCTAACTTCAGCATGTTGAGAGCTCTGGTATTTGCCTGTTCGGCTCTGGCCGTGATCTCGGCGGCTCCGCAGTCCTCGCCGACGGGACGCGTTGTTGGAGGCGACGATGCAATAGCTACCCAGTTCCCACATCAGATCTCGCTGCGCTACAAGGGATCCCACATTTGCGGCGGCTCCATTGTTGCCCGAGACTACGTGCTGACCGCAGCCCACTGCGTCACCGAAGAAGAAGCCGACGGCACTTTGGTTCCGTGAGTGATAGAACCTTAGACACTTCCATAGATATATTCAAAGTGATCCTAAACCATAATCCCTCTACATATATACGCAGCACGCCTGCCAGCATGCTGAGCATTCGGGCAGGCACCCTGGATCGCTTCGTTGGCGGCATGGTCAGGAACGTGGTCAATGTGCGAGTGCATGAGGATTACAATAGCTTCTGGAACGATTTGGCGCTCCTTAAGCTGGAAACCTCTCTCATCTATTCCAGCCAGATACGCGCCATTCCACTGGCCAGCGTCGAGACACCTGTCGGCAGTCCAGTCATCATCTCCGGCTGGGGCAGGCTGTGGCACGAGGGCGACTTGCCACGCCAGCTGCAGTTCAATACGCTCAGCTCCATATCGAAAAGAGATTGCTTAACCTCCATCGCAGTCTACAGAGACAGCATGCTCTGTCTGGCGCATGAGCAGAACAATGGAGCCTGCAATGGCGACTCTGGCGGCCCGGCCATCTACAATGGTGAGCTAGTAGGCGTGGCCGGCTTTGTTGTCAACGGGTGCGGCTCCTCCAAGCCCGATGGCTATGCCAAGGTTTTCTACCATCGCGACTGGATCATAAAGCATGCCAACTTGTAGAGCAAGCGATATTACACAATAAATAAACTGACTCAAATCTTTAGAAGAACCAAGAAAAAATGAATGAAGAGATTTGTGGGTTTCTTCCAGTTTGACGCAAGTTGGAATCTGAGATAGGACAATCTTCTTTTAGCTATTCATGGCCCACTTATGTAGAACTGCATGGAACTGTCCACATAATCCATAATTCTTAAAAAGGCAAGATAAACTATTTCCCAATTGCAAGCAGCGTCAGTTTCTCCCACCCAAGATAAGTTATACTTCTAAGAAGTCAACTAGACTCAGACCGAAAGTCCAACTTCTGTTCTACCAACATTACTTCAGACTATGAATTTATCCTCAAATGAATGTAATTAACGAGCTGAGCAAAAGAAGAAGAAGAAAAGATAAACTGAATTTTGTAACGTTTACTGTAAGCAAAACAAGTTCGAGTGCTCCGATTGGGAGTGACTGACTGTGAGATACCCTGAGCCTTATTCAAGCATGAAGTCAAAGGCGAGGGAACTAATCCAAAATTGCAATTATGCTAAGTCTATTAAATCATTACGCAAATGAGGCTTTTAGCTTTAATGAGCAAATCCAAGTTACAGCCTCAACAATCAAGTCAAAGCATCGATATTTGCAAAAGCTAAATTATCCAGAGATTAACACTATATACTTGTACTGCGTGGGATAATACAAGAATATATATTTGGAATGTAAAGTCTTTGGCTTTCATAGCTTACTAGGTGGACATGGCTCGATCGACTAAGCTTGATGTCCTGACCAAGACTATATAAAGTGCTCTGCCTGTCTACCTTGAAATACCGTTATCTATGGGATCAGATTCTCAATTCTAGATTAGGATTGATTGATTGGTCTATGACCTTTGACTTAAGACTTTGAGCCCAGGTAGGTGATCAAATGTTATACAAACACTTCGATGTGATGCAAAATAATGAACTCTGAGCACGTGTCGGGCTTTTTTTCTAAAGGTAATTAAGGTGTTGTCAGTTAGCAGAGCAGAGCGATAAGCTCCATAGCAGGATGGTGATGATGATGAGAGGGCTCTACACAATTTCCATATAAAAGAAGGCGACGCCAACACATGCCAAGCAATTGAGTAGGGCAATGGAGCTGCTAGGAATACTACTGATACCGCTGCTGGGGCTGATCTCGCTAGCTTGCTGCCAAGAGGCGACTACAACCAGTCGGCCGTTGGTTCCGATACGCCCGCGCATTGTGGGCGGACGTCGCGCCAGCGCTGGGCAGTTCAATCATCAGGTGTCGCTGCGCTACTTTGGCAGTCACATTTGTGGCGCCTCCATAATATCGGCCAACTATGTGCTGACTGCGGCGCACTGCGTCAAGTTTGGCCAAGATGTGTAAGTTGAATCGATAGCCTCAATTTCCGCTCGCTAACCCACCTTCTGCAGCACAGATCCGTCGAGGCTGGCGGTGCAGGCGGGTAGCCTGAAGCTCAACAGCTTCGCTGTCTATGTGGATGTGGCAGGTGTCGAGGTGCATCCGCTGTACAATAATGGAGGACAGGGCTATGATATTGCCCTATTGCGTCTGGCCAGGCCGCTCAGCCTCAATGCGAGCATTGGCGCCATTAATCTGGCCGAGCAGGATCCGCCAGTTGATTCGATTGTGCAGATTTCCGGTTGGGGTGCCATCTACCATGGCGGACCCACCTCCAACGACCTGCTGTATGTGCAGGTGCGCAACATTGCTCGCTCCGCGTGCACCAGCCGCTACATGAGACGTCTGCCCTCTACGACCATGTGCCTGCTGCATGGCGCCAACTTAGGCGCCTGCCACGGCGACTCCGGCGGACCAGCGGTCTACGAAGATCGCCTCGTGGGCGTCGCCAGCTTCGTGCTGGGCGGCTGCGGTCGCGAAGCGCCCGATGGCTATGAAAGCATCGCTACCCTGCGCAGCTGGATAATTAGCAATTCCGACCTATGACCCATCGGGCGTCCTATGAACATCTTCGTATTTGCAATGAATTCACGCCTTGTTAATAAATAAATTTGTAACTAAAGAACTTCTCCTTCGAAAGCCATTTACCATTTAGACGAAGCCATTAACACCAAGTCTAAAATATTACAGGGTATTGACTGATATTGATTCAGCGCAATCTTATGAGAATAGAATGTAGCTTTGGGAAAACGATTTACAAAAGGTATTGACAGACTGATGGACTTATAGATGCATGCACTAGGTAGCTGTGTCCAGTAAAGATAAATAAAAGCTGTGAATGTAGCAATTCTATGTCAATGTCTAATGCCTAAGGATTACAGAGTACAGACTAGATTGACTAGACAGCTTTAGTCTGTGAGGAACTTATGATTGAACTGATGCACTTAGGAATACAATATATAGCTTATTTTGCAGAAACTATTACAGGGTATAATTGATTGATCAACTGATTGACTGATTGACTGAACGACTTACAGATTCACTGGGTAGCTCCTCTCAGTTTGTTTTACTTGAACAACTTTGAAAACCTTCCAAGTTAAGGAGAGATTCGCGTTCAATTCAATATGTTTACAGGGTATAAATTACAGATCTCATTGGACCTTTGAATATATAGCAGTATGTACGTAGTTGTTATGCTAAATGCTGTAAGTGAAAGACTGAATATTCTGAGAATTTTCAGCATTAACCCTCTATTCACCTGGTGAATAGAGTATCGATTAGTCGGTGGCAAACTAAAGCTAACATTTAGCTTAGTCTGAAAACAGTTTAGGTGACTAAAATAAATAAAAATGTGTCACAAGCTATGAACTTCCGCAAAGTTGAGAGCGCAGGTTCTAATTTCTCATTTGGTTGGGTTCGAGTGAAAAGCCGAGTCTGGATTATTAGAGCGTGGCTCCAGCCATTAGCCCAACCCTTTGAACTACAGCCTAAATCGAGAGCAGCGCACATAGAGACATAGAGACATAGACGTCAATTGGGGAACAGCGACCCCGCCTGATACATTTAGTCCGCAATTTCAGTCTCTGCCAGTGAAAGTGAAAAACTTCAGACCAGATTTGCTTTGGCTTTTGTTGTTGTTGTTGTTTTTGTTTTTGTTTTTGTTGCTGTTGTTCAGTAATTTTCCGTTTTGTTAATTTTGTTTTTTTTTTTTTTTTATTTTGTGTTGTGTTTTCGTCATGAAGTTTTCAACTATTCGCTTTACAGGCATTAAAAACCACTTACTCGGGCGCCAACCGCTTGCCCCCGCCTCTCTTGGCTCATAGATATTTGGTTTTGTTTTCATTTAACTTGTCTCACACGCTTCGTCGTCGCCAGCTCACAGCTTTTTTGATTTTCCCCACTCACATTTCCCCGCCTTCCGGCAGCCTCTTGCCCCTAACAACCCCCTCCCCTCCCACCCCCTCCGGCGACTTCAACTACTCCCCTTCGAATTCCCGTAATTAACGTTCATCCGTGGTTCATCCACACCTCAGTCAAGTGTAAAATGCGGCGTGCCAAGCGGATTGACGTGCTGGAAGTCATCGAACTCCCGAGACGGGCCTAAAGACCTTACCGCCCAAATAACACTGTCCAACAGCACAGTGAAGCCAAGCGATGTCATCAGTAATATTTTAAATTGTTCTCAACTTGAATTCAAAATGATCTTTTCAGATTTCATATCATCTTGTAGGCACTAGATCTAGATCTAGTTAGATTTCATATAATCTTAAATGGCACTCGATTAAGTAATTTAATTTGATTTTCTCTGGATTTTTTAATTACGGAATTGCCTTACATTTAAGCTTAGTATATCAGGTGTAGTCTTAAGTTGACTTGAGCTAACTGAATTTGTTTTCTTGAATGTTGCCAGATCTAGTTTTGCCTTCATTGTGAATTCATCTCGAATTAAATTGAAACTTGTCATTGAATTAATACTTCATAGCAACGCCTTAGTGAAGATTGGACTTTAAGAATTCATTGTTTTTGGAAATTGATACATGAAAAGTTAAGCTTCTCAGTACCTTTTAAAATCAAGTGTAATGGATCTCAGCTTACTTACTACCTAACTTCTGCAAAGATCATATTGCTTAAGATTGAATTTTCTTCAAAATTGAAGAAACAAATTCATTTTGTGATTATGAATTAGATTTTATGTTGTTATGAGTCTTCGATTTAAGGCGACTAGTTTGATATATCCCAGTTGCATGTTGCAAGTTTACGTTACTTTGTAGAAGTAATTTGAATGACGATTATGTTCTAAGATAGAAGTAATTCGTATGTCAATTGGAAAATTCTAAGATAGAACTAGTTCATTTCAACTGTTGCTCATTTAGGATGATTCCGTTCAGTTCAAAGCTCCAAGTAGTTCATTCAAGTGCAGTTTATGTTCCTACTAGAACTAGTGGTAGGCCGATTATGTTCCTAGATAGAACTAGTTCATTTGCATGCCGATTGACTGTCTTCAATTTCTTTGGCATTTGGAATTTCGAACTGTACAGATTCAACTCAACGGATCGAAATGCACCTGTTTGGACTTGTTTTGCGGCTCAGCCAACCCAAATGAGCGTCGCAATTTCACTTGTGCCACTTTGATGACGAAAATAAATTTTACGGATTTTGATTCGTTAGTGGCGCAGGTGGAGCTGCAATTGGCGTTGGTTTTTTTTTGTCCCGCTTAAATCGCGTCTTCATGGAAAGTAATCAAAATTGAAAGCGCAATTGATGCGTTCAAAGCCGCTGATACCCACAGCTAAGATGCACGAATTGAAACGGAATCAGATAGTTTTATTTTCCAACATTAAATGACGAATGAGCGAACGAGCCAGCGAACGGGAGGGTGTAAAGCGACTTGTAAAAGAAATCCCAAGAGCAAGCGGCGATCAAAGAGCACATGAACACTTGATAACGGGTTTTTGAATCCGGCCGCGACGTCGACAGCGACAGAGAAAGAGTCGTTGCACAGAGCAGAGACCAGAGACCAGAGCGCAGACCCCACAGACAAAGTTAACCCACTAACCTTGTTACTGTTTCTGTCTACTTATCTACCCCATCTCCCTCGGCCCATGTCTCTCGTGGTCTTGGTCGCATTGAAAGTTGCTGTCAAGTTCAATGCTGCGACTGCGGCGGCGGCCATGACGGAAGCGTCTGCGCTGGCGTCATGGCAGAGAAAGCAGCGAAAAAAGGACATGACACGGAGAGAGTGACGTCGGCAGAGACATGCGCAGTAGCTTACTGGGTTAGTAGTAGTAGTAGAAACAGTATCCGCTAGTATGTGTGTGAAAGTCTTTACACAGTGTGTGTGTGTGTGTGTGTGTGTGTGTGTATGAATATGTATGTATGGGTGGGTGGTTGGGCTAGCAGACACTCGTTTATATAACAACAATAAACTGCATGCAGTTGCTGCCGACGTCTCTTGCATTGACCTTCACCTTGGCAGTGGAAATAGCAGTGGCAATGTCGACGACGACCTTGCCACTGCGTCTGCCTCTGCCATGGTCGTGGTAAGGATTGTGTTCGCCTTGATCTTCAAAGTGCACGTGCAGAATCATTATCAAGGGCTAATTAAGTTTATTATCATTTCAATTACCTGATCTGTGATTTATAATAGACTTGTGCTATTGTTTTTAATGATGCCGCTGCTGCGTCGACTTCACCGTCCGAGTAGTTGGCTACAACTGCAAAAGAATTTGCATAAAATACAATCAGCTTTTATTTCAACGTACGCTCTTGCCGGGCTTCAATTCTTCGCACACTTTCTTATGCCAAAAAAAAAAAAAAAAAAAAAAAAAACAACCACAACAAACAATAATAATAAAAAAATACAAAAACAAAAAGCACACTGGAAATCAAAATTCTTAGGCGACAAAAAAGTTTCTCTTTACGCCTACGCAATGAATGGTTTAATTAGCACGCACCGCACACGCACTGAGGCCATAAAGCAACAATGAGCAATGGGTAATGGGAAGGGTAACTGGAAAGGGGAATGTGATGGAGAAACGCACAACAATAGCAGTTAGCTTATGCTTTAAGGAAGCGTCTTGAATATTAGCCGTTGCTTCTTACATTCGAATTATATACGAAGCGAGTTTGACCGGAGTGAAAGAGAGCGAGAGTGCCAGAGAGTAAGTTAGACGCGTCCGTTAGCAAGCGCCGTTAAAGTTGGACTGGCAGGCGTTTGCTTTAAGCCAGAGACAGTGACGCTGAAATTGACGTTGGCAGAGCAGCAACGGCAGCAGCCGCAGCCACAGCAACAACGACGATGCCTTTGGCCACATCCGATGTTTATTCTAAAAACTGATAGTATGGGTAGTTACAATATCTTTTTTATAGAGAATTATATGTAGAAAATGTATAAGTCTTTGGTAAATCAGAATTCAGTCTTTATTGCTCATGTTCAATTTACGCACTTGACACGCAGACATTTTGAAATTGCGCGCCTAGTTTCATAGCAAGCAGCATTTGTATGCGATGTTCCTTATGCTGTCACTACGTTAATATCGCAAACATTATCGATTAATTTTTATAATCAAGGATAATTAATAACTGTGTAATTGCACAATATAAAACAAATAATTTAAAATAATGGTAAAACATATTGTGTTAATTGTTTTTTTTTTTGTCAACTGAAATTGCGGTAAAATTAAGGAGATAGTTTTGTGTTTGTGCGAAGTTACATAAGTAATTATTAACGAAACAATGAAACATATAATAAATTTAATAAAAATGTAAGCAAAGTTTTAAATAATCCCATGCCCCTTTCAATATAATTTGAAAATGTAGCTTATAGCTGTGCAAAGTTGATTCTACGCGAATCGAACTCAAGAATTAACGGCTGAAAGCATGTGGGATTAAGCTTTTGTACGAATGGCAATAGGCAACTCTGCCTATAAGCTGTTAACAACATGTATCGGTATATCGAGAGGCAAGTATCGGTTCGGTTTACTGGCAACAACTGCAGGCAGTTCGCCGCTATTCATATTTGTAGGCCAAACCTTCGATTGTGATGCAATTGTTGTTTTGGACAAGAAAGTGAAAGTTTCACTAGACTCATAATTGACAAACACAAACTAAGTTGTTATCAAAACAACTTAACGCACTTGTGTGTGTGTTGTGTGATCAGTGAAGAACTAACGATAATAATTCTACTGGTGTAAAGCGTTCCAAAAGGTCAACGACAAGAACAACAACAACAGAAAGAGAAACAACAACAAACTCGGGCAAACAACACGCGATTAAAGCTGGCGAGAGCGAAAACAACGGCCCATGTGCACGCGACTTGAAAGTTGCGCGCGTAATTGGGCCAGTCCAGTTTAACCTAAAAGCACGCACAATCCCAATCGCCATCCCAAGCCCAAAGTATTCCACAGCTAAGTAAGGCATGAGTCGTCCCATGACCACGCCTGGATGGAGCATCCTGCCCTTTCGGGTGTCCACAACGACAAAAGTGTGTAAAGATTTCACTCAATTCAGTTGGCGTAACTATCACCTAACGAGATCGCCTTCCATTTCCATTATAGGTTGTGCTCTTCTCACTGACAGCCGGCGTAGCACTAATGAGCGTCCTATCGCGGTTTCTGCGACGGCGTAAGCCACCGCGTCCTGCCCGACGACCACGCAAGTACACCGGACGGCGTACACGAAATAGTATGCGCAGTCCCAATGATCTGACGTCGGTGGCCGGTTCAAAGGCATCAGCTCGGTCAGGCAGTCCCGTTGGCTCGACAGTTGCCTACTCGGATCGACTGTCAATGGCATCGGGCTCCATTGGTGCTATGGTACAGAATCAGAATTTGGCAGGCGCCGTTGGCGCTGTGCCACAGCTGACGGCCCAGCAGCTGGGTGTGATGGGCATGGAGGCACTGGATACAGTGATCAATTTTTGGGAGGATGCACTGGCTGCGCATTATTCGCCCGGTGGAGTGCCAGCCTCGCTGACAACAGCCGAGGACTCCGAGTTTTGTCGTGAGATTCAGAACTTGCTGGAAATGGCGTACACGCTGCAGGAGCAGAGCGAACTACTCTTCCTTGATCAGCGTTCGGTGCTCTTCCGCGAGGAACATTCCATAGACGAAGCCGAGGAGGACGGATTGGCTGCAGCCGGGGACGGTGACGATGATCGGCACTCGCGCAAATCGGGCAGCGTCTTAAGTCGCGTTGGCTCCGATCCCAATTTCGATTCCGCAGAAAGCTTCGCGTCGGCCCTGGACCAAGTGGCCGATCTGCGCGAATTCGATGGCTTCATTGAAATGGCGTATGAAGAATACCCGCTGTTTCAGAATGCACTGAAGCATCACGATGAGTATACAGTGCCATGTCGGACGATTCGCTCCGAGCTGATGCACTGCAGCAGCGATACCGAATATTTGGCCAAGCTGCATTGCGTCCGACTCGCCTTTCAGTTTCTATTCAAGGATGCCGCCGTTGGCCAATGGATTTGCGATGCGGGCCGGCAAATACTGACAGATCTGCTGTGCCTGGGCGACAAGGACACCAAAGAGTTCCTAGTTGGCTACGAGGATATGGTTAACTATCTGCAAGAGCCCAGCAACTGGCCGTGCATCCAAATGGAGCTCGAGCAGCGCAACGTCAAGGCAATGACATTCTATGACATCTGCCTCGACTTTATTATACTGGACTCGTTCCGGGACTTGGATGCGCCACCAGCTAGCGTGACGGCCGTTGTCCAGAATCGTTGGCTATCCAATGGCTTCAAAGAGACGGTATGACATCAATCTGAGCAAATATTCCTTATGTATGAAATGTCACGTACAAACCAATTCTGTCAACTTGCTAACAGAATCAGTTACCAGTGAACGAGTACGTTTTCAACACTGAAAAAAAATTAAGTAATTAATCGGTTGACAGTTTACTTAAGTAACTCTTTTCCAGAGAGTTGAGCGGAGCTACCCAATTCTTTCTCTCTTCCTTTCCCTCTCTCTCTTTTTGTCAGTTCGGGACTGACTAGCTGAATGTTTTTTAAACAGTATTACTCACTCTCTTTCCTCTTCTAGGCTCTGACGACGGCTGTCTGGTCGGTGCTAAAGGCAAAGAAGCGTATGCTTAAATTTCAAAATGGATTTATGGCGCACTTCTATGTGATATCGGAACAGATATCGCCGCTGATGGCTTGGGGCTTTTTCGGACCCAACGAGAATCTGCGTGACATTTGTCATTATTTTCGGGAGCAGTTGCTAGCCTTCTTGGCCGACATTTACAGCTTCCAGAAGAGTCGGTTCACCACCATCGAGGACTTCTCGCAGGATGTGCTGAAGCACATGCAGACACGCGTCAACAATATAGGCGTTAAATTTAGTCAATAGAGAGACAGAGACAGACAGAGTGAAAATGAAGTGGATGATGATGATAATGATAATGATAATGATGATGATGATAATGATAATGATAATATTGTTTCTTTAGTTTGGGTTCTCGGCCAAAGTTTATGTTTATATTTTGATGGCAATCAACTTTAAATCACTTCATGCCACATACACACACATGTACGTTGACTAATTTTAAAACCCACACACACACACAACACATGCACATTTATAATTAAGAATTGCATTAAAGTCGCCAAAAACATTTGTAAAATAAAACTGTTTACTGTTCACTGCCAGCAAAGCAAACCAGCTGGTCTTCTCCCACATGGGACATCTCCAATTGCAACTGCAGCAGGCGGATTGTATATCCTCTTGCCAGTCGTTGCTTTCAACTTGTCGGCGCAAGATGTGCAAAGGTCTGGGCTTTAGCACCGGCTTTATAGCGCTTTGTGCATTCGTGAGTGCCTCCCCTCTAGCCGCTCCCATTCCCAATTCCTTTCCGTGCCCTGATTCTTTAATTGATGCTGCAGATCTGCTGCTTTGGTGCCTTGCACATGCTCAACAAGATCGTGCACATCAACGAAGAGATGGCGGCCCGCACCGAATACAAACTGTCACCGCCTGATGGTGGCGATCGCTGTCAGCGTACGTTCATTGTGGATAATGCGGGCAGTGCGCATCTTACATGGCTGGAGCTTTTCTATATGAAGTGGACGCTGGTGTTGACCATTTTCTATACGTTCATTGTGATGGTGCTAATACGCGCCCAGTACTTGAGTCACTTTGATATTAATTTCATTACCTCCAATGCGGTAAGCATTTGTCGCTTACACACTTTGCACCTGCAATGCACACACCTTTCGCCCCACAGATGATGCTAGTCGGCGGCGTTCTCTCTGTGGTCCTCTTCATAGCCACGGTCATACTGCACGAGCGTACGCCCTTTATGGAGGTCTGGTGCAATGAGTTTATAGTCGGATTCATGTACTTCATAGCTATCAATATATGCGTTGCTGTCGTCTTCTTCTTGATCCATTCCTGTCAATATTATTTCCAGTTAGAAGAGCACGCCTTTTGAAACTCAAAACATCAAGCTGAAAAATAAAAAACAGCTTACAAATATTTACTTTAGTTGAACTATTTTTATTTAAAAACAAATGTTTATAAAATATACTTATTAAAATCGTAAATCATTGCTGATTGGAATAATATCTCATACTTATTTACGGTACATTCTTCATTAACGAGAATAAATTAAATGTTTTATTACATTTTTTCTTAACTTAAACTCATTTAGTCATTTGAAATCAAATTCACTGTCGAAGATTTCAATCTGCCCAAATAATAACGGCGAGAAATTGAAAATCAAGGCTGCACACAAAAAATTCTCTCTTGCAAGCACATTTTAAACTTCAGTTCGTGAGCTTGATTTTGGTTCATAAAGAAAGTTTAGTGAAAGTTATATATATATTTTTTTTATATGATTGCTGTAATTTAGGAATTTTGTTAATATAATAGTTTAATTCAATATAAAATATAGATTATTTATTGGTATATTTAGCTTACTAGTTTTCTGCGTAACTAGCTCGGCTAGAGTAAAAATGAAAAATTCGATGCTCAATACTCGATAAATACTGACTTCAGTATGACTTAACATAACGCCAAACACTTATCGACTTTTGAAAAAAAAAACACATTTTGTATAAAAACATATAGACACGTTTATTCGAATGCAATATATGCTGTTTGGTATAAAAGACAGAAACTGAGATAAGAGTACAACGCAAAAAATAAAAATAATAATTAAAATAATAAAAAGAAAACGAAATTATAAAATTATTAATTATATATATGTTTGTATGCAGGTAGTATGATTAATTACTCAATAGCGCCACAAATTTTAATTTTTTACAATTAAACAGTACAACAGAGAGACTCCTTTGTATGGCTTGTGCTGTAATTGACTATAGACGTAGCTATATTCATTTCTGATTCTGATTCTGTTTCTGTTTCTGATGAACTGTTTATGTTAGATCTCGCTAAATGCCAGCGATTGAGTTTGCCGCTTAAATGCCGCGGTATGAGCGATGTGCCAGGAATGCGCTTATGAAGTAGAGCACCGTATTGACCAGGCCCAGCACAGCGGCCGCCATATAGGCATCGTGCCTATTATCGCGCAGTTTAATTAGCAGGCAGGCGGACGAGACGAGCAACAAAATGGCAGCGACACTATGATAGATCAGCTCCTATAAATTGAAGAGTCCAATTGGAATAAATTAAATTACAATTACAATTGCAATTGCAATCGCAATTCAAATAATATCAATACTCACGTAGATCGTCTTAGCGATGAGCCCGCCCGTACTTAGAGATGTTAGGCACGCTAGGAATAAGCAAAATGTCCCTATCATAAATGTAGTGGCCATCAGATAATGGAACAAATATTGCTGTTGACGATAGTAGACACTATCGCTGTAATTCATCGCCATCAAGGTGACCACAGCAACGCCAATGAGCTAGGCATAATATAGAATATGAAAAATTAGGGTGGACCAACAATTATGCAGCAGTTCATTTACCAACTGGAAGAGCTTCAAAATACCCGGAAAGGTCTTAAGGTACCCAGTGTTAAGCACAATATAGGAGGTGTTTGTGGTGCTGGTGGTGGTGCGTGTTATAGTCACGGAGTGAGACATCTTGGCGGTGGTTACTTAGGCGGTGGCTGGTTAAGGTGGGTATTTCTTGGGTCTGCAAGAGAGCAAAAACAAAAGTCGAGCTTTAATTAGCAACTTTTCAAATAAATATTTACATCCACTGTCAATGCAATTCAAAATATTATTCATTCATTCATTCAGAGTTCTAGATGTTTTTCTGTATTCAAGAAAATTAGATATATTTATAGATTTATTGATTTATTAAATAAACTAGACAAAAATCTTATGTTTTAATATAAATATTTTATATTTTGCAACTTTGTAGTATTTAAGAATTTTATGGGTTTGCACGTTCTGAATACGCAGAAGCTCAAAACAAGTTTTTGTGAAGTAATATTAATTCCCAATCTGCCACGCCCACAACGGGTAGCACCAAAAATGCAAGTATATACAAATATAATACAATATTTCTAAAGTATTTCTAAATAAATTCTAATATAGTCTATTCGCCTTAAAGCAAGTATACCAATATTTCTCTCTGTATGATTTTATGAAGGCAAATATATATATATATATATAATATATATATATATATATATATATATATATATATATATATATATATATAAATATATATATATATATATATATGTTGTTTTTTTTTGAGAAATAAATACGATAAAAACGTTTATGGTAGATAGATAGGTCTCGGCAATAGATATATACATATACATTATAAGACCTATGAGTATATAAAAATATATATCAATATAAAGTAAAGAAGAGTCATTCTCTTATAGCTTTTAGCAAATTTAAATAATATGTAATATTCAAATAGATAATTGTAGCTTATTTGAGTCTTCGATTTGAATTCCAATATTTTTACAGTTGTTACAGACCTGCTGCTGCCCTAGCCACACCCCCTGGCCATGCCCAATCGCACTGTTGTATTTTTGGCCAAAATAATTTGTTATTATTTAATTCTAAAATTAAACATTTTCGAACTTTCGGCCTCGCTGAGCGCGCCAAATGTTATTGAAAAAACGCAGGAGAAACTAGAAAATCTATTTACTGTCATGCCTACATAGTATATATGCCTCTCTCTGTCTCACACTCGCACACACACACTTATATTCATCCTACAGCTCTTTATGTATGTGTGCTTGTATTAGTGTTCGACTTTTATAGCCGTAGAGTGACGTCATGGGATTTATGGCTGCTGCTGCCTTTTGTGTTTCAGCTAAATATTTCGATGGGAAAATTAAAATTTTGTTAAATATACGCATATACACACTGTACATACATATATATTTTTCATAGGTTCATACATATGTATGTATATGTACATGCTTTTCGTTTATACATTTTTTTGAAATGGGGGCGCGCGTAATGCGTGCTTATGTGTGTCCAAGTGGCAAGTGTTGAGCGACTAGAAGCAATGGGCGATTGCTTCAAGATCGGCATGCCTATATATGAATCTCTGGTATAACAATTACATATGTAGGTACATACATTACTACCTCATGATTTTGTAAGCCTGACATACATAGTTCAGTCAAAAAACATTCCCATTCATATCTAATCACATTCTTCTTTGCTCATTACTAATTTGATGCCTCGTCTCTGGCATCAAGGTCTTTGTGACATGTCAGGCGCGCCCAGTAAAAAAAAACAACAACAACAACAATGACGCCATCCTATACAACATTTACCCTCGTCCAATGCGATGACGTAACAAATTACATAGCATACAAAAAAAAATAATTCGAGATTCAAGTTTGGAATGCGAATTCAGACCCTGCCTTCTTCGAAAAACAAAAAGGAAAACAACGACAACAACAGTCAAATGAAGAAGATGAAGAAACAGGCAATCAAAACAAACCGAACTACATTTTATGTTGATTAGTGAGCGGATTTCCGTTACGCTCTCGAGGGCTACACTTTAAATATGTATGTGTGCTTGTTGTTTTTATGATATTTTCGAATGTGGTCAGTAATATAAAAACAATAACAATAGGTAGCAACAGGCGCCGGTTTTTTTTTTTGAAAATGATATCATGCTCGAATCATGTTTATATATGAGAAACGTTGATGTGCTTCGAATAATGTAAGGCAATAACCAAAATATTTTACAAATTGACTTTCGTTGTAGGGAGAACAGCGAAGAAGCAGCAGTTCCGATTGACGATGAAGAAAAAGAAAGAGCAACAATTGATAACGGTAACTGTAGCAGTCAGTTATTTAGTTGTTGCATTTTTGCTGATAGCTATTTGTTTGCATGCGGCTCCCGCTCCGTTTTGCCAATGTCCCGCAATGAGATCATCGCTAATGGGGTTCATTATTATTGACCCACTCAGTGAGCACGTTCCTTGGGAATTTGATGTCGTTTCGTTTTGTTAGTGATGATATGCCACACCCTAGACTTGATCATTTGCAAATTTTTGACTTTTTGACTTTTGGTTAAAAAAAACTTATGATTTTCTTCCACGCACACACAAATTTAAAGCCAGAAAACATGTAAAGTTTGAATTCTTAATATGCAGACGCACACATGTACCTAAGTATGTATGTATGTATGCATGTGTGTGAGCGTGCGGCCACCTTGTTTGCGCATAAATTTTATATGCGATCGCTTACTTTTTGGATACACGAATTGAATTCGCAGGCGCTGGTCACACTTGTGTTTTATATTGAAAATTCGTATTGGGCAATGCGTTTGGATTTCGAGCTGTTGCTTTTGCGTCTTGGCGCGCGTACGTTAAAAACGAAACTGAAACTACAAAAGTATTTTCAATTTCGTTTACGCCTTTTGCTTCTGCCAGCTGGCTGGCTGGCTGACTGGCCGGCTGGCCGGATGGCCGGATGGCAGCTTGCCTGCTCCGAGGGCAGCGGCGTCAACGAACACGCCCGCAGTGCTAATATACAAAAACAAGAAGCGAATAAGCAAACAAATCTACCACAAAGCACAACAAGTTGTCATTGCTGCTGTTGTTGTTGTTGTTTTTGTTGAGTGGCAACGCGACTCATTCACTCAAGAACCAGTCAGCGAAACGATGACGAGCATGACGTCATAAATCTACGATAAGCAACAAACAAAAAATAACTTCGCATCAATGCCGCACGCTTTTATTGCTCTTGTTATTGTTATTGTTAATGCATTTTGTTTATATGGAATGGCCATTGTAACGGTTAATTGCTCTTCGTCTTACAATTTATCTAATAAGTAAAGGCGGCAACTGCTGCTATTCCACTGCGAGGCTATCAGCTCTTGTGAGTCACCTGTTAGAAAGAAAGAGAGAGGGAGAGAAAGAGAGTGAGAGTGCGCGCGCCTAGGAGAATGTGGTGACTATGAGTAATGCAATAAAAAAGAATATGCATATGTGAGCGTGTGTGTGTGTGGGTACTGTTCGGATTAACTGCGCTGCTACTGCGACTGTCTCAAGGAGAACGTGAATATATTTAAACAAAAGTATGCCAGTAGAAAAATACTCGACTAGGTAATACCCCGCAGATTCGCTGAATCTAAGCAACATTCCCAAATTTGTATTACTAAAGAAGCATTTTTTATATATAGCATAAACAATTTAAAGTTTGAGTGAATTTCAAAATATAGTTTTGGTAATTATATTCAAAGGTGAAGTAACCCGTTTTCAATTATAGAAATGGAAATCGTTTTTTATAGAGTAGATAACAAAATTCAAAAAGCCTTAAAAAAATAAAGATCCGCTGATATTCAAAAAAGCCAAATCAGAGAGCTCATTAACCTTTTGAAATCATATTTATACAGGGTACTTGAATAAACTTTCATATTTCGGTTATCAACGATTTATCGTTATCAAGTACACATTCAATCATATGGCCTTCGGCTCATATTTAATTATAATGCACATCGTGTTGGGCGTTTCCTAAATTTGAATAATGCCCACAACAACAACAGTATCATCATCACCCGACTTATTGCATTCATGTTCCAAAAATACATATAGAAAACTAAAATATTTTGTTAAAATCGTATAGCATACTTCAAGGCGTCAAGGTTTTCATACCCTTTTATCATTATATTTACGTTGTGGAGGGCATATTCACACTTTCACCATCTATATATGAGTTAACCTGTTAGTAGATATTTTTTAAATGCATTGCGCAATTTACCAAAATCCCTAACGAGTAGTTGGGCTAATGGCATTCCCTCAATTGATAGTCTCACTGTCACTGACTTCTCTCTTTTCTGCCTAAACATATCCAAAGGAAATGCAGTTTTACTGCAAAACGTATATGGTAACCCATTGAGAAAACAGGAGTCGAATGCAGTTCCAATTCTCATTAATTTATTTTTATCAATGACTTTGCTTTGGGTGTATGACATATGAATGATTCAGTGAATGAGTGTATGAATATTTGATGTTTGACAATATATTGGCCAATCTTAATATCGATTGGAATTTTGGCAAGTGAGCCAAAGTTGGCATTAATATGTACGCGCGCATATGTGTATGTGTGTATGTGATGGCTGTTAAATGCATTTGTTTATAACAATATATAGAATTCAAATCCTGCGATCAGTACAATTTATAATTTTTGTTTTTCGTATTTCAGCTGTGTGAATATAAAATACATATACATATATTTATATGTTTAACTGTATTTAGTATTTCGTGTTTTCATTATCATCTTCAGCATCGGGTTAGAATTAAGGCTAATGGTTTAATGTGTATGCTTCGAGTGTATGTGTGTAAATTTAAACGTGTTCATTTATTTTGCTTGTGTGTTTTTTTCTCTTATCGAGTTTTAGTTCAACTAGATATCATCGATAAATTTATATATGTTAATAAGGAAACATTTTCTTTTTCTTGCCCGCATATTTTGTTTTCTTTTTCTGTTTTCGGCAAAGAGACGCGTGTAATATGGATGCAGCAGCAACGCTTTAGTGTCTAAACTTTACATTATGTTTAGATAAGGATTATATATTCTAGTCTTCTTAATATTCGTTCTAATCATTGCATATTGTTTTCTCGCTCTAAATCGTGATTGTGTGTGTGTTGTGTAGCTTTGTGTTCTTTTCCACCCATTTTCTTTTTGGTAATTTTGTTTGTATTAATTATTATTATTAATTGTTGCTGTTGCGTCTTTTGCCAGTTTTGCATAAGCTTAGTCGAGCCCATCGTCCACGAAATCGGACGACTCCTTTTTGGCCTTCGGTTCACTGCTGTTGGCGGGCTTGCCTTCTGCATCACAGAAGGCAGCTTCTTCGCTGTCAGCATCGCCAGCAGTTGGATCTCCAGCAGGGAATCCAGCGCCACCACCTGGGAAGCCACCCGGGAAGAAGTTCTTAACCAAGTTAAACATTTTCGGATTGGACACGTATTTGGAAATATTAGCCGGATTGCCCAGTATGTCTTGCATGGCAGCCGCCACTTCTGGATCTTTCATTTTTGACATCAAATCGCCAACGTCGAAGCCGGCGGGCATTCCGCCACCAGCACCAGGAAAGCCGCCACCACCTGAGAAACCGCCAGCACCTGGGAAGCCACCAGCTCCCGGAAAACTGCCTCCTGCACTGCTTTTAGCCTGCTCCTTGCGAGCCTTGTTCTGTGCACGCTGGCGCTCTTTAATCTTGCGTTCGGCATTCTTGCGCTCTTGCTTGATGCGGTGCTGCTCTATCTTCTTGGCATTGGGTGTCACCTCGCGCAGCCATTCGTCGGCCTCCTCATCGAAGTCCAGCTTGCATGCCTGACGCAAATCCTTGGCAGCCTCCTCAAACTTACCGAGCAGACGATTGGCGCGTCCACGGAACTTGTAGGCCGCCGCCGAGTCGCAATTGAGCTCCAAAGCCTTGTCGCAGTCACGTATGCATGCATTCGGCTTTTTCAGCTTCAAAAAGGCTTGGCCACGCTTGGCATAGAATAGGGCATTCCCAGGATTCAACTCAATGGCCTTAGTATAGAAACTGATGGCCTCTTCGAATTTCTGTTCGCTGTAAGCGGCTGCTGCCTGGCTACGTAAATCGCTAGCCTGATCGATTTCTTCCTCAGTGGCTACTTTTTCTGAGTCACCCATTGGCTGAGCTGATTCGACGTCGGCTTCAATGACACCTGCAGACAGAAATTCAAATTGAGGTTGGGAAGTTCAATAATTGAGACACGTGATTTTTTTCTGTTCAGCATATGGCATTACATTGCTTTTTCAGCATTACCTTCCATATCTAATTCGACATCAGACTCTGGCTCCGAAATGTATGCGTCTTCATCGCTTTTATCTGAATCATCCGCAGCCGAAGACTCCGCCGGCTTTGCTTTGGGACCGGCATCGCCACCAAAAGGGCATTTGCTAGGCGAACAAGAGATTTTTATAAAAACCATACAATTGTGTGCTTTCAAGGATTAATTACCTTACGCACACAAATACACACTTACCCAGTGTCCGGCATCTTGAAATCACCGTCAGGCACCTTGCCGCCGAACTTTTCTACAAAATCTTTCACAAACTGCAATTGGGGCATATTCAATACCGTGGGATTTGTATTGACAAAATCAATAAAGCCTTTCAGCTTAAGTAAATCTTCATGTTGTATTGGAGCGGCCATTTTTTAAATTTCGTTAGTTTTCTCGTAGATTCTTTCTATACTATTGCAACTTTATATATATATGTATCTAAAATGCGTCTCACACAAAATGCTGAAACAAAATTTTTCTCCGGTTGTCAAAGTGACCGATTGTTAGAGATAACCTTTTTACAAACAACTACTAGATATCGAGTATATATACTTATGAATACATAGGTGTGAAGCTTGAAGACTTGTTGACAGCCCTGTTTTATATTTCTTTCTCGCTCAACGAGATACCGATAGCACTGATAGCTCTTTACCATTAATCTATCGGGTAGTTCGCTATAAGCGATATATCGATATACTCTTACAATCGTTTTTAAATATCTTAACCAGTTTATGTAAGACCTACTAGAAAATTCAAATAGGGATAATTACCGTTGACTTTAAAATGTATACATACGTATGCAATTAATCTAGCGTGATGACACATAAAATGTATGCACTTTCTTAGCTAGGTACTCTAGCAACGAAAATAAATTAAAAATCTAAGTTTGTATTTTGGTCTGTTTAATTATATATGTATATATTAATATTTGAAGCATACTTCCAATTCAAAGCCAAATTACGTTTGTATTGATTTCAATGTAATTCAAATATGCACTTTAAGGAAAGTTTGTTTTTCTTTGCTATTTAACTTCAGTAGAGGTAAAAAAATATTGCTTTAAAAAAAACATTCTTAAACGATCAATTGTCTACAATAGTATTTTCGTATCATAATAGTTTTAATGTTCTTACTCGATATTTTGCTGAGGCTAAAAAAAAAATGTCTGTAAATTTAAAATTAACTGTCCGATTCTCATTGAAGCCGAAGGTTACGCCAAGAGTCACCAAACGGTGACGGTTGCGTATGCGGCTTCCAGTTGAGATAATTCAAATCAATAGTAAGTTTAGGGCGCTTGAACTGCGGCAGCTGCAGATGATCGTTGATTGTCTTGGCCGTAACACAGATCACATTTTGTCCCTTCCAGTATTTGATCATCTTCATGGATTGTAGGGTATAGATGATGTCGTCGTGGGTAATGCCGCTTGCTTCGCTTAGCTCTTTTATACTCGTCTGTTCCGCCGAGCAACGACCCTTCATCAGTTCGAGTAGCGTGTAGGCCCAGTAGCTGCGATAACTGAGCCTGCCTAGATCCGAAAGGGGCTTCTCCGGGCTGCCAATGACGCCCTCTTTGCGGGACAGCTCATAACTGAACGCAATCAACAATTTGCCGTAGCCCTTGCGCTGATGCGGTGGCAACACCAGAATACAGGCAACATTATTGTTGTCCATCGATTTCTTCTCTTTGGAGAAATAGCCAACAATGTGGCTGCCCTTCTTGTCCGTTTCGCAGAGCACATAGAAAAAGAACGGATCCATGTCAAAGTAGAGTACCTTGTGATCGAGAAACAGTTTGGCCATCAAGCAGAGCAGCTGGCAATAGAGCGGCTGCTCCTTGCCGTTTACCTCGAATATGGAGATGGTGCTCTTGCGGTAGATCTCTTTGCCTGGTGGCCTGCGCACCTGGCACGTAAACAAGTGATATCGGTAGCTCTTCTCCAACCGCATATATTTCAGGCAATACTCGCAGACGTACAGCACACGCGCCTTCCCGTACTCATCCGGAAAAGGACTAAAGTACCAGGTGTCTATCTCATAGTTGCCAAATTGTAGCTTATCAATATATTTGATCTTGGTTATGAACTCGTGCTCCTTCTCAAGCGCCGCCTGCGAGGCAGTCAACTCTGCATGGCTCTTCTGGACATGGTTAATTTCGTCGTAGCGTCGCTTTTGATAACGCGTCATTTTTCGATCGCTATAATCGTAGCGATTGTTCTCACATGCCGATAGATAGTAATCCTTGTTGCCTTGTCGCTTGGGTCGCATTACGTTACTTGCGCTCTGTTGGCTTGCAGCGTTGGCAAGGGCAATGGCACTGGCGCTGGTACTCGGCTGATCGCAGTTCAATGGCTCGGGCGGGCTGCTCGGTACCGTAATGCCACCTAAATCATCAGCATTGTCAGAAATGCGATGACGACCCACCCATTCGTCGAGGCGTCGGTTTAGTCCCACATAGTGCACATAATACTCGTTGGGGCTGATGCAGTTGACGGTGACGCGAGACTGAAGTACTTGGCCGGCGTGGACGGTGCCATCGGCGCGGCGTATATAGTAAATCTTCTCCGGGTTATCAGCTATATCGATCTTGTGCAACGCTGATGGATCATCTTCATCAGCATCAGCATCAGCATCGGCGTCAGCATCGGCATCAGCATCAGCATCGGTTGTCTCTGTTGCTGTAACCGTCTCCCCAGATGTTGTGTCGGTGTCCTGTTCTATTATCATAACATCGGAATCATTGGAATCAGAATCACAATCTTCTGAATTATCATCGTCAGACTCTTCATCTTCTTCATCATCCTCCTCTTCATCATCGCTGTTAGCCTCGTCGCTGCTGCTGGAGATGCTTTCAAATTGATCTTGTAGAATAAACGGAATTACTGGCTTCTGGCGAGGATCACGAGGGGCCAAGCGCATCTGTTGCACTTGAATTTGCTGTTTAGAGGGCATAACCATTTCTGCATGCTGTTGCTGTTGCTGTGGCTGTGGCTGTTGGCATCGGATTGGATGATCGGATCCGTAATGTGCGCGCTTATAGGGTGGAAGCAGATCGATAGGCTCATCGCCATCGTCAGTGGGTGATGCCGGAGTTTCGGGCATTTCCGTTGGCGTTTCCGTCTCCATTTCCGTATCGTGTTCCGGTTCAGCTTCTGTTGCTGGGGGTTCTTCAACTACCATTGCCGTTTCCGCTGTGGTTTCCACTTGCGCTTGTGTTTCGACCACAGATTCCTCTGGCACTTGAGCAACTTGCTCAGCTTCAGTGCCGGCAGGTGTATCGACGGACTCCACAGCGGATTCGGCAACGGTGCCCACATTTTCAGTAGCGCCACTGTTGCTGAAGTCCTCGTTGCCAATTAAATCGTTAACATCGACTACTGTGGTGGGTGAGGGCTCGTCTTCAGTGGTGGTATCGCTACCCTCAGAAGGTGATGTGTTTGAATCACTCGGCTCGCTGCTGCTCGAGCTGCTAGAGCTGCTGCTCTCCTCCCTTAAACCCTGTTGTTCGCCTGTGACTGGCGGTTCAATAGGTTGCTCGTCTATGGATGTTTGGGACGTTGCAGATGAATCCGGGTCTGCTAAGTTGGTAGTGTTGCCATGCTCTGGTGTGCTACTGGTTACATGCGATCGATATGCCTCGCTGTCATCCAGGTCGGAGGGCTCCGTAGAGCCACTGAGGCTTAGACTGTCCTTTAGCTCAGCTTCCGCATCATCTACCGGTGAATGCGGCTGTTTGGGGATCATTTCGTAGCATTTGTTATCATCCGCCATTTCCTTGCGATACATAGGTTTCTTAAAGTCCTCGGAGGACATTTTATTTCTTAATAGTTATTGCCGTTTATATATTCAACAGATCTCAAATGAAAATTTTCCCATTTGTTTTGCTACGCAAAAACAAAACTAATAATAAGTCATAGCGATGGAACTGTACCATTACTTCGATATATATTACATGGTATCGATAACATTAGAATTTATAAGCTATAAAAAATAATATTTTAATATTATAATAATAATAAGAGATGGAATAGACAAATAATATATAAATATATATCATACGCAATTTTCAAATAATTAATTTACTGGAGCAATTACATTAGCATGCATTTGCCGTTGCGAGAATAAATATGGTGTTGGTCAACGCCAAGCACATTTTGGCGCAAATTTCCATACGCTTGTGTACGGCAGCACATGTGTGCATACACATGCATTTACACTGACAAATAAAAGTATACGTATGATTAATGTTAGCTGTATAACTTTATTAATGATCGTACATAAACATATTTAACAGAAATAACAGCAATAACAGTAGTAATTTTGTTTAGAAATCAAGTTGTACATTGGATTCAGATATTTAAACATAATTACGAGACAATTTTCTTAAATTAGTTCAATACTTATCACAAAATCCAAAAATGTATAATTCTTATAGAATTTTGCAAAGATATTTAAGCAAGTTTTGCGATTTTTTTTAATGAAAGCTACAAACAATTTTGAAATATTTCAAGCCTTACACCACCGGAATTATCATATTAAATATGTATTTAAAACGTCTTGCAAATCAATTTAAACAACAATCAAATGTTTAATCGGATATTGGTTTGGTAGCTTAACTCCATGAATATGGGTTCACTTCTATTTTATTTACGTGCTTATTAACTAAATAATCGTAGAAAAAACAACAAAATGCATATATTTTAGTATATATATGTATCTATGTGTGTCTATGTATACATTTAAGTTGAAGCCATGTATTGTTTGTGTATGGAGTGGAATATGTGTACAAAAAAATCAGTGCGTTAATGGTTTGTTAGAATTTGCCTTTAGGCTAATATTAATGCGAGCCCGACATAGGTTACAAGCACAATTTGTATATATAGCTAGTAATATATGCATGGACACTTGAATTTCAATCAATCTTTCATACAGTATGTGCAGTAAACAATTAACAAGTAAAACAAAGAACAGATATATAATATACATGTATATATATATAGTACGTAAATGCTAAGCTATTGAGAAGGACTACTACTCGTAAGCAAATACATTTTCAAATTACAGTTAAAATAAATAGTTTACTAATTTACATTCCATATCTCCATAGCTAATACATGGATGCGTTTGTATATATAGATATATATACGAGTTCAAATGGAGTCGTCAATTAGGTTTGCAAACTGGCACTGCTAAGTCCATTGCCACCAACCACTGTATCGGGATTCTCGATGCGTATAAAGCGTTGCATGAACTCGCTGCAGCGGCTATGATAATCAATTGTCACATTGCATTTGCTGCTGCGCAACAGAACACGACCAAAGATCGTAGCTACAGTCAAAAAGATAAACAATTAAAGTTAAAAAATAAAGATATATATATATATATATATACTTATAGATGCTGTAAACAGCAATGAATACGCACCGATATTGTTTGCGTCGTAGTCGCCGCGTTCAATACCCTCGCATAGGAAGAGGCACAAATGCTTAAAGACATTTCGTTTGGGCTCGCTTAACAGATCTATGTACCTCTCGGCGTCCGCTTTACTACGGGTGGCCAAGAGATCATCCACAAACGGCTCCAGTAGCGCCTGTTCCGGTAGATCGAGCAACAGCAACAGCGCCTCGGCCGCTGTTTGTGGAGTGCCCGCTGCAACGGCAAACAACCAATAGTAAATATATTTATGTATATATATACGACTTATGTATTGACTTAATTGGAACTTACGAAATTTATCATCTGACCAGGTGTCAAGCCAATCTCGCACGGCATTGAATTGACTGCTGAGCGGCTGGCAGCGATCGTAGCTCTGAAAGATGCCCTTGAGCTGGCCGCTTTGCTTGTGCAGATAATCGATTAGCAGGAAATATTCGCGAGGCATTGGAACACGATACATGGGCGTCACATCCAGCATCTACAAAAAGGAGTTGTAATGTATAAATATGTAAATCTATATATATTTATAAATGCATATATACCAGTTCTTTGATTTCGGTCAGTGTGTATTCGCCGATCGGTCGTTCAGTGCGACACATTGTCTCCATTGATAGGCCAAAGCAGCTGGGCTGATATTCACCCGTTACGGTTATGAAGATATCTCGTCCGGAGCGGACATGGAGTATAAGTATATCGAAATCGCACCTGTCAGAAGTACTGCATATCTTCTTAAGCAGACCCGTTACAGAATTCGCATCGGCCAACATGCGGACACGTATACTCCGTGCGGAGTCAATCATTAAACTGTCCGAGCGCGGATCCACATGAAGCCACTTCTCGCAGATATCATTGGGTAAGTCCTTAACCTTGAACTTAAAGTCCACCTGTTGCGAACAATCGTTGTACACATTAAAGTCCCGTATGACCGGCTCGTTGAACCGCACCAAACCAAACTCGATGATCGGTCGGTCTGTGATTATTTGGGGCTGGCTGTCGTTCTCACGCTTGTCCACCGCCTTGAGCACCTCGCTCAAGACCATCTTGTACTTGTAATCATCGCGTGTTTTAATCTTTACACGAAATATGGCATAGACCGGCTTATGATCGCTTTCCCGTATCTCCATGACGCCATTGTATTCCAACTGCTCGATACGTTTGCCCTTCCATAAAACGCGATCGCAATACGCCGGCGCTCGTTGTTTTTCGCCCGTGTCATAGGTATCGGTGCCCACGTCGTATTTATAAGTTGGTGCAAACTTTATCTCACCCTCCGTATATCCCTTAAAGCATCTATCATAACTCATCTCCATGCGCAGCTGATCGAACTGCAGCATCAGCTCAAACGTTTGCGCATCACTCATTGGCCCCGGGCGTTGCTGTCCAATCGGCTCCTGTATGCGATAATTGAGATCACCCAGCCAGAAAATGTGACTGCGATTTCAGAAAGAAAACGAGAAAGAGAGAGAGAGAACGATTAGATCTCTGTTTGCTGCATTGTTTTTGCTGCACTTACTCGTGATCGTTGATAGTGCGGAGCTGCAGTCCATTCTCCTCAAATCGCATGGACATGTCAATGGCTTTATAGTCATCATTTCGCTCCGCCACGTTGCCCATGTGCGCGGCCAGATGCGAGTTCACAAAGCAGATGTTTGCCTCGTTGAGCTGAAAGCTGACAGCCACGCCTCCCTTATTGCCCAACGTTTTGAATACGCCACGTGCCACAGAGTTTACTCGGCATCGCACGATATGTTGACGTAATTGTTTACGAACAATTATTATTAACATAATGCCATATAATCGCACCGATTGCAACTCCTCATACTCCACACCATTATGCAAGTTCTCCAATATTTTCCGCCTGCAATAGAGAGAGAGAGAGAGATTAACATACATATATATATATATATATTTATATTTATATAATTAAAGATAGAGAGAAGAGTGTACAAATAGAGCTGGAAACCAAACAATTTTAAATTCTTTGCTATTCTAATTTGAGATTCGTATTTAGATTAACAAAAAGTTTCGGAAATTTTAGTACATTGTAACGTGGCTTGTATATTGCATATTTTAAAATAATCTATTTTCACATTAATTAATAACAATCTATTTAATTACTAACTACTTGAATCACATTTACTTATTGATATTGTCAATATGTTTTATAAATAAGGTTTCAATGGCTATTAAACAAATGCCACATGACCTCTTGAAAGAGGATTTGGGTTTTCTTTTAAGGCTGAGTCTAGCTGAAAAATGCTTTGGACAGTTTCTTAATGCATATTGTCTTGTGTTGAGTCCTATAGATCACTTACACCCACTGCGTGGCATACATTTGCATCTGATTGCCGTTGAGCATGGCCTTGGCCGTGGTTTCCAGCTCCTGCAGCCCAATAGCATAGATATCCGGTGCCTTTTCTCCACATGCTAGCCATGGACGTAGCGTATTTTTGTTATCCCAGCAAGGTCTGTTATTTACGTTCCAGGTGGCACAGTAGATGCTGTAAAAGACGACGGCATTTATGAAATAATGGTTCATCGAATATCATACACAATCATACACAATATCCTTGTAGACAATGTATTCGCTCTCGCGCTTCTTTAGCTCCTGTTTCACTTCGCCAATCTCGCGATAATCGTCGAGCCAGCGAAAATTGAGCACCGCCTCCGATGGCGATCCCCCGTCCCACATGGTCCTCTTGCAGGAATCGATTTCTGCGCAGAACTCATTGAACTCATCTGAGCCTAGCTCTGTTCGAATTGGGTGATAGCAGTACTGGCTTGGTCTATCATCATCCGTGCACAGTTCAAACTGTTGCTCCGTTTTGGAACCCTTGTTATCTGTAGAGCTTACAACATATTATATATATACTGAACACAGATGAACAGAAGAGAAGTAGAGAGACAAATAGATAGTTAACACCTACCCGTTGTCAATTTAAAGGATGTGTTTATTGGAAAAACTTTGTTTATTTTTAGGTCATTGCTTCCTGTCAATGGTGTGCGCAGCAGAGAAAATGAGATGATCGCGTATGTTCCGCCAGATGAAGAGGAAACGAGCGTTAGCAGACCCTCAAAATGTTCCCGGCCCTTGATTTGATAAGCTTCGAAAATCTGTAAAAACAAAAAAGAATTGAATCTGTGAAAAAAAAATCCATTTTTTAATGTCTTTACTTTTCGTAAATTTATTTTGGGCCATCTGCAGAATATTGGTTTAACTTTTGGCAATAACCTAAACAAACAATTAAACATAGTTATAACTAAAATGTATGTGTAAAACCTACTGTGATCTACTTTTTGATATGCACCAAAAATAACAAGTGGGCTTTCAAATAGTACAAAATAAATACTTTGCTCCATTAAAGTTATGAGCTCCGTACTTGGCTTGACTTCTCTAAGGTATCCATTTTGAGTAAATAACAGGGTCGTGCTTAGAGCAGCAAAGCCAGCCTATGGCTACCTCATTGTCAAGCCTCAAATAACATTCTTATCAGCCGGATGACGCCTGCTCTCTGGTATGCCCGAAATCGGACACTGTTTTCAATGATCAACGAAAAATGATCCGACGAATTGACATTCTAATTGGACTACACCTTGTATGATCCTAACTGGATAAGTTTTGGGGGTCTAATCAACTTTCCAAGATAGCCACCGCTGATTCCAAATTAATTGAAAAACTAAAAAAAAGCTAGAGTGAAGATAACAATCTTATGTCCTCAAGGTTCAGTTGCATACCCACGCCCAGCCGCGAGCATGATATCGCATGGAAATGTGTAGCAATACAAATACGCGAACAACAAATCGATTATTCACGGAAACAAGTAAACTTACCAGGTGAACTGTTTCGTCTGCCTTGAAGCGCTGCTGCACAATCGACAGCGTTGTTTCCTCTGGCACTGCAGCTGCGCTTGTATCCGCGGCATTAGGGTAGCTGCTGCCGCGCTCCATGGATAAGTGGGTTTTGTATCTTCAGCTAGCTTTTCAATTATTATTGCTAAACTGCTACAACACGGGGAATGTAGAATACTGGGTGTACTCTAGTACGATATTCAAGGGTTAGTTCCACTGCAAAATTTGTGGTTTTCTTTTAGAGTGGCTATTTTTAGTTAACACTAGCGACGAGTGACGACACCAGTTTGTTTTTTTTTCTGCTTAAGACTAATACCGAAACCGACACAAGGAAAGAAAACTATATTTCTTTCTAAATAAAATACATTTCTTGTTTGCTTTCCTGAGTTATATCTTCTGTTTGCTTTTTACTATTGCGAGACGGTGGGTGTGGGCGGGCACAGTATTTTTTATTATTTTTTTTTTGATAGCACACACCGATGCAATCGCAGTCACTTATTCACAGTCGCGTAGAACGAACGGTTATTGGCGATGACGATAATTTTAATTCAGCCGTTGGTGTTGCTTTAAATTGCTGTAATTTATTATTTATTTAAATTTTAATATATCGACTGCACATTAGTCATTTATGCCGATTTCTGCAGAATTTAAGCGGAATGTAGATATCACAACGGCAATAACAACAGCAATAACAAAAACAACTTCAAAGAGTAGTGGTATGCACAAACATTCAACCCGAGCAATAAAACCAACGTCAACAGCTGGAATTGAACATAGCCCCCAGCGCAAGCACAGGGCTACATCGCAATCAAATGAATCTGTTAACCAACACTGTCAGCTGACAGTGCTGTTAGCAGCAGCACCATCAACTTTAATTTCATTGCACTCACACACAAAGTTGTTTTGCGGCTATTTCACAAAAAAAGAGGGAATATGTCACAATACCAAAAGGAAATAGTCCAGGCTGTGCTCATAGCGGACAACAATGTGTGGAACTTTAAACCGCTTTCGGACGAAGGCTCCATGGTGCGATTTTGAGTTTTATTTAAATGTTTCTGTTTCTGTTGGGTTTGGCCACGCACGTTGCTATAATATATTTGTTATTTACATACATTTATACAGGCGCTGCTGCCCCTAGTGAATGTTAGCATGCTGGATTATGCTCTAATTGCGCTTAATCGCAGCGGCGTCGAGGAGGTATTTGTTTATGCCAGCCTTTATTTGCAGAACATACGCGACCACATCAAGTAAGCTAATTTCAAATTGAGGTCTGCCTATTTCAACAATCAATCTGTAACACACAACAGCGTCCACTTGTTTGTGGACAGTGACTTGAAATATACTTGTATATATATATATATATATATATGTATTCTGTTTGCAGACGAGGCATCGCCACCTATGCTTCGTGGTCCTTTAAGATGACAGTCCATGTGATTGGCGGAGAAGGCTGTCGTTGCTTTGGGGATGCGATGCGGGATCTTGATGCTAAGGCTTTGATACGTGGCAATTTTATACTACTGGGCGCAGATACGGTGACCAATGCAGACCTGCGTCCAGTATTAGAACAGCATAAGCGCATGGCAAAGTTCGATAAAGGTACGGCCGCCACGCTTGTGTTTAAGGAGTGCGCCAGCAGCAATGAACGAACAGGCAATGAGCTCCTAATTGCTGTGGATAAACATAATACTCGGCTACATTATCATCAGCGATTGCGCATGAATCATAAGGAGACACGTTACCAGATACCGCTTGATGTGTTCCTTAACAATTCGTGCGTTACGCTGCATCACAATCTACTCGATCCACAAATTGCTATTGGCTCGCCATCGATGCTGTCGTTGTTTAGTGATAATTTCGATTTCCAAACACGCGACGATTTTGTTCGAGGCTTGCTTATTAACGAGGAACTCTTGGACAGCCGTATCTATGTGGCACTGTTGCCGCCTGCCCAATATGCACACAAAGTGAACAATTGGCTCTCCTATCAGCTGGTTAGCCGGGACATTATAAGTCGTTGGGCCTATCCGTTGGTGCCCGACATGGGCGTCTATAAGCTGCAACAGCAGTATGTTTTCTACAAGGACAACATCTACAAGAGCCAAGAGGCGAACGTCTCTAAAGTGGCACTGCAGGAGAATGTTGTTATACAGACAGGCAGCCATGTGGATGCCGGCACGTCAATTAGTTGCAGCGTAATTGGCGCTAATTGCCGCATTGGCAAGAACTGCGTGCTCAATAATGTCTTCCTCATGGCTGATGTGATTATTCAAGACAACTGCCACCTGCGGCACTGCGTCATAGGCTCTGGTACGGTTATCAATGAGAATTGCGACATTGGCGCAGGCTGCGTATTGGGTGCCAAGTGCATCCTGCCCGCCAGCACAAAGCTAGCCAATACGCTGGTCACCAGCTCACCTAGTACACAGCGCACCGGAGAGATTGAACAGGGTAAGGCCTTCAATCAATTCCTCAATTGCTCTTCTCAATTCATGTGAATTTATTTTGCAGTTGCACTGGAATCCATTGGGCCAGCTGCATACATAGTTAATGATCTGACAACTGGTGATCCGGACGATTCCGATGCGGATGACCACTTGATGTCACAACTGACGACTCTCTGCATACCGAAAATGTGTGACCTGCGGAATGCGGCAATCGCGGATAGCGATTGCAGCTACTCCAGTGACGACGATGACAACGAGGATGAATCTCGCTTAGCAACTCCGCTGCCCGACGATACAAACAGTAAGCATTGACCACAAAAGAGGGAAAACAACAAATTGATGATTTACTACCATTCTTTGCCATTGCAGTCTTTCTCTCAGAAGTCATCGACTCGTTAACGCGCGGCTATCGCGAGAAATCCAATCCGGACTTTCTTATACTTGAGATTAACTCCTCGCGTTATGCGTACAATATGTCTCTCAAGGAGGTAAATTTCAATGTGGTCAAAGCTGTCTTTGCCATGGAGAGCATCATCGAGCCAGCTAACGATAACGTTTTGGTAGCCATCAATGCGGTTTTCAAGCAACTGGGACCTGTTGTCTCTAACTATATTAAGAGCGAAGATGCTATGATGGATTGCCTGAAGGCTTTGGAGGTACTCAACCGGTTTTCTTGTTTTATTTGTAGTTTTATTAATTATCTGTTATGTTTATTATTCTCAGGACATTTGCGAGGAAAACAAACTGGTGCATGAAAAGATCTCCCAAGTGGTGCATTATCTGTACGACAAAGACTTCGTCTCCGAGGATGCCATACACAAGTGGTACGATCAACTGGATGTCCAAGAACATGCGACGTTGCGTCACAGTCTCGCCAAGCTTGTCGACTGGCTGAACCAATCGAGCGAGGATGATGACGACGACGATGAAGATGATGATGAGTAGGATGGTGATGATTAGCCAGCTGACTAAAAGTGTTCCTTTGCATAAACGAAATACAATTAATTAAAAGTCGATCTGTGTTTATTTGTTACAATGTTTTTTATTGCGACACTCAAGAATTTGGGCTTAAAGTCGAAAGAGTTTAAACATATTTCAATTGTTATTTTCTGGATGCTATCCAAATTTTAATATATGTATGTATAAACAATCGAAATATCTACAATTGAAATATAATGAACTAGAAGGGACGTGTACTCAATAATCTTTTGACCGTAAATCGATCCCAAAAAATCGATATTTATAATTTGTATATATGCAAACAAATAGAAAAAATGAATTAATAATAATAAAAAAAAAGAGGTAACGTAATAATATATATATATACATATATGTGTATATATATATATATATATATTTATATTTTATATATATTATATATTATATATTAAATATTGACGTCCGGCTGGTCAGGGAGGGGGGAAAGTGTTTAAAAAGTATCTAAGGCTTAACAGAAGTACATACAACTACGTTTCGCTGCTTGCTCCTGGCTGCTCATTATTTTTCAAATTGGTAGTCTTCCTCCTGCGAGTCGGACTCCTCGCAGCCAGTGCCCACCTCTTGAATGATATCTTCGTCTGCCTTATCGTCATCCTTTTCATCATGCGATTGAGTTTCGTCTTCTGACTCCTTCATCGACTCGATTGTTATTTGCGAGTCATCGGCACAATCATCAGTGTTATCAGCATCTCCTCTTTCAGATGCATCATCTTCTTCGAGCTTATCTGCCGCCTCCAGAGCATCTCCCTCTGTATCTGCATCCTCATCAGCAACAGCATCAGCATCAGCATCAGCATCAGCATCAACATCAGCATCCGCATTATCCCCATCATTTTCATTGCCCTTTTTCTCCGCCTGATCGTCATTCTGCTCATCTTCGAGATCACTGTCGACATCCATTGGCTCCACGTCCGATTCATCCAATTGTTTGGATTTCGCATCTTTCCCTTTTGCTTCTTTTGCCGATTTCTTCCCTTTGTGATCCTTGTCCGCAGCTGATCTTTTCGCGCCGCTGCCCGTCTTACCCGACTCTGATTTGAGGGACTTTGGTGACTTAGCGGATGCTTGACTAAAGCTGCGCTCTTCAATGTTCCGATTGATGGTCAGAGCAATGTAATCAAGTCGCATCTGCACGCTCTTCTGGAAAACCTCGCTGTTGGCGCTGCAGACAAGATTGCTGCGCACTTCCTCTATGCAACCCTCGAGCACTTTGTTCACTTCGGCCGCCTCCCAATCACTGTCCAAATTCTGTGTGACAATCAGCAATGTGGTCAAATTCTTGAGCAGCGTAATCATACGTTCGCTCTTCACCACGCCCTTGTTTATCTCGTCGACAGTTTGGCTGGCCTTGGCCCGACATTCCTCGCGCAATAGAGTCGGCGATATCATAGCTTGAACATTGGGATTGCGTGTAAGGCTGTTCGACAGCTCCTGCACCTTGGTCAGCTCGTACATAAGATCCCCATTGATACGCTCGATCGTTATAATATTCGATGCATAACGACGTTGAAAATCATCGCGCAGCTGGCGGCGACTATGATCGGCAACGACATCTTCCTGGCCCATCAGCTCACCCATTGCTAGTTCTGCGTTGGCATTCATTTCAGTTAACCGCTGAATCTTTGCCTCCTTTAAAGCAATATAGTTCTGGAGTAAAACCAAATGCTCAAGTAGCTTTGTCGGATAGCCATGATGTCGCACTAGCTGCATCCTAATTGGACTCTCACCCATTGCGTCCTGTCCTAGCAGCGGATCACTCTTATTTAGCTTCATGCTGAGCGCATTTCGTGCCGCCGCATTGTTGTTGACCAAATGTTTTTGGGGAGTAGAGGAGCTGTTGCCGCTGCTGTTGAGATTGCCGGCGGCAGCGCCAAGCGGGAGACGTTTGCCCTGATAGCTGCTGGCCAAATTGGTGGTGAAGCCCAGATTGGTGGTATAGCCCATATTATTGGTCTGATAGATGCTCATCAAGTTGGGCCGAAAGTCTTTGGTGAAGCTGTGCAGCGGCAGCATCTCGTGAAAGTTCTCCGACACAATCTCATAGTCCGGTATCGATTGTGTGCCCAATCCTGGCCGCTCGAAGGTCACCCGATACATGGCATTTAGCGAATGATAGGCAGCCACCGTCCCAGCAAAGATGCCGTCCTGCGGCGTACGCAATCGTGCCGTCACCTTGGTGCCCAATGGCAACGGCATTGGTATCTTTTCTGGCATATCAGCTACCAGCAGCGTGTCCTTCAGGTCACCGGACTTACATGATTGCAGTGTGCGCATTAGCTGACGCTTGCGCTCCAGCTCCCGCCGCTCCTCGTTAAAGAACGCCGCCGAGCATCGCCTGGGGCGGCCCATGCGTCGCCTAATGTTGATCCATTCGTGACGATTCAATTTGCGTGTGCCGAGACGTGGAGCCAACTCATTCACATTGTTCATGAAATCGTATTTGCAATCGAAGAGCGGCTTATCGATGTACGAATAGAACCACTCGGCAATGGCCCATTTGTGGGCCTTGGGCAGCTTCAAAAGGTTGCGCAGCCGCAGACCAATCGATTGACCCAAGCGCTTGTTGGCCACCGCCTGAGCCTCAACCTTCCTAGCAGCGTCCTCAGCAGCGGCCGCAGCTGCAGCAGCCGCAGCGCTCTTTGCTCCGCTTGTGGCGCCGCGACCCGGTCGCAGATGCCCGGCCAGCTGTGGCAGCTGCTGCTGCTGCTGATGCCCCTTGCTAGCAGCTGTTGGTGTATTCGAGCCTAATGGCTGCTTGCCCGGTGTTTTCTTCTGCCTGTCAGTGGCCTCTGCACCCGAGTTGGAGTTTGAGGTGGAGGCACTATCATTAGAGCGCATGTAACGTGAAACGACGCCCTTGCGCTTCTTGAGCACTTTTGAAGGTGTCGTCAGCAATTTGCTGGGACTGTCGCCAGAGCCACGGGCGGACGCCTTCTTAGGTGCCAAACTGACGCGCAACGGTTTGTCATCGTTGATGATGTTCTCATCGTAAAAGAGCGGATTGCGCTTTCGTATCCGGGCGGGCATGCCACGTGCATTGAGTGGTGGTATGTGCACCTTTTGGGTTTTCGGTTTCGGTGGCTGCACAGTGCCCACACGCTGCAGGCCGAGCGTGGCCAGGCTAAAGGATGGCATCTCCACCTCCTCCTCGGTATCACTCGTCTCATTGCTGTCATCGGGCGCTTCTTCCTCCTCCACGTCGTCGTCCTCGTTATTCCCCAGATCAGCTTCCTCATCGACGGTGTCACAATCATCTACCGATTCCTGTTCCTGTTGCTTTTGCTCACGCCCCCCTTCGTTCGCTTTAAGCGACTTCCCCTGCGTTTTGTTACTCGGCTCTACTATCTCATCATCATCATTGGAAGCGCGTGCAATCTTTCTCAACGCAGCGGCTGTCTTCCTCGGCCTACCCCGCTGGCCGGTGCTTCTGGTCTCCGTTTCGGGCATTTTCGCCGTCTGCTTGCTGTAAAATTAAAAAAAAAAAACAGTTGATCAAACATTCTTAAATAAAAAAATACAAATACAGCTGTTTCTTTTTAGGTTGCATCAGAAAAATTCCAACTACATCAGACATAAAATACCATAATTTGACACGGAAATATAATTTGCTTTCAGTTATATCTAAAAATACAAACCACAATTTCATATGATGCTTTATATAAAATAAAGAGGCATTAAGTTTTATCTAGATACGGTTTAGCTAATCCATACTATATCAGCTATATAATATAGTGCTCCGATCCGAGCTCTTATGAAATCTACGTACAATATCTTCACAGAAAATATTTTTTATATTTATACAGACTTATCACATTGAATAGAAAGAAAGAGGAAGGTCCGAAAGAGAGGGTGGATTGTTCTATACAATCAATACAAGGGACAGAAGGCATCTATAGAGACCTAATCACGTTATTTATGAAAATTCTCCCTTTGAAGCTTCCAAATTCTGCTTGACAGAGGTTTAACATGGAAATTACATCGAAACCCGAAAGGAAATCAACTAAATCTGGATGCTAAAAGACTAAACTGAACTTGGACACTGAATACCTAACTGTAACAATACAAAAACCCCTTGAAGACCAATTATGTTCTACTCTTATGGGCAGCTACAACGAAACAATCCAGAAGACTATCAAGCACACATTCGCATGATCATAGTCAAGTTGTAGAAATCTCAAAATACCCCAATAAACACAATTATCAGGTTGTCAACCGATTATTCGTAGAGTAAAATGATTCCTTCCCTTAGAAAGGGTGATCTAAAAGTAAATTTCTTACAATATATTTAGCACTTGTCCACCTCCAACTATGAATATATATTACATGAATACGCAGCTGCCATTTGGGGCATTCCTCTAACATTAAGTTAAATATACAAGAAAGGAAAACTCGTTTATTTCATGTTTGCTTTTTGACTTTATTTCTTGCATGTATATATATAAATATATATATATATATATTTCTATACATATATATTATTTGTTATATTAATTTTTTCATTCATTATTTCATTTTTTGTGTAATACTTTGATTGAAGGACCTCGAATATACGCATACATACATACATACATATATATTCTCACATATATAGTAATTCAAATTAAGCACAAATATAATTTATTTAATTTATGTATATATATGTGTGTAGTAGTAGAGTGTGTGTGTGTAGTTAAACCTATACAAGCATACATATATAAATACAGGTGTGTATGTGTGTGTGTAATATTGCTAAGCTTTTTGTTTGCATATAATATATTCTTAAGTTTCGAATATGTTTAATTAATTATTGTTTAACTTTAGAGTTTGCTAATTGCAAAAATGATCAACAACAAAATAATAGATATAGCGTTTGAATTCAATTTCCATAAAAAAAAATAAAAAAAATTGATATTAATAATTTTCAGTTTTTTTTTGTTTTGGTTTTTTTATATAAAGTAGCAACATTGCGCAATACAAGTTTCTTTTAAATAGTTGTAGATAGATAATAACAATACATTAGGTTTAACAAATATCAATATCGATAATAATAGTATTTAATAATAATAATAATAGTAATAATTAGAATAGCATAGGAAGTAATAACAGCATTCAATCTTTGTTTGTATTGGTATTGTTTTGCTTCTTAGTTTTCAATTCCATTTGTAGTTGGATATTATTTATTTGCTTTTTTTTCTTTCTTTTTTTTAATAGTTTATATGTACTTTTTAACTAACAAAACAAACATTTTTATTTTGCTTATCGTATAATTACATAAATATTCAACAGCAAAGTTTTCCAATTCCGAATAACCAAAGCAATATGTTAAGAAAAAAAGAAGTTTATATTCAAATAAAAGTAAAATTAACTACTCAGTTGTTTTTATTGTGCTCAAGGGAATACCCTAATTGCATGTGAGTTGGTTCAATTGTTTTGGTTATCGGAATAGTTTCGTTTAGTGTTTTTATCTTTTTTGTTTTTGTTGCTTTTTTTAAAACAATTTTAGCCAAGAAAGAACATTAAAAATCGCACAAAATACAATTAAAATACATATACAAATAAAAGTTTGCCTTTTTATATATTATACATAATAAATAACAGTGTTTTCTATTAGGTTTTCGCATCGTTTTCTTAAACCTCGATTTCTCATCTGTTTTGTTTTTTTTTTTCTTTTCGTTTTTATTGTTTTCTATTTGTTTGTAAGCTTTGTTCTCTATTTATTGTTTTAGTTGACGATCGTGTCTCGCTCGCTTTTGAAGCCCGCGTTGTTGATTGCCTAAAAAGTATGCAGCTCGGCTGCTCAGTATGTGGCCTAACGACGTTGACTTCGTTTTATTTGGGACAATCGATAAGTAGTTATCGATAACACAAAACCGAGTGAAATGTTCGCTAAATCGTTAAACCAATAACTGATGGTCGATAACCATTGTATGTTGATCGATATATTGATAACGATTGTTTTTTTTTTGCTGTTTTGTTGTTTATTTATCGATAAGCCGCTATCGATAGTTGTTTTGAATGAAACTCGTTGATCGCTCGCGTTTCAATTTTAAACATTGAAACGCGTCTCCGAGCCATCGGCCAACATCAACGTCACGGTTCGATTATTAATCCAGACGAGCTTAGCCAAACGCATCGGATTGAGCCGCGAGACATCCGGTATAGGAGCCGTGGAATAGCCCTTGGTGCAGCGCGTCTGCGATTGACCTAGGCCAAACATGCCGGTGCTTGTCTGCCAGAAGGACAAGCGATTCTCGGCACACGAATAGGACACCAGGTATTTGCCATCTGGCGAGAAGGCCAACGAAGTGATCGGATGCGTATGGGCAGGAATCATTTGGCACTTGTTCTGCCTCAGTTCGTATATGGCCAAATTTCCGCTATTGGCACCAACAGCGATCCGTCGCGTTTGGCCGCAATGCGAAATTTGATTGAATTTACATATAACCGGGCATAGCTCGGCCAAGCCGCGTCCCTTTAGCTCATTGCTATCAACGCAATGAAGCGCGATGTCCATCACTTCCACTAATAGACCCGCTATCTCCGATTGCATCTTATCGATCAACATCTCAACGCATTGTAATATTTCGCTCTTGGCCTTGTACAGAACTGATTGTGTCAAAGGTGTATTGATCGACTGGGCATTCTGTTGCATCGTATTATATCGAGCCACCTCTCTGGCCATTGTCGTAATAAATGCCGCTGGCCGTGCTGTGGCAATCAGACGCAGTGCATGGCGGGCGGTGCGACAGGCATCGGCCTGTGGTGTCAATGGTAATTTATAGTTCAGATTTGGCACCGCCTTGCCCTCACAGGATATCTCCAGTAGGCCTAGCAGCACCTTGGACACATCCAGGTAGGGCTCCCAAACGGTAAAGCCACGTCCCAGCAGATCAATGGCCGCGCGACGCAATGGCGTATATTGTGGTAGCTTAGGTGATGGCGGTGCATACAGTAGATGAGCTAGCGCCATGGAGGTAAGTCGAGCCAAATTGTTGGCGATTCCGAAGCCTTCGACTACCGAGGATTTGCGCCTTTCGCTACTGGCGTGACCAAGGCTAATGCTGCCGCGATGATTGGGCGATTCCTGTGAAATATCCTGTCCGAACTCAGCACCAATCACGCCCAGCAGGATGACAGCGGTGGTCTGTTTCCGTTTTAGCTCCGACAGACTGGACGGCTTGCGTATGATCTCCTCCTCCTCCTCCTCATAGTCTTCCTCCTGTTGATCGCTAGAGCCACCACCGGTGCCACCAGCCGACATGCCCTGACCGCCCGACATCGAGCTGCTTCCGTTGCCCATTGACGAGTTGGTACCACCAGCAGCACCACCCCCACCAGAACCTCCGGCTCCGCCCGCCTGGTTGTTCGTCATAGCCGCCACTTGCTGAGCACCCACAATAGGTTCGGTGTGTGTGTAGAGCGGCAAATACTGTGCCCAGCTTTCGACTAGCTGTTTGCGTCCTTTTTTGCCCATACGAGTGAGTTCGCCCAGCAATATTTGCTGCGCTGCCTCACGTATCTCGATGCAATGGTGCTGCCAGCGCTTGACCATCATCTCCACCTGCGGGCGCTTGAACTTCTTTGGCTCCAATGCCTCAATTTTATCGGGCAGTAGGAAGCAATGGTGTGTGGACAACAGGCTCCAGCCCTGTTTGATCTGTGAAGTGTGATGAGCGATCAGCTCTTCGCGCTCCTCTTCATTGCTTAGCGTTGACTCGGCCCGCTGAGCTAGGCGCTGCAGCTTCTTATGCTTTTCGCTGTCTGGCAGGAACGAGGCAGCGCTCATGGACATCAGCGTATTGGACATGGCCACCAATGCCAGTATATGATTTGATGTCAATGTGGTGCTTAGCTCCCAGTGCAGACGCGATGTGAAAATGGCTGTCAAATGCTCCAGGCGCTGCAATTCCTCAGGCAGCATACGCTTCTTGGAGCTGGAGGGTAATTGGAGTAGTCCTGGTGGTATGGCATAGTTATTTTGCCATGTGGGCAATAGTAATGACATATAGCCTGCTTTGGACAAAACACCGTATGAGATGGGTACAATAGGACGCAGTAGGCCTAATTGCGATTCGCAGACTTTGTCCAGATGCGGATCTAGGCCCCAGGAATGCAGCAGTGAGAGCAGCAGCTGGGCCACTTCCATAACATGGGTGACCTCCATTTTGGATGCAATCTTACTCTTCAGATCTTGTGGCTGCTCATCGTGCGTCTCCACGGCCTTCTGCAGGCTCTCCACCTTGGCCTGCACCTTTTTCTCTACAATTTCGGTTTTCTCCTTGAACTTCTGGACAAGTCCATGCTTATCCTTGTCCTTAAGTATCTTCTCAACATCAACAGCCTTATTCTTTACCTTGCTAAAGAAGTCGCCAATTTTTTTGCTCGCATCAATATGCATCGATTTCCCATCTTTGGGATTCTGCAGGTGCACACCCAACGCCTCCAACGTGGCTGGCGTCATCTGCGCATATTCCTCACTGTGCAACTCAAATATCAATCCCTCGATGTCAAAGAAGAGTATGTGGCTCTCCGCATCCTTGGGATTGGTACGCAAGCCCTGTATGACTAGCGGATTGCTGCGATGCTTCATCAGGAAATCAAAGTTGCCTTGATTGTGACCCTGTAGCTGTTGCAACTGATGGATGCCACGTTGTGTGGCATGCCGTATGGCATTCATGTTGCGCGACTTGAGTCCTCTGAAGAAATGCACTGCCGGGTTGGCCATACCCATTTCGCTGGCTGAATTGGCGGCAGTGCCAGATGAACCACCGCCTCCACTGCCACCATCCTCCAAAGCCTGCTCATCACAAGCTGAAAGCACTTCCTCGGCTAACATGCCATGCAGCACACGATCCAAGTGACCCGTTTCCATTTGCCAAACATAGACGCTGCCATCGGAGCAGCCGACAATGAGAAAATCATCGAGTGGACGCCATTTAATGGTCACAACCGGAAATAGATGCCGACTGGCCAACGTAACGCATTTGCGTTCTTGTAAACTAACCAAGGTGACTGAATGATCCGAGGCCACCGAACAGATGCACTTGAGGATGCGTGGACTGCAACTCTCGGGCGGCACCAGCAGCTGAGTTATCTCTCCCGCATGGACACAGAAACGGTGCAACAGACTGCCGCTATACAAATCCCAGAGGCAGACCGCAAAATCAATGCCACCGGAAAGTAAATGGGATTTCTCATAACGTGGATGTACCATGGAGGGGCAAAGCAAACAATTGACACGTCCGCGATGCCCATAGAGTATCTGATGAGATGGCCAATCACTGAAATTCTGCTTAATGCCTACGAGCAATTGCATCATAACCGTCTGTGTGGCCGGCACAATGACAATGCTACCATCCTCGCGTCCAATGACCAAACGACTTTGCTGTGGCAGATAAATGCTCGACGTGAGCTTCACCGGGGACTCGGTGATACGTGACAGCTGATCGAGTATGCCCACGGGCGGAGGATCCATTATCGACCAGGCCTCCACTAGCGAGGTGCAGACATGCGGCTTCTGTATGCGCGGCGGCATTTGCTTTGCTTGCAATATGCTAATATTATCCAACGGCACCTCAGGTACGTTCCACACCGAAATATAACCTTCAGAATCGCCGCGTAGCAAAAAATGTGTCTGTTGACCCATTAAGAGTTTCATCGCTGGCGGACAGGAGAGCACCTTATCGCCGGCATGCTGCAGCACATAGTACAGATAGGGCGCATCGCGAACGACGCTCTTTGAGTGGAATTCCCTATTGTCCGGTATACAATTTGCTGGCAATTTATACAAATACCCTTTGCCCTCGTCCGTCCATAGCATAACACGATCAGAGGTTATGAAATCGCCGCCCTGCCAACGTTCGCGAGCAGGCGCTATTACGGAGCAGAGCACCGTAAAATCGCCAGCATCATAGATCTGCCAATATTTGGTGCAGACGAGGAGCACAGTGCGCTGATTCTGAGCACAACAGTTCATGGTAATAGCATTCAAGCAGCGTATCTCCTTAGATTCATTCTCGTATATGGGCTCCGCATGCTTGTTCTCATTGCCCGTCAAGGTCCAGACCTTGACAGTGCCGGTGGTGGTGATGGCCAGTACGACATCATCTTTGCGACGCATTGGACGTAGCACGTGTATGGCTGAAATCCAGTCCGGTTTCACCTTAGAGCTCAGCACATAAATGACTTCGAGACTAAATGGATCCATGACCATAATTTCAGCATAGTAGCCAATGCAGAAGAGACGCACATCCTCGCTGTTGGCCGTGTGATAACTTTGGATTTGTGTATGAACTTGTGGCAACTTGACAGCCTCAGTGCATTTGCCATCGATCAGATCCCAGGTGCACATCTCACCGTTCTCCGACGAGCTAACGAGAAAATTATTCTCCGGTAGCAGGGAGGCACGCACCAGGCACAACACAGGCGCTGAGTGTCCAACAAGCAGGCAACGCGGTGACATCTTTAATGGGCCTGACTCCACTTGCCACAGACAGATCTGCCCATCGTAGCAGCCGGTGACCAGTGTGCATTGATCATCCGATAGAAAGACGCTCGATATGCAATGTGTCGGCGCTGTGGGACCCCATAGCACCACAGGCACCACCAGATTCGTACTGACCATGATTATCTATGGTATCTTTGGAGTGATGCAACCACTAACCACGTCACTAACACCGATACCGACACCAATACCAACACCGACTCCTCCTCCTCCTCCGCTGACGTTGCCTATGTTCGCTCTATGATGTATTTGTCCTTCCCTCTGTGTGTGAGTGTGAGTGTTTTTGAATATTTTGCAAATATCAATTTCGATTTGTGTGATGGTGGTTTTTGTTGATGATGTTGTTGCTGCTGCTGCTGCTGCTGCCGCGGTGATTGCTGTTCTCTGTAAGAATTTATTAGTAAACATTGGCTCACCACACACCGTTTCTTGGCGGGGCCTACACTTGTAATTGCGTGCGTGCGTGCGCGTGTGTAAACATACAGTAAACATTCTTGATAGCACACCAAATCAATAATTATCAGCCCTGTTTCATTTTTGCCCTTTCTCAAAAGCGATATATTCGGAATTTTAGAATGAAATTTGACACTTTATATTTGAATAAAAGCATACAGTAAGCATTCGATGTGGACTACATGATAAAATGTTATGTGTATTATTTCAGCTCAATGAAATTTTAATCTGCTTTATTTTCTTTTTCTTTGTTTGTCTCATATACATATATGTTGTATGTAGAACTGAATCGCAATACAAACTTATCTAAAGCAAAGAGAATCTGATATCTAACGCACCTACGGAAATAGAATGTTAACTGATAGTACTGCGAAAGCTGATAATAATGTAAGTTGTTGCGGTTAACGCTAATCTCGAGAACGTCTCAATACAATCAAAATGTTTGTGTTGATATAAAAAAGTTTTACCGAGATAAGTTCATGCATATGATAGAAATCTAAGCAGACAGTAAATTGTTTACGAAGAGAGTACGAAATAGAGAATAAAGTTTATGCATTACATAATTATTCAATACAAGCTGGCACAAAGGCCATAAAACGTACTATGTACGCGGTGCCTGTGAAAATGTTTACGAATACGACGCAAAGGGGAATGCACAATTAACTGCATATGGCAAGTGAGTCACACTTTAAGTTGAAATTGAAATAATATATATATTTTTTCACACTCCACTAGCTCATTAACAATAACAGCATTTAAATTAAGTCGTTTATTAGTTTTTAACTGACATAAGCAACTGTAGGAAGCAGTGAAATAATTTTGCTGTAGCTGCATTAGCATATGTTTTTCTAAGCTTCAACTAAAGTGCACTATATAGATAGATTACTGTAGAGACTTAAGAGATTGCAAATTCAGTGTATTGAATATCAAAAGATAAACAGAGTACACGCACGCACACACCCAGACAAACAGAATTATGTTATACAATTGAGGCGCTGGAGACAACCTTGAGTGGTAAAAAAAAAAACCTCCCACCGACCCCCTTAGGCAAACAATATGTGACCAGGATGAAAAAAATGTAAAAAGCAAACGAAAAACAACTACGCTTCGAGTTGATTTCTAGACAATAAAGACAATATATATACACGATACGTGTGTGTTGTAAGACAATAGAGTAAGTAAATGGCAAGTGTGCCAATTGCGATGCCGGACCAACGGATGGAGCAGCGAGTGGACAATGTGACATGTGTGTAAATATGTATATACATATAGCAGTCTATCTGTCTGTTTATATGTATGTATATACGTCAGCAGGCTCTACGATGTGGGCAATTAGCTGCAATAACCAAAACAATATGGTTACCGCAAATGGAGCAGAGCGCTCATGAAATTCTATAATATGCTAAATTAATTGGATGACGACGCGTGCTTATGCATTTGAAATAAAAGTATTGAAATAAAAAGTATTAAAAGGCTGCCCAATTGGGTTGCGCACACACACACATACACACGCGCGCACACACAGAGCAGAAGTGTAGACCCGCCAATAAATAATAATTGTAGATAACTTAGCATTTAGCTAACATTTTGCTATTGTTGTTGTTGTTTCCGTATTGGCTAGCGCGTGATAAACTCCTCCCTCGCTGTTCGTTCGATACGCTCGGATTTGTTTCTTTCTTTTTGGGTATTTTGTAGGGGCTATTGATCCTGATCCGTGTACTGCATTTTCAGTGTTGTAAATCAGTGTTGATTACGCAGCACAATTATGGAATGTCGTCGTCTCCGCCGTCTTACGATTCTAATTTGAATACACTCCGAACTTTTTTTTTCGCTTTTTACTGCTGGGCACCGTGTGTTGCTATCGCTATCCGTTCAATTACAACACACACACAGACACAACACATATATACACACGCTGCTGTTGTTGCTCTTTTTGTTATTGCTATCGCTATTAGCGATTTTCTCATATGTATTTATACTATTTTTCCCATTAGGGGTTTTCGCTGCTATATTATAACACTTTCGTACAAATTGTTATTGTACCATTTGACTTTAAGCATATACGTTTACATCAACTATCACTTGGTTTTCACTTTGTATATTCTATTTGTTTTTCTATATATATATATATATTTTTTTTATTTTTATATTTTGGTGCACACGAAAATCTGCTGAGCAGAGAAAAAGCAGTGAAGATATCGACCGTGGACTGAAATTTGTCGATTAATTGGTAGAGCTGTCGCCACCTCCAATAAATACGATACATTCATTCCATTTTCAAATGGGTGACAACTCTACACTTTAATTTTGATATTTAGCTTAAATGTTAATGTTTTTCAGTGTTTTTGGCAGTCTTAGAGTACATAATGAGCTAATCAAATGATTTATATGTATGTTACGCGTATATGATGTACTCTTAACACCTTTAATTCCGCGATTACACGTGAATGAATCGTAACGTCGTTAGCTATTGTCCAACGGACAACACACTCAACGAAGTACATGCGCTTGTCAAACACGAATTCAGTTATTTTGCGTATATTAACTATAAATATAGAATTGCTCCCGCTTTTGTTGTAAACTGCTGGTCTTAATAGTCACGAAACATATATTTATATATAGATACGCATATGTAAATAAATAAACACACGCTAGTCAACACGAAGGTAGCTGTTGCTGCTGATTTCATGTAACTGCCAACGATCAAATCACTATAGAATAGCTTATGCTAAGCAAAACAGTGTACTTACCTTCCAATAAAGTTGTGTTATACTTGTTGTTAACTTTTAGGCCACTTTCTTTTAAATTTTTGACAAAATTCTCTTGACACACACTCTTTTGAATGGCGGCTAGAAAAGAAAATCAGCGATGAGTGTTGTGGTGTAGAGTTGCTCACCTTTTAAATATCGACTTATCGAAAATTTTAAATATTTGATAACACAATTGTTAATGTAAAAATATCAACATATTTTAATTTTATAAGCAATAATTTTAATTTATAATGAATGTTTAATAATGTCTTTTTGACAATGAACTAATCATACAAAAACGCAAGTAGTTCATATGAATGCGCATTGTCACTAGCTTAGTCAGCTGAATGTTACATGTTAAAGTGTTCATTATGAACGATAAATTAAGTATTCCTATTTGTCCTCGGCACCAATTAGCATGCTGTTATCGAACATATTCCAGTCTGGCAGCATCGCTATGAGGAGTAACTCTGTAAAGTGGGGAGCAGCTCTAATTAGTAAAAATAAAAAACAAATGCGGCGCCTGTTACAAAATACCAATGGACAAATATTATTTGTCTCTCAAATTGTGACCAGACATTTGAGCAGCAGTAGTGCATCTGGCGACGCAATCCGCCGGACACAAAAAGATCCACGAAAACAACAGCAGCAAACCACTAATATTATTAGCAGAGAAGATAAATTTGGTGCCAAATATTGCATGGGCCTGGTGGAGTAAGTGTATCTGCACCTGAATCCACATGTGGCAAAGGTTTTATTGAGTGTTCCTTTATCCTCCACAGAAAATATGATTATGAGAATTATTTGAGCACCTTGCTGCTGCCAACTGAGTTGCGTGTCTCAGCCTTTGCTCTGCGCGCATTCAATGTCGAGGTCTCCCGCTCCGTGGGCACTCAGGTAGGTGCTTCTGGATATCTTAAGTAAAAAGAGCTTTACACATTGTAAAACTACTTGCAGCTCACCGAACCACAAATAGCCAAAATGCGCTTGAAGTTTTGGTATGACTCCATAGACAAGTGTTTCGAGTCAGATACCAGCAAATCCTATGTTAAGGATCAGCCTGTGCTGCGTGAGCTAAAACGTACTGTGGGCAGCTCTAAGCTTAATAAGCTCTATCTACGGCGGTTGGTTACCGCTCGCGAACGAGCACCCAATCAAGCGTTTGAGACACTGCGCGACCTAGAGGACTATGCGGACCAGACCTGTTCCTCACTATTGCATCTGCTGGTGCAACTGAGTGGTGTGCAGGACGTGCAAGTGGATCACGCCGCTTCGCATTTGGGCAAGGCCCAAGGCATCGCCATGATGTTGCGTGCCATACCCCACGCTGGACGCCAGCAAGCAGTCTGTGTGCCGCTGGAAGTGCTCGTACGACATGGCGTCAGTCAGGAACGCATCTTGCGCAGCGAGCGAGAGGACAAGGGTGCCGAGGAATGCATCTTCGAGGTGGCCAGTTTGGCCAACACCCATTTGAAGCTAACGCGCCAGCTACTCCCTCAAATGCCCCGAATTGTTCGCAAAATTTTCCTGCCCGCCGTTGCAACTGATGGCTATTTGGAACGCTTGCGTCGTGCCCACTTTCTGTATGTGCAATGAAGATCACATTTTCGGGTTTCCCATATTAATATATTTCCCAATTTTCATATATTTAAGGTTAACGCATCCTAGCTGCATAAAGCGAGACTCTATGTTGCCGGCGCGACTCTTCTGGAAGACGCTATTTAACGCATACTAATCAATTAGTTAGTGAAATGTTGAAATTTGTTAATTATTAAAAGCAATTACGTAAATTTGAATTGTTTGAAAATATTACCAAACGATCGATAACAAATTCGATATCCAAAATTGGCCCTCAATATCTATCGATATATTGATATACATTCGTATGTATAGTTGCTGGCTGTTTCTTGAAAGTAGCGCGTTGTGATTTTTTTAGTTTTTAGTTCAAGAGCGGAGTACCAAAATAAAACATGAAATGTGTCAATTTTAAAATTAATGTTCTCCATAATATTAATGTACTCATTGTGTGTTATTAGCTAATTTTGCCAACGGAGCCGTGCGCTAGGCGCATTTCGAATTTTAAGCACCGTTTAGTTTAAGTGAACCAAGCAAATTAAATATATATATATATCTAGTTTGTATCAATATTAACATTTTATGGTAAGTGTTTAATTATACTATATAAATTATGAAGATGATTGTGATTGTTTAGCTCTTAACTATTATTGCATGCACGCCATTTTTTCCAGTTCATGCAAAATACATTACACAAAAATTGCCGCTCTCTATGTTGCGGTGCTTCACAAAATTAACGGAATTTTATTGTACCCTCTCACTCTGTCACATTGCAAGCTCAGCTCTAAGCTGATGATGGGTTACAAGCAGAGCAACAAAGGATAGACAAATGCAAAAAAAATAAATACGGTTACTTTAATACAGTGGTGGCCAGTTCCAATAAGAACAGAGTAACTGATAAAGAGAAAAAGCTAATTAGCGTAAAATAAACTGAATAAAAAATAAACGGCGTAAATACATGAAATTAAATCAAAAGTCGTGCCTATACATTATATAGAAAATATAAAAAGAAAACAACCAAAAATAAAAGAAAAAAAATTAAACAAAAAAAAAAATTAAAAAATTTCTTAAATATAACATTTTAAAAAAAATTAAATTAAATTAGTTTTACTTTAAAAGTAAGCGACATCTGGCTTGAGTAATTTTTTATACACAAAACTCAAAGCGCAGTCAAAAAAAATTATCCTTGGGATTCTTCCTATGTATGCGAGCCGAGCTGAAATGAAAATCTTTGCCACAAACGTTGTCGTTGCCAGCGCAGCGGAAGCAACTGCTGCTGTTGCAACTGCAACATCTACAACAGCGGCGCAACAACAGCAGCAGCGGGAATATCGCTGCGGCGCTCAGGTTAAGTACAACAAATACAACAACAAGGCCAACAATATGCTGCGGCAGACCAAATACATCAGCGGCAACGGAAACAGCAGCAACAATAACGGCAGCAGCAACACAGATAGCAAGCATGCCAAGCGTCAGACACAGCAGCAGCAACAAACACAGCAGCATTACAACAACAACAACAACAACAACATGCACAACTTTACACGCAAAAAATATTTTGGCAGCAACAGCTATAACTGCAACCAACAGCAGCAGCGGGAGCAACAGCAACAAAATGCTGCAGCTACAAAGCTTCCAAGCAACAATAACAACAACAACGTAATGAAAAATCAAAACCTAATTGAAGAAAATGTCTGCAACGACAGCGACAACAACAACAACAATGCTGTCATAAAGTTGCAGCCAAAATTAGGCAGCGGCAACGGCAACGGCAACTGCAACATCAAGAAACGCAACTCGCTTTCATCCTCGGCAGAATCGAGCACTTCGTCTGCCTTTTATCACAACTGTTCCGAGTCCTCAAACACATCAACAACGAACAGCAACAGCAATCCAAATGATGATGAGCAGCGACAACAACCGCCAGCAACATTGTCAAATCTAAATGCAACAGTAACAAAGCAGCAACCGTCAGCAGCAGCTGCAACAACAACAACAACAGCTGCCGCATTGCCACAACAATTGGACAACAACAAAGTGACGCAAAGATCTAAGCAACAACCGTTGTGCTTCTGGAAGACGAGCTATCCACAGCAGCCGACGCTGCAGCAGAAGGAAGTGAGCTAACTGTTAAGCTAAGCTTTAAAATATATTTCTATATAAATAAGAAGAAGCGCAAAATAGTTTAGAGAAAATGTATGCAACAGGAGATCCCATAAAGTATCTAAAGTCTCCATCAAGACGACGAGCTGAATGTGTCCGTCCGTCGGACACAACGAACTCGTAACGCACAAAAGCTGGAGACTTAAATGTATAGTCCTGTATGCACGTTGTCGATAACTTATCCCCATGGCATACCGATAATTTGATTATAAATACCTTAAAAGCTAATGATTTGCCCGCTTCTGTAATGAATACGCGTATTTGGGATACGTCGGTTTTAGATGCCCTCCACCTTCCCTCAATCTTTCACAAAAAAAAAACCTATTTCAGATACAGGAGCCTTGTGTTCGGCAAAAAGATCTATTATAGATATGATGATAACGCTCTGAAAATTTGTATAAAAGATGCACAGAATTATTAGAATAGTCAGAGTCAGACTAGTTAGACTAGTACTTTTTGCTTGCTTTAATATAGAATATATATTCCATGCTTGTAGTGTTCCATAAGCGATATAAAAACTCAGATATAAATATGTAAATGGAATTCAAGAAATTCAAGTTTCAAATATTTTTGGAATTTGTATTTAATTTCTGTTAAAAAAATAGATTTTTGCTTTCTATTGGTATTTCGATATATCTTTAGCAAAGCAGAGAAATATATATTCCATAGGTTTATAAATCGATTTCGATTTCAAGCATATGGAGATCTTTGGAATACCAGAGATAATTTTTCATTCGACTTTTATGGCTTTGCTACTAACAATCACTTAAGTATTTTACCCGCTTGCTACAGCAGCAGTTGGAGGCGGCGCTAGCCACTCAGAAGGAATCGGAACTGGCAAATGCCGCGGCAGCAGCAGCTGCGGCAACAGCAGCAACATCGGCGACAGGAGCAGCAGCAGCAGCAACTGATCAACAGCCGCATTATTATCAGTATTATTGCTCGCAGCCCAAGCAGCTGACCATTGCTTCGTTTCTGCAAAAGGAGCTGCTGCCCGATGCGGAGAAGACCAACGGCCAACAGCAGCAGCATCAACAGCAACATCATCATCAGCAGCAGCAGCAACACAAACAGCAGCAAACCTCGGGTGCTTATCAGCAGCGTTATCGCAATGGCAGCTACAGCTACAACAATAATAATAATAATAATAACAACAACAACAACAACAACAACCATGGTAACAGCAACAACAATTATCATCACCAGCAGCAGCAACAGCAACAGTCGCAGCAGCAGCAACAACAGCAACACGCCCATCACACACATAATCCACAGCAGCAACATCACAATCACATGCACAACGCACACTTTCGACGCAACAACAAGAAGCTGCACTACGGCAACAACAGCTGCACGCCAGCAACATCTGCCCAGAAGTCTATTGAAATTGTGAGCGCCAACAACTACAATGGCGCACATCATAGGCGCATGCCGAATGTGGCTGTGGGTGGCAATGGCAATCATGTTGCCGGTAAGAATGGCTACTATCAACTGCATCAGCAACAGCAGCAGCAGCAACATCACCATCATCACCATCATCACTATCATCACTCGCTAATGCCTGGCAGCAATACGCCCACAAGCGGCGAGCATCAGAATTTCTATAATCTGACCTATGTGAATGTTGATTTGCCGGCAGCCAGAATACCTGCAACAGCGGCGGCGACGCCAGCAGCGGCAGCAGCAACAACAACAACTGCTGCAGGTAGCAATATGCTGTTAAAGCCACCAGCAACCATTGCCACAGCTGAAACTCCAACAGCAGCAGCGACGGTGCCAGCAGCAGCTGTTGCACCTGGCAGCAACCATAATATATTCCTTCAGCCGCCGCCAACACTGCAGTTGGCCATGCTTGCACCGGGCATACTGTCACCAGTAGCCCTAACTCCGGATGCGATTGCGACGACGCCGACAAATATGATTAGTTGTGCACAATTGGACGAGGCCATCACAGCGGCAGCTGCCAGCAACACGGGCAACAGCAACAGCAACACCAACAGCGCCAGCAGCAACAGCAACAAGAACGTGGATCTATCCGGCGTATTAAACGTGCCCAGTCCCACATATGCAGCGCTGCCTTTTATGCTGCACCAACAGCAACAGCAGCAGCAACAGCACCAGCAGCAACAGTTGTTCCCCAACAAAGCACAACAGCAGCAGCAACAACAACAACAACACCAGCACCAACAGCAACAGCAGCTCTTTTTTAGCTTTGGCGATGGCTACAACAGTGCCGCCTGGTCACATGCTAATTCGCCGTGCTACCCTGCAGCCGTCTATGGACCAAGTCCGAGCAGCATTTCGAGTGGTTCGGCTCACAATCGCGTTCCGTCACATCGCGCCGTCTCGCCCGCCTCGTCCACGTGCTCGCTGACCAGCGAGTCTCAATGGAGCAGTCGCAGTCGGTAATTGTTACTTGATAGAGCTAGATAACGATAACAACATAATATACCCTATTCAATTAAATATAGGGTACAATATATCTATATTGGCTTCGTATATCTAGATGATAACTATTCAAGGGACTATATTAAGTGTTTTAGAGGGTATATTGATGTCTAAATGGCTTTGTATGTCGAGATGATACTCTATAATATACCCTGCAAAATGGGATATATATATTGACCTAGTTTTATTTTGGCCTAGTCGCCATTGTATAAAATCGTATATCGAAAGGGCTAGTAGCGAGTAGCTATTTTTCAATCGATAGTTATCGATTTTAAGCATATTGGTCTATAACAGAGAGGATATATCTTTTGAATTATAAGCTGTCTATGTTTTCTATTGTATAGCATTATTTGTGTAGCACCGATACTTATCGATTTTGAATCGAAAATGTAATATGAGTGAAATATATATATTTGAATCAGGTTACAAGTGAGATAGCCATCAGCCAAGTTTGCTTTGTCTTCTATAACCCTCTCAGCTATCATAATAATCGATAATAATCGATGTTTAATCGTCGCAGATATAAGCACTCAGAGATGTTCCTTCAATCATTTAATCATTTCACCTTTCATTTTATTACTGGATATCCTTCTGGTCATTAATTTGATTTTGACTTTACTTTTGCATCCGAATCACTGCAGCTTGGCATCTGCAGATCTGTTGTCCGTATCGCCTACGCCGCTAGCATCAGCTGGACCGAATGCCGGAATTCCAGCTGCAAGCCAACAGCACTTGTCGCCGCATGCGCTGCATGCGATGCTACCGTTTGGCATACCTCCACCACCACCACCGCCTCCCTCAGCGGCAGCAGCGGCGCCCCCACCACCACCGCCGCCACCGCCCACACACAACCTGTCTTACCAGCATTATTGCGGGCCCAATTGCGGCTGCGGCACTGCATCCAGCGCATCCTGGCCAGCGTCTTGGTATGAGCTAATTCTTCCACCGGATCGCTATTTGGATCACGCACGCAACGTTGAGCTGACCATACAGCCGGATCAGTTGCTGTGCCACTGCAAGTACGACAATCTGTCGCTGGACATCTGGAAGCGATTTCGCGCTGCACAACAAACGCACGCCAAGTTCAAGCTGAAGATGCGCCTCTGGCGTCATCTGTTCATCTGGATAAACGTGAGTAGAGTAGAGATGTTATCGTGGCACACTTGACATATTTTTTCGCGTAGCAGCCCATGTTTTCGCGCTATCGCATCTGCCTGGTGGGCTCAACGATCACCGGCTTTGGCACGGACTCATCGGACATCGACATGTGCCTGCTACCGGAGCATCAGACACATCAGCAGCAGCAGCACCATTACAACAATGAGCTCCGCGCCGAGGCGCTTATGATTTTGAATCTGTTCAATGCGGTTCTCAAAGATATGGGCAAGTCTGTGGCCTAGTCCTTGGCTCGAAATCACAAAGCTTTCAAGTGAGGCTTAAGCAGGCGATTAACTCGATCTTCAAAGCTTCCCTAAAGCTTCGAGTCTCATCCTCAGTTTTTTATCACATTTAATGTCAGTTTCAAAGCTTTTTGCTACTTTCGATTTAATCGCATGCTTAGCTTAATGCCAAAGATGTTACGATTCCTGCGTGTATGTTATATTCATGATGAATGGTTTTTATTTTAGAAGCTTTTCAGGATTTCAATTTAATTGAAGCGCGTGTCCCGATCCTTCGCTTTAAAGACCGCATCAACGGCATCGAGGTCGATCTCAACTATAACAATTCTGTGGGCATTAAAAACACATATTTGTTGCAATTGTATGCGCAGTGTAAGTAACCACAACAAACTAATATACCCCATTTTGAGGCACTTTCAGTATATATATATATATAATAGAGAATATTCTGGTATATCTATGTAGATTAATAGATACGAGGGGATGTAGCACAGGTCGCTTTGAACTTTACAATTTCTAATGAAACTATAAAAACATTTATTTATCGATAAATATCAGCTGTTTCTTAAGTATATGCAATGTAATTACGGAAATTTACAATTGAATGTACATATCGTAATTAATGATCCATGCAGGTCAAGTCATATCGGAAATCGATAAATATCAATAGGGTTTTAAATCTCCAGCGAAGTTCGACTTGAAATTAGGCAAGTAAAGCTTTAACATTCATGTAAATTTTGAACTTTTTTAATACAGACAGTTGAAGCAAGATATCCAAAAATCGATAAATATCGAAAGTTGTTTATCGAGCATATTCTAAGATAATCAAACATCGAATCGAATCGCAGTGATCGATAAGTCAAGACAATCGTTACCTCTTGTATTCAACAGTGGATTGGCGCACTCGTCCACTAGTGGTCATAGTCAAACTGTGGGCTCAATATCACGATATCAACGATGCCAAGCGAATGACCGTGTCGAGCTACTCGCTGGTGTTGATGGTTCTGCACTATTTGCAGTGCGGCTGTGTGCCCCATGTGCTGCCCTGCCTGCAGGCACTATACCCAGAGAAGTTCAATTTGGGGCAGCAGGATTGCCTCGATCTGGATCTGATAGAGCCCATCGAGCCGTATCAGACGCACAACACCCAAACCCTCGGCGAGCATCTGTTGGGCTTCTTCAAGTACTACAGCAGCTTTGAGTGAGTCTTTCGAATAGAATATGCATAAATATTTATTTATTTATTTATTTATTTATTTATTTATATGGATATTTATACATTCTCAGCTTTCGAAACAATGCCATATCCATTCGCACGGGTGGCATTTTGCCGGTGACCGCCTGCCGACTGGCCAAGAGTCCCAAGAACGACATACATCAGTGGAAGGAGCTGAACATTGAGGGTATGCCATTGCACTTCATCTGTCCCTCATCCATCTTTGATAGCTTCTTCTGCTTGCCAGAACCCTTCGATCTGTCCAATACGGCACGCTCGGTCTACGACCAAGCCACATTTGAGCGCGTCAAGGCAATCTTTGTGGCTTCAGCACGTCGGCTGGAGCACACACTAGATCTGGCCTCCATATTCACGCCCATTCATCATAGCAATCAACGCCCTACGGCCCTGAATCAACAGGCCCTGCTGCACCTCCAAACGCAACCTCCCCCCATCCATAACCACATCCATCATCCCGCACATCAGCCGCACCAGCAGTTACTGCACGCCCGCAACACTGGCCCAACCTTTGCGGCACCTGCCACTCATCTGGTCTAATTGGCATCTATGGAAGACTTATCCAGGTGTTTCCTTACCCACAGGTTAGTTGCAGCTGCCAGAGCTTGAGCTTACATTGTGCTGAAAGCGTCTAGGGCAAAAGGAAGACTTAAAAAGAGAGAGACAGAGAGAGAGAGAGAGAGAGGGAAATAGGGAGAGAGATCTATTTATATCACTTCTGATATTTCTGTGTATATGTAAAACAGTTTGTTTCTACTGATTGATTGATTGAATGTGATTGACTGCCTTCTTCGGAAGTGGATGTAAAAAACTAGTTTAAATTAGTGTAAAAAGTCGTATGAAAGTGGAAACTAAGGAAACTATTGATCAGAACTAAAGCCAATTGAATTTACCTGTGATATATACATACACGTAGCTATAATCAATCTCTGTAAAACTTATATAGCCAAAAGAACAGTTATTCTAGTCATTTTTGTGTGTTATTATACATACATATAGAAATGTCTTCTTAGACGGTTGAGATACTGCTTAAAATTTAAGAAATACATCAATGATCACACACATATATATATATACATTTCTTACAGACATCACACACACTCCCACACACTCACGCACACACAAATTTAAACATATTTCAAGAGTATATGCGCTGCAACAAATAAAAAAAAAAAAACAAAAACAAAAGCAAAAAAACAGCGCAGCAAAAAAAAAAGAAATTAAATAATTAACAAAAATCGTATATATATTGAAACATTGTAAAAGCTTTCGGCTACAATTTTTTCCAAGTGCATTTTGTAAATTCAAGCTCAATGATTGTTGAGCTTGGATATCATTGGAAGACAGCTCTATATATATTTATATATCCTTTGTCCCTTTTGTTCGCTATTTAAATTATATCCAATCGTAGCCCCGTCAATGTAATTATTGTTAAGCTCTTTTTTTCTGATCGCTTCACGTCACAAATTGTAAGCATGCCAAAAAGTAAAATTAAATTTTCTCACTTTCCCAATTTCCCATTGGCATGCATTACTGAAGGTTGTTAAACCTGATAGGAAAAGTGTCCATAATCCAGAAAGAGAAATGTAAATCATCCAATTATGAAGTGTGAATTACGTTAAGCGAAAGCACTGCAAATGTCACAAAAAATATTAAAATATCTAAAGAAAAATATCAAAAAAAAATAAATAAAAATGCAACTTTCGTTCATAATTTTTCAATCTGTTTTGCAAAATAAATGAAATTCTTTATTAAGAAATTGTATTTATTCTCTTTGAAATCGGGTTGGCAAATAATCATTAAACTTCTTTATTTTTATTGTATATTAATTGAGTGTGAGTAACAAATTGAGTTGGGACTGGTGGGGGAACAAATAACTGATTTTGTAAATGTTTTATTTGTGAGCTTCACAAGATTCTCCAATGTTTTGCTTTGATGTCTCTAAATTCATAATTGAAATCGTTTTCCAAACCGTTAAAAAATATATTTTTGACTGGCCGTCGCCAGAGGACGCCACTTTTCTCAAACAAATATATATATATATGTATATATATATATTTATTTAATTTTTTAATTATATATATATATACGTGTGTATATATACATATATATTTATATTTTTAAAAATAACAAATTCTAGCATTGTTGCAATAAAACAATATTAAAAAATTGGGAGTTTGAATAAATGTTTTCGACAACAATAAAAAAGGATTCCCAAACAATTTGCATATTAAACAGATTTTGTTTCGCCGCCAGAACGTTATTGCAAATGCTTGGAAATATATATGTGTGTGTGGAATATCTTCTTTTTTGTTGGTTTTTTTCGGAAAACAGAAACAAATGGCACTCGCATACAATTAACAAAAACGTTCTGGAAATATACAACAGTGTGGCAAAAAGTTTGATTTTTTAAAATGGAAAATTTCCAAAACTCGACATAGTCCAGACAAAAAAAAAAAAAACAAAACAAAAAGAAAAAAATCGGGTGTAGGATGTTTTTTTTGTTGAATTCCTCCTTCATCTTTCTTTCATTTTTTGTGAGCCGGTGGAAAGATACTTGTTGGGCATATTGAAGCGGCACCATTCCGCGCATTGCATTTGTTTTTACTTTCAGCTTTTCTCAATTATTTGTTTCCTTTTTGTAAAGAAAAACGAAACACGGCGCCGCGACGTTGTCTTCAACAACGATTGCATCTGCAGGCACAACCCGCGTTTCGCGCAACGTGGCCGCCGACTCCGTTGCCCGCTCGCCAGCTAGGATCAGACTGCAATACTGAACAGACAACTATCTCACAGAGGGAGCTTATCCAAAAAAGTGTGACCAGCTATATTTTTAGGCCATATGCTTGTTGTGCCTGCTTATGTGTATTTGTGTTAGTTTGCATGGCTTTAGCTGCTTCTTTTCACTGATGCCGCTTCTAACATTCTTAACCTGTCTCTGTCTCTCTGACTATCGTTCTGTCTCTCTCTCTCTCTCTCTCTGACTCTCATTTTGTGTCTGCTGCTCTCGCCTGCTCTCTTCGGTGTGGCCGAGTTTAACTGTTTCATGGACATTTTCCCTGCTGCTGCTGTTTCCATGTTGCCTTTATCTGTCTCTGTCTTAATTTTTGTTGATTGCGTTCATGTTGTTGTTGCTGCTTTTGTCGCCTGTCGCTGTCTCTGTTGTTTTGTTTTTGGTTTTTTTTATATTTTCGCCGCTTTCTAACTGCTGTTGCTGCTGCCGCCGCTGCTGCTGCTGCTGCTGCCGCCGCCGCCGCTGTCGCTCTTGCTGCCGCTGCCACCACAGCCGCTGCTGCTGCGCTGCTGCTGCTGCATGATGGCTTCAAGTTCTTACAATTTGTTTGTTGTTTTAGTTTGTTGTATTTGTTGTTGTAAATTGTTGCAATTGTGCGCACCTCCTCGAGCATCTCAGTAGGGTTGCGAGAATTGATTCAAACTGCGTTCGCCTGACTGTCACAAGAAGAAGAAGAAGAGAGAAAAGAAGCAAAACCCGTTAGTTTGAAATTGAAGCGAATTAAACTTCTCTTTAGCTTATAGCCTAGTCGTTAATGGACTGGAATTTAACATAACATTATAATAAACTGCACGCGCTCAATATAATATTAATAATAAGCTTTCCTGGCGCAGAAGTATTATTATGAAGCAAAGACGAATTATATATTGACTTAATCATAAACTACTCGTTAGCTTAAAGTAACGAATTAAAAGCTATAAGCAAATGGACTAAATCTAAAGCTACATCGTTCATTTACAGTTATGAATTGAAGAAAAATATAACAAATTGACCTAGACTGTTAATGTACTCGTTAGGGGAGTTTGAAATTTCTTATAAATATCTTATGTATCGAACGAAGGAAACTTGAACTATAGTGAATCTATTAATACAAATATTCTTGATCGATCAACGAGGGTTATCAGTTAAGTTTAGGCCGAAAGCTAACTAGACGAACCGAGCTTATTCAAAAACGACTTTAGTTCTTTGCTTTATGTTACTTATAGAATTAATATGGTATACATAGTGAAAATATATACATATATATATATATATATTTCAGTTCCCAATCTCTAGTTCTAGTTCACTTTTTATAATAGCTTGCGAGCCGACAATTCGATTGATGATCTTTTGTGCTTGCGATTGATGCTGTAAGAACTTACCACATTGAATGAGACATCTTGTGAGAGCAGTCCATCCATTTGTGAGATTTGGCCAAAGTCCTGCGACAGCTCCGGCTGCTGTGACAATGCAAATCCGCTCGGCTGAGTCATCTGCAGCGACAGAGCCGTCGGCTGCTGACTGAATGGCGTTGCTGCCATTGTTGTTGTTGCTGATGTAATAGCCGTGGTTGTGGTTGTCGTTGTTGTTGTGGTTGCCATTACACCCGTTGCACTGCCAACACGAATGGCAACACCAGCACCACCAGCATTAGCACCGCCTCCACCACCTCCACCAATCCCTGATTGCATTGAGTTCATATTGCTGCCACGCAATGCCTTGGGCAATTTGTTCTTCTTGCCAGTAACAATGGGAGCTGCAAATCCAGATTGGTTCTGCATGGCACGATTTTGCTTGGCCGCCATGATCGCTTGCTGATGCTGATTATAGAAACGGGGCGGCAGACTGCTCATGTTCATGAACATGCCCACCGGCACCGGCATGTTGCCCAGTGCGGCAACACCGTGGTCATTCGATATGTAGCCAATGGAGTCATGCAGATGGGTAGCTGTCCAACTGGGTGCATTGGAGGCGCCACCACCAACGCCGCCACTGCCACCGCCGCTGCCGCCGCCAGCAGTGCCAATAGCGCCGCCATAATTGTTGTTGCCGCCAGTAGAGCCGTTGCCGGTGCCATAGGCCGGAGTCGACATGTTGCCACCAGCCCCGGCAGCAACACCACCTCCACCGGCACCAGGTCCATATGAATTTGAAGCATAGTGTCCGCCATTTATAGATTGATTAGAATTTGCTGACATTTGTCGCCCATAGCCGCTGGTGCGCTCGTATATGGAGCCGGGCACCAACACCTCCTTGGCATCGGCCATCATGGTAGACATGAAGTGGGCGCCAATGTTCATATTGTTCACCAGTTTCTTGGGCTTCTGGAAATGGATGAGTGATTCCTTAAGATTGTTTAGTGAGCCCTCGACCAGCACCTTGCGATCCTTGTAGAAGTTGAGCAAATGATTCCACAGCTGTTGCTTGGCCAACACCTTGGGATTGCCCACAATTATGATGCCGTATTTGGCACGAGTTAAGGCCACATTAAGGCGACGCGGATCGTTGAGGAAGCCTATGCCCTGCCGCTCATTGGAGCGCACACACGACATAATGATGATGTCCTTCTCGCGACCCTGGAATGCATCCACGCTGGCTATCTCAATCTCCTGATACAGACGTGAATGCAGGCTGCCCTGGTATTGCATGTACTGGACCAAATAGGCCCGCTGTCCCTCGTAGGGCGTTATAATTCCGATCTGTTCGGGCTTGATGCCCGCCTTGAGGAAGCGCGTTGTGATTTTCTCCACATTGGCCGCTTCGGTACGATTCAGAAACGATGTGCCCGAGCCAGCAATTTCCTCCTGGCCCTGCGTAACCAAAAAGAACATGGGACGCTCCGGCTGTGGCCATGGGAAATCCAGTTTAAGGCGACGATCCTCCGCACAGACGCCGTTCTGCAGTGAACCCTCGTAGAAGAAGTTGGACGGAAACTGAGACAGTTCCGGATGCATGCGATATTGTACTTCCAATCGGAATGGACGTATGCCCAGCACCACCAAACGCTCGAACAGACTTTGGGAGAGACCAGCGCGTGCAGCTTTCTTGCACATGACCACCGGACCCAGCTGGCAATGATCGCCGACTAGAATCAGTTGCTTTGCACCCAGCACAACGGGCACCATGCACTCCGGCTCTGTTGACTGCATGGACTCATCAATCAGTATCGATGTGAATTTGATGCGTGACAGGCGCACATCGCCGGCGCCCACGCAGGTGCAACAGATGACATCGGCCGCTTCGAGCAGTTGGTTCTCGGTGCCACGTTTCAAGCTACGATATCGTTTCTCATCCGCAGAGCTAAGCTCGCCGGTTTCATCTTTAAGCTGCTGCAGTTTCTTCAGTTCCGAATTGGTTTCCATATTCCGTATTTGATTGTGAAGCGCTAGAAAGCTGACCGGGCTGTCGATGGCTTCACGGCTCTTGGCACAGACGCGCACCACCTTCAGATTGGTGCGATGTATCTTCTCGGTTAATTGATCCACTGCGGTGTTGCTAGGCGCGCACACAAGAACCGTGCCACCGTGTTGCTTCACTAACTGATAGACAATTGTTGCCGAAGTTACAGTTTTACCCGTACCCGGCGGCCCTTGGATGAGACTCAGTGGACGCTGCAGCGCATGCTTTACGGCATACACCTGGGAACGGTTGAGGTCCGGCAAGTGGGGAGCACTGTACAGCTTGGGCTGTGGCCCGCGGAATAGCACCTCATCACTGCCATCGGCACGTCCATGGCCCAGCAGACGTGAGTAAATGTAATTCGATACTGAATTGCGATCCATAGCAAAGTTGCGTAGAGCCCGTGTCATTCGATCGAACGAAGTGCCCTTCCAGATGAAGTCCACGCTAAAATTACTGGTGCATTTGACAGGGGCATTCGAGAAGCATTTGAGTTCCAAGCCAACATCATCGCCAAAGTTATCGGGCACTTTAATGACATGGCCAATCTCGTTCCACGGATTATATAGCTCGCCCACGTAGCGTAGACGCAGCTCATCGCCATGCATGAGCTTCATGTCCGAATCGGTTTTGGCCAGCGTAAAATAGGCGATGGTCTTCTTGTTCAATCCCACATCCCAGCGCACCTCGATATTCTCTTGTGTGGCAGACTCCTTTAATTTCTTATCGTAGTTGGCCTCAAGGCGAATCAACGGCCCAAAGGTTTTCTCGTATTGATAGCCATCCTCATAGCGCAACAGCACATGAGCCGGTTCCGAGTCAATGCCGGGTTTTTCCAAATCCTGCAATTTTATCGTATTTATAGTATATATCGATATCTTATGGGTAAAATACCAAAAATGAACTAGCAAATAAAACAAAAGCACAAAATGGCATAAAAATAATAGGGTATACCGATACTTGTTGAACAGTGGAAAATTATAAAAAAAAAATACCAAAACATTAGAAGTCAAAGCTAGCGAAAATATTATTCTATTCCGATGGCATTGGTATTTTTAATAGCAAAAGAACTAGTCATCTAGTGAAAACTGTAATAGCAGCCAATAAATATATATCGATACATATCGCTGCAATAAGCCTCAATCAATATAAGGAATTGTTATGCGACAAAGATTCCAAAATTAACAAAAGTCCATGCCACTCATAAATTTAAAATATGACACAGATAAATCATAATGTATAATAACACCCGACATCATATATCACATATGTATTTTGCACTCACCTGAAATGTTGCCTCAATATTGTCCTTCCATAACTCCTCAAGCTTGTTGATCTGTGCGGCGGATATTTGACGTGCACGTAGCTGCCCCTGTTCACTGGGCTGTTTCACCAGCCAATGCAGAAAGCAACGATCCGCTATGAGAGGCTTCCACTGTTCCTGATCCCAGTTCATGTCCTTCAGCGAATTTTGTGCGGCGCACGGCTGACGGCACAGCAGTACTACTACCGAATCCGCCTTGGCGGGTATGAAGCCCAAAACAAATACATTGCGTACACCGCACGAATAGCACTCAAGTATGGTCTCACCGAGTGGCCCGTCACCGTGCAGGGTCACCTCGCGATGCTTGGCACGAACGAGATGATTGATAATGTGCGAGCCAGAGGTACTGCCACGTCCATTGCAGAACCATTTTTTGCAGTTGTTACACATGACCACCGTGGCTGGATCGTGTATGCCACAATATTTGCAGGCATGCGCCGGCAGCTCCTTAACATATGCAGAATTGCTGCCGCCACCGTTCTCATCGTCCTCCTCCTCGAATTGCAAGTCAGCCAAGTCGTTAGTGATTGATGCCAACCGTGGATGTATCTCATTATTATGAACGCTTACGCGGCGTGGCTGCAAATGACAATTATAAAATATTGACCAAATTTCCAAACTTCATGACATTCGATGTGCACATTCCCACACACACACACGTGGCTAGGCAGCTCACCTGCAAATCCAGCTGATCGGCCTGGGTCTGGCTCTGCGATGTGGACGGCATGGTAAAGTCACGGTAATCATATTGCGTTGGCTGCGTATCAGCGCCGCGCAACAGTTCATTGTCATCCATGTCCAGGAAGGAGAGCGCCGAGCTCGGCGCATACGTGTCCACACTCATTATTGAAAGTATTTGTTTGTTTGTTTGTTTGTGGTCTTAATACAGTTGCCGCTACTAAGTACTGTTACAAAATGTGCAATCACAAGTCTTTTTTTATTCTTTAGTTTTGGTAACACTGTATTTTATTTTAGCTGCTGTTTTTTTTGTTTTTTTTCCATTTTTTTTTGGCTGCACTCACCTCGCCTTCCGCTTTGCTTCCCGGACTGTCAAAGCTGTCAGTGGGGAATTATTTATTTGTTCCTAGTCGTCGCGTGTTTCAAGTTCCTTGCAAAATGCTTGTAGATTATTTTGTATGTGGCCACAATTGACGCACATTCACTAAATATGCAATGTCTATGGCAGCACTTTTTGTTTTTGCGCGTGAAATTTACTCCGTCGAAGCAAAAAATGCAATAGACGTGTTTTGCACGTTGCTCTCCTGACGGAATCTCAATGAAGACTGTCACTTGATCAAAAACAAAAAAAAAGCTAAAATAAAAATTTTAAACCTTGCAACTTATAACATTCAGTTGTTTGACTGTTATTATTGCAGCGCCTGCTACTTCATTGCATTGCTATTTGCCAACTACATATGTTCGTTTAGGATTTTATGACAAAAAAAAAAAAAATACCAGCATACAATTATATTGACAGCCGCGCGCAATTCTTTTGCCTTGTGAAATAGCAAGTTGTTCTATGTTGTTTACATGTGTGCGCGCTTGAGTTTGTGTGTGCATGAACCAGTACGAATTGTTCATTGAACTAGCAGGCTCTGCTTGCGCTTTTAAACTGGCGATAGGCTACTATTTATGAAAGCATTTCATTTCAAATAAATCCTACAAATTGGAGGACTGAGAACAAAAGTTTTCTAACCAAAAATTAAAACCCAGAAAAATTGTACTCAAGCCCATTGTAAATCTTTTTTGCTTTCAATTTCTTTTACAATCAGCATATCAGCAGCATGGCAAGGTATTTGGTATTTTGGCTACGAATGGTTCAAGTTTGGTATTTCTTCGATTTTTAGCATTCACACAGAATATAAAAAGTTTTAGCCGATTTCTTAAGTTTGGTAACTTTAATGTTTTTGAATGAAATCGATAGATCGATACAGTTGTATCATCCCTAATACCGATTGCAAAACCGACAACTCGCAACTCGCTTGTTAAATTTTCGCATTGAAAAAAGTGCTTTAATTAGTAAAAGTGTTTTGAAAATTGTGCGAAAATTAAGGTAAGTGCCTAGGCAAAACAAATGAAGCGATTATCAAAATGCAGTTTAACCGCCAGCGTTGCCAAGTCAAGTGCAAAAATCATCTAATACGGTGTGTGAGCGTGTGCGTGTGTGTCTGTGTGTCGTGCCGCTTACACCAAGCGCGCTGTTGCTTAAGGCCCAGTTGGAACAAGCACACCGCGTTTATAATCAATTTCGTGAATAACGATCAACATTTTTTTTCTGATCATTTAACAAATTATGTTTGCCACCGAAAATGCAAAATAAACATGAAATGGATATGTGTTATCAACATAAATGCATAATTTAAGCGTACAAACAGTGAGTGCTTAATTTCCACACGGGCATACCAATTTCTCTCCTCGCTCGGTGTCTCTTTTTTTTCTGAATTTCTTCCGTGCTGCTGCTACTGCTACTTCATGTGTGTGTGCTTCTTCTTTATGCTCGGCACATTTTGTATGAGCGCTTGTCAAAATACGCGTACAAATTTCCGTTCAATCGTGTGTGCGTTGGAAATAACAAGCGAACAAGAAATATATGTATATAAATATAGTGACAATAGTTGGTTCAATGCATTAACGGGCAGTAACCGTAAACGTGTAACTGTAGCGCAAGTCATATATATTTTCTTTCAAATAATCATAATAATCTTTAAATTGAGACGCGCTCTAAAAACTCGTGGACAAATTCGATTCGTTTACTTTTCGCTGTGTGTGTGTGTATACATATATACATATGTGATATATATATATATATATATGTATTTATATGTGCGTGTGTTGGTGTTGCCTACATACGTTTCTTGACGTTGGGTGTCCCCCTTCATTTTGATTACTCCCCCACACCCACCTTTCTAGCACTAAGGGAACACCAACTTCTATGGTTATTTTCAACAACAAATAATTCCGTCAAATTTCGCAACATAATTCCTTTAATGTAGGTTGCAAAGAGGCGGGATGAGAGGGGCGATGGCGCCCCCGCCTCCCCGCCCAAAGTGAAAATCCTTAGCTTGTGCTGCTTATTAAACTTCTCCTTTCTCTCGATATCTTCCCAACAGCAAAATGAGCAGCTCCGAGGAAGTCTCCTGGGTTACCTGGTTCTGCGGGCTTCGCGGCAATGAGTTCTTTTGCGAGGTAAGCATATTCAATATTATTATAATATACGCACTTGTGTATGTGTAAGAGAACTATTAATCTGGGAATTCCCAAACATTTCCTTGTTCCATGTTGTTACCTAAGAGCGCGCGCGCTCAGTCATTGCAACAGCCATAGCCACAGCTACAGCTACAGCCGCAGCCACAGCCATAGGCAGAGATATCGCGAAGCGCCAATTATACATATGTATATGCATAGCTTGTATACAGTAGAGGCACGCTAAAGTGCATTAATTGAAAGGAATTTCTATTGAGAAAAGCATATAGTATATGGCTCTATAAATATGATTGCTTCGTTCCTCTTCCCTCCTTTAACAAAGTACAGTCTTCATCAATATTCTAGGACCAGGATGTTGCAAACCAATCTCAGATCAGAAGCATTGTTGTTACTGAAGAATTTGATTTGAGCTAATGACGATAATCTGAAGTAAAGCGCTAGAACTCAGTTGATATACTTGGGAATATCCAATATATATTTTGAAGAATATGGAATAAAAAGGAAGATTAAGATAAAACAAAGATACCCTAAGCATCAGGCCGAAGATTACAAATATTATGTGATTATGTGATTATGTGATATGTCTTATCTATATATACATTGCAGGTTGATGAGGATTATATACAGGACAAGTTCAATTTAACTGGTTTAAATGAGCAGGTGCCCAATTATCGTCAGGCCTTGGACATGATATTGGATCTGGAGCCGGGTAAGTTTTAAGCGTTAAGCTTTAACTCTTCAGCTACAGTTATCAGTAAATGCGCATTTAAATGTTTCAGAGGATGAACTTGAAGATAATCCATTGCAATCGGATATGACCGAACAGGCAGCTGAAATGTTATACGGGCTCATACACGCTAGATATATATTAACAAATCGTGGCATCGCTCAAATGATTGAGAAATATCAAACTGGCGACTTTGGACATTGCCCACGTGTCTATTGTGAGAGTCAGCCCATGTTGCCTTTGGGTGTGTATATTAAACTGGATTATATAATTCAATATATACATTTCAATAACATATACATATTTATTCTTCTTTGCATGTGCAGGACTGTCGGATATACCCGGCGAGGCAATGGTGAAAACCTATTGTCCCAAGTGCATTGATGTTTATACACCAAAATCATCGCGTCATCATCATACTGATGGCGCCTACTTCGGCACTGGTTTTCCACACATGCTCTTCATGGTGCATCCTGAGTATCGCCCCAAGCGTCCTACTAATCAATTTGTTCCACGGTAAGCAGAAGATAGTATTACGAATCGCGCTAGAATGAAGGTTAAAAATGAATATATAGTCAACTATACTTAGAACCTGAGAGACTGTTTATAATTCGGAAACAGTTGTTAGTTAATAATTCTCCTTCAAAATCGTACTTATATAATTTATAAACGTTTAACTGACTGACTCTTCATCTTAACTTTTCAAATATCGATTTTGTCTTCTGTCCTTTAGTTGACAATCTTACACGTTTTGTAGGCATTGCTGTAACGTTGCAAGACAAAAAGTGAGCACCTATGCCATATTTACTAAGACTATTATGAAGTTATACAGCAGAGACAGATTAATTATCATTCTACACAGTAGCGTCGCCCTTTAACGTTTCACTGGCTGTACTGTTCCAATGGGATGTATGCTTCGATTATCTAATTGGCTAGCAGCTAATATTATTCTTAAATCTATGAAATATGCTAATTGCTTTCTCTTTCTCTTTCTTTTCCATGTGCCCACGATCGATGCTTTCCGGACGATTATATATACATCTGCATACTGCAGTCTATACGGCTTTAAAATTCACAGCTTAGCTTATCAAATTCAGCTGCAGGCAGCAGCCAATTTCAAAATGCCACTACGAGCGGTAAATTTAAAATGAAATTTCTTATTAACAATTTTTTTTTTATTGACTAAAAACAAAAACAAACAAAAAAAATACATTAAATTCACTTGAAAACATGCAACATAAAAAAGAAACCTTCAACTAAGCATATATATATATATATATCTATATATCTATATATTTTTTTTATTTGTTTCTCTCCCCACACATACAACCACCAACCACCAACCACCAACAACACAAAAACCTAATGGTCATCTATCTGAACGACAACCAATTCTAACTTGAATCTGAACCGTATTCAACCAACATATATATATATATATATATATATATATACACTGTGTGTGTGCGTGTGTGTGTTTGTATATATATATATGCATTTGCACATGTTTATGTATGTATATATATATTTATATATATATATATATATGTATGTGACTGCGTGTCTATGTATGTGACTGTCTATGTTATGCTTTGCTAATATTTATGATCTGATGTGCCGCTGCGTTCTAAATGTTTATCGATATCCAATCAATAATTGTTATCGAAATATCAATATCCTTTACTTTATCCCCTCCCCTATACAAAAACATTGTGTATAGAAAAACTAATGATTAAAAAACACACACACACATGCATACCACGCACGAAAAACAAAACCAACACACACACACACACAACAACAACAACAAATCCATAACATTGCATATATATATATATATGATTGATTACAAAGAAACGAGAGACATAGTTTCAACTGAAGAGATCCGACAGACCCTAACAATTGCGAAGGTTTTGAGCGCCAGAAGCGAAAATCATTTATACAAAATAAAATTAAAAAAAAATCCAAAAAAAACTGCGTTTATATTTAAAAAAAAAGAAAGAATAATGATTATAAAGAAAAAGAAAAAACTATAAATATAAAACAAAAAATAATAGAAAAGCAAATTCGTAGTGAAGTGAACAAAGTAGTAGAAAATGTATTTAAAGAAAATCAAGTTAAATGAAAAAGAAACAAATAATAAAAACATGGAAAAAGAAAAACACGAAAGTAATATGAGGAAGAATTTTTAAAGGAACACACACCCACACAGATCAACACACACATGCACACTCTACCCACATGGCCATATAAGAATTAATCGATGTTGATATCGATATCGAACACTTCACGTCGCATTCATTCAAAAGCTCATCAGAACCAACATAACGAATTTTTGTCGTTGACACAATCAAACATGTGCATATATATATATATATTTATATATATATATATATATATATATATATATATATATATATTATTAATGTACTTATGTTAGCATTTAGTAATATAAGTAATAGAAAAAACAATGCAGCAAAACTAACATCTCCACACACATTGCATAGACAAATTTTAATCATGAAATTTTTTGCGCTTGTTTTGCTGCTCGTATGTTTCTCCTTGTTTAACACACACACACACACACACATACATATATATATATATGCATACATGTACTCTACATACATTCACAAACACACGTACACTTGTTTTTAACCTAGTATGTATTAGTAAATAATTATGTTAAAAAAGAGATATATAAATAATTTGTCTTTAGTTTTTAGTCTTTTAATAATACCTTAAACATATATATATTTCATACATACATATGTACTTTGCATTTGTTTTACTTTTCTCGTGTTTGTTTTTATTTTTATATGCTATTACATAACATATATTATGTTCTACAACAGGACACAGTAGGTGGCAACACTAGACCAAAACACAGTTAGAAAATAGAGCGAAAAAAGAATTCAATTATCACTATGAGCGAGTGAGCGAGCGCACGAACGATAAAGACATTGCGAAAGAGGTTGAGTGATTGAAAAAGTGAAAGAGAGGGGAAGGAGAGGAGAGAGAGATGGAGATAGCCCATATATGTATACAACGATTCAAGCAACCAAGTACTTCCAAAAGAAATCAACAACAGACACAATACTGCTACAATATAAACATACTCAAATATTTAGTAGCATAATTATATGAATGCAACGTTTTATAATTTATATATAGTAATATATTAATGAAAGCAAACGCTGATCCACAGAAACCAGAATCGATAACTGATTCCAACTTAGAGAGCAATAAACTTTAAATGCAACAATGAAGTTATGAAAGGCAAAACACAAAATAAAAATGAAAAGAAATATTATATGAATCAAACAGAAAAAAAAAAACAAATTACAAAAATAATAATACAAAAAACTATGCAATTCGATGTGGAAACAGAAGAAGCAAAAACAAAAACGCATGCACACGCAAACATAGAAACACATACCTATACACACATATATATATATATACAAAACAGCCAATGAGTAAATCACGAGGAGTTTCAAAGTCAAGAGAAGGGCAGAGGAGGCGCCAACAGCAGCAACTCTAAAGTGTACGTAAACTGATCAAGACAGAGCGAGAGACAAGATACAGAATGAAGAGCAAAGCAGCGGCCACCAGCAGTTAGATGAAAAAGACTGCAAAAACAAACACCAACACAAACACACAGAGACAACAGGATTGATCTATAATAAGACGCAGTGCAAAGAGATGAAAAGAGAGAAATAGCAGATGTGCAACTGTATGCACACACACACACACGCACAGGCGTGCACATGTCTGCCTCTGCCCTAGTAAAATAATTCGCAAAGCAATAGAATAGCGCACAAAATTTTCATATTCATTTTTACCGCTTAAAAGTAAACAAAAAAGATAAGAAACTATTTAGTATAGCTACAGATCATAACTATATTTATAAGCTTAAGACAGCAGATAATAGAAAACGACAAAAAGGAGATTAAAGTTCGGATAGCTGAATTTTGAATACCCTTGCAGAATGATTTTTTAATTATTTCCAATTATGCTGTGTGGCTTGTAGATAAGTAAATTAATTAATATTTTATTAAACAAAAGTCACATTATATATAAATATATATATAATATAAATACATAATCTCCATATGTATGTGTGCTACGACTTTCAAGATATCCTAGATTCTGCAAGTGTATTCTCAAGTAAAAGATTGTGTGCGAATGTCTGCGTGTGAGTGTGTGTGTTATTTTTGCATTTGTGTTTAGTTTTTAAGAATCCATAAACTAAAGTTTTTTTGTTATTCGATTAGATGCAAAGATCATATGATCACCTATTTTGCAATATAAAAATGATAATAAACATATGTATACATTATTTTTTCATTGAAATACACATGTGACAAATTGTTTATTATTCATAGACTTTCTTTTGTCAATTCCTTTTCTTTGCTTTTTTAGTAAAAGATTCACATACTTAAATAAGAAAGAAAGGAAAGTAATAATATAAAAGTTGAGAAAACATTTTTTAAGCAAATTAGCAATAAAGTATATGAATATATATATATATATACATATATATATGTTGTATATGTAGAAATTGATACAAATGCCAAGTGCGTAAGGAACGTTGAAAGGTTGAAGAGTGCAAACCGAAAACAAGAAAAAATAAAAACTGTTTACAATTAATATAAAGAAATACAAAAACGAAAAAAGTAATGAAATGAACAAAAAGAGTAATAATAACAATAACTAAAATAAAAAAAAAACTGATATTTAATACAATGCTCGCAGTCTATCATTTTATAATAGAAATACCCTATAATTTGTTGTACATTGACTAGGCCACACACAACCAACGATCATCGATCATAGCTCACTCTTTATGCTTGTCAAATATATATATTGAAGTATCTGTCAACATAATACATATTGTATGTTATGTATTATTTACACTCTATTCGCATTGTGTTTCATGTGATTGGATGTGCGCGCTCTTTTGACTACATGAATGTTCAGTGTTTAATGGGCTAATATTGCTATTGATCTTTTATTTTTTTTTCGTTTTTGTTTATTTCTTATTTTCAATTATCTTTCCTCTCTGGCTATGCTATACATTATATATATACATATATATATGTATATATATATAATATATATATGTATATATATATAATATATATATGTATATATATATAATATATATATGTATATATACGGTAACTAAATCTAGGACTACATTGCGCTCTGTCAGGAGATCTTAAGTCGGCCCGATCCCGAGGCCGAGGCCGAGGCTGAGTAGTTTGCCAATTAATGCTGTTGTGCTCTTCTCACTCACATTGCTAGCAAAATGACGATCTGCTACTACTAATGCCATTTTACTCTAACCATCGGGCTAAGCAAGTGCCAATAACTGACAAAAGCTATCTGCGCTTGTCTCACAGATTTGGTTAACTTACATTTTTTAGGCTTTATCTACATGTATACATATACATATATATATACTTTATATATATTTACTTTGCTACTCTCTTCTTATTTCTTCATTAAAAGCTATTTAAATATTTTGTTTGCGAATGTAAATGATTTTGATAAAAAAATATTTAATAAAATCAAGCACAAATTGCCTTTTTTATTGTAAGTTACACAATACGTTTATTGGCTGGGCTTACATACATTATGTATGTGTATGTTTGTACATGCATACACACATACATACACACATACATGTCTTTAACACTTTACATAAAACGCTGACATTCTCACACCCCGTCTCACGTACTCACGCACACATGCCTCTTATCAACTGCACTGCATTCACACACACACACGCGCGCACGCACGCACTCACACATATAGCCTGAGTGTGTCAATTGACATGGACACACATGTAGCTCTCTATAATACAGTTTGGATTGGATCGTAAGGTCGACGACCATATACTTACATTACACCCACACACTTACATTAAGATGTGCCGTTCCTTAAGATCCCAACGATTTCATTGCGAATTGGTACTAAAACCAAAAAAAGAACAGCAAATGGCACATTGTGTATGCCAGACAAAGAAAACAGACTACGCCCTCATACATACATACATACATATGTACATAATGTACAATATTTATTTTACTCCCAATTCACAATTTTGATATGGTAATATATAGAATATACATACATATGTACGTGTTGGATATGTATATACATACATATATAGTTCTTCTGATTTCTTCTGCTTTCTTGATTACTTTCGTTTTACGTTTTATTTTTCTCTCTTTCATTGTGTCTTCCTTTCTTTGTATCTTTGTTCTTGTTGCGTGCAAATTGGTGACAAAACTCCGGCAACTCTTCCCAATACCGATTTGAACTCGGAACTTCGAACTTTAACCAATGGGGGCCGCGCGCGTGCTTTGCTCTCTGTCTCTCTCTCTCGCATTGAAATTGGTGCCAGCAGCAGCGCGGTCAGCCACCAAAGGACGAAGAGCCTGAAAACAATGCCATCGATACGATTCCAAAGCGCATCTAAAAGTGCAGTACTGCGGCGGCCGTTACAAGAAAACTCTTACACAAACACACATATATATATATATATTGACAGCAACAAACATACACACACATATACACAGATACAAGCAGAAGCAGCAGCTATTAAAAACGCCGTTCAGGAACGTAACCCCGCCCCCGCCCCTCTAAGAAAGGACCAACTATACAATCCGTGGCTTCTGCGAAAAACTGAAGTTTCGATATCGAAAACACAGCTACAACACACACTCGCACACACAGACACACACACACACACGCAGACAGACACACGATTTAAAGAAGCAAATGAAAACTCAACCTTGGCAGCCCTGGTACGTGGTGCGTGCATCAGTCGCATTCGATGATTCAATTTTATTCTTTGCATTTTATTTACTAAGTGAGCGGCTAAAGTTTAGCATAGATTTTAATATTTAGTCAAGTGCCCAATTTATCACTATCTACCTAAACAGACCCATAAACACACACATAGTCACAAACACACACACACACACACATACACATACACACACACACACACGCACACGCACACACACACACAAACATACATATATACACACATGCATATAAACACATACATATACAAACATATACATACACACATACATACATACATACATACATACATACATATATACATACATACCCATACACATACACAAACACATACACACTAAAGCAACCCCCTATTAGCAGAGCGTAATGGCAGATTAACTAGCAATTTAGACATTAGGCGCGTTTGCTCATGTTTATGTCGTTAAGTTAACAATTTGATTCGCTTGTTAAATGATCCTCCCGTTAAATGTAAATGACAAGAGAGTTGCCAGCCTGCTGTGCGATGCACACAGTTTGTTATGATTGATCGATAAGTCTTTTAAGTAGTTCATTAATTTATCGAACGGCCTTGTCACGAGGTGCTGCCAGCCTGGCTACTTGGCGTTGCCACCACGTTTCATTTAATTTCAAAACTTGTTAACTTGAGCAGAAACATAAGAAAGTGTGCCTAAAAGGGAACCGCAGAGCCAGAAACCTTTACAGTAACAACCCAACAACAAGAACAACAACAACCACTAAGTGAGCCGAACTGTCGAAAAGTCGAATTCGAAGTCGCATTTCGATATCTGAGAGTGCATACGTATATAAGTATATAGAGAAATACATACATATGTGTACACAATAAAAACAAAATATAAATATACCGTTAGCTTATTTATATACAATTTAAAGAATTAAAACAAAACAAATATTTTATGTATTTTTTTAATGTATTTAAGATAATTAAGATTACTCGTAATGCAGTAACTGAAAACTGAATTGTACTAAACATATGTACATACAAACACACACACATATATATATATACATATATATATATATATATATATATATATATATATATATATATATATATATATATATATATATGTGGAAATCGGTAAAAGTGCAATGCGAAGTGCTCCCAAAAAGCAAACTATAAGAAAGTAAAGCCTGACAAACTGAAATCTGAATGCGCAAGGAATATGAAATACGCAAAACAAAAACCAGAGCAGAAAATAAAAAAAAATAAATATTTAAAAATAAAAAACAATCTCAGCGACAATTATTGAAATTCCCATGAGCATGTTCTTTTTTCTTACAGCTAAGACAAAAAAAAACATTTGTGTGAAATTCTCACTTCGTCTATTTTTTTGATGAGGCCGAACAACGCCGGTCTACATTCCCATACGTGATTGCAACATTTAGAAATGAAAAAGTTTGTATAAATATTTTTGTGTCTTTATTTATTTTTATTTTAAATAAATTATAAGGTTCTTCTTAAAATCGAAGAATCCGTTATTATTATTAGTTTTGTTTTCGTGTATTTTTGTTTTCTTGCTTGCATTTAATTTTATCTTTTTTATGTTTACACATCTCTTCTAATTAGAAGAGCCCCGCAGCTCTCGCTCTCTCTGTCTCTAGCTCTACTCACGCACTCTTATACATATAACATTCTCTCATATTTGTATTATATTTGTATTGTTTTCTTTTATTCCTTTTTTTAGTTCTTAATAAGATTATTTATAACTTGTAGGCTAACCTATTGATTTGTGATTCCTCATTATCAAAAAATATACAGTTATATGTGTGTTTGTATTTTTGTTTATATTTGTGTTGCTGTTTATTATCGGAAATTGGCCTTTTAATGGGCTCTGGAGGAGGAACACACATCACGATGTCTTCTTCCTTTTCTCTCTTCGTCTCCCCACCCCTTTTTCTCCCTCGCTCGCTCGCTCTCTCTTACTAAGGTGCTTTGCCAGGGCCAAAAGGAATACTTTAAAATCACATTAAAAATTAAAAAAAAAAAAAAAAAAAAGCAAAATAATATTTTGGACTACTAGGAATTTAGCGTGAGGTTAAAGAAATTGCGAGTAAAAACTAGTTCCATGGGTTTTCTTATTTTTCTTCTCTCTGTTCCATTTGTTGCTTTGGGGTTTGCAATTGCGTGTTGCTATTGTTGTTGCTGTTTTGTGTTGTTGTTGTTGCTTGCGATTAAGTTTTCATTTTAATTGTTTATCAGTCTGATTTACTTCTACTGCCAAAACTATTTATATATAATCCATTCCGGACAAGTTGCTCAACTCGATCCCCACTTGGAAAGGATGAAGACGACGAGGATGCGCCTTACAGCTCATCCTTGAGATCGTCACCAGCCTCGCCGCCCTCTGGTGGTGGAGCACCGCCTGTGCCTTGGTAGAGCTTGGCAATCACGGGCTGTACGATGGTCTCCAGGTCCTTCTTTTGCTTCTTGTACTCCTCGGGATCAGCATCTGGATTCTGTTCGAGCCATTTGATGGACTCATCGATGGCCGTCTCCAGTTTGGTCTTCTCGTCGTCGCTGAGCTTGGCACCCAGTTTCTCCTTGTCGCCGATTTGGTTCTTTAGGCTGTAAGCATACGATTCCAGCTCGTTGCGCGACTCGACGCGCTCCTTCAGCTTCTTATCCTCATCGGCGAACTTCTCAGCGTCGTGGATCATGCGATCGATATCCTCGGGCGTCAAGCGATTCTGGTCGTTGGTAATCACAATCTTCTCCTTGTTGCCGGTGCCCTTGTCCTCGGCGCTCACCTGCAGTATACCGTTGGCATCGATCTCAAAGGATACCTCGATCTGTGGAATGCCACGTGGTGCTGGTGGAATGCCAGTCAGATCGAATTTGCCCAACAAATGGTTATCCTTAGTCATGGGACGCTCGCCCTCGTACACCTGAATGGTAACGGTGTGCTGGTTGTCAGAAGCCGTAGAGAACACCTGCGATTTCTTGGTAGGGATGACTGTGTTGCGAGGTATCAGCTTGGTCATTACACCGCCAACTGTCTCAATGCCCATGGTCAGGGGATTGACATCGAGCAGAACAATGGCATCAGTATCCTGTTCGCCGGAGAGAACACCAGCCTGGACGGCAGCACCGTAGGCGACAGCTTCATCAGGATTGATACCACGGGATGGTTCCTTGCCGCCAAAGAAGTCCTTAACGAGCTGTTGGACCTTGGGAATGCGAGTGGAGCCACCAACGAGCACAATTTCATGCACATCCTTCTTGTTCATGTCCGCATCCTCCAACACCTTTTGAACGGGCTTCAGAGTCGAACGGAACAGATCGAGATTGAGCTCCTCGAATTTGGCACGGGTCAGCGTCTCGGAGAAGTCATCGCCTTCGAAGAAGGATTCAATTTCAATGCGGACTTGATGGGAACCAGAGAGGGCGCGCTTTGCCTTCTCGACCTCACGACGCAGCTTCTGGACGGCACGGTTGTCCTTGCGGATATCCTTGCCCTTCTTCTTCTTGTACAGTTTGATGAAGTGATCCATGACACGCTGATCGAAGTCCTCGCCACCCAAGTGAGTATCACCATTGGTGGCAACCACTTCAAAGACGCCGTTGTCGATGGTCAGTAGCGAGACATCGAAGGTGCCGCCGCCCAAATCGAAGACCAGCACATTCTTCTCACCCTCCTTCTTGTCCAAGCCGTATGCAATAGCAGCCGCCGTCGGTTCATTGATGATGCGCATAACCTGCAGGCCAGCAATGACGCCAGCATCCTTTGTTGCCTGTCGCTGGGCATCGTTGAAATAGGCGGGCACTGTGACTACAGCATGGGTGACCTTCTTGCCCAGATAGGCTTCGGCTGTCTCCTTCATTTTGCCAAGAACCATAGCTGAGATCTCTTCAGGAGCAAAGACCTTGGCGCCTTGGGATGTATCCACGCTGATGTGTGGCTTGGAGTTCTTCTCGACCACCTTGAATGGGAAGAACTTGATATCGTGCTGTACATTCGTGTCCGACCATTCGCGTCCAATCAAACGCTTCGCATCGAAGACGGTGTTCTCTGGATTTGTAGTCAACTGATTCTTGGCGGCATCACCAATCAGACGCTCGCCATCAGCTGTGAAGGCCACGTAGGAAGGCGTGATGCGATTACCCTGATCGTTGGCAATAATCTCAACGCGTCCATTTTTGTAAACGCCAACGCTGCAAGCAAAATTAAACTTCATTAATATCACGTATTTTTGGACTGTAGTTTAATGTCTCTTGATCTGGCCAAATTACTGGAAGCACATAGCGGCACACTCCAATTGGAATATGATATACAAGTCCCATAGGATTCCAATTGCTGTGTACCATGGAAATCGAGCTATATTATCTTCTGATCTGTCGTCGCCCAGTGAAACTGGCACAAACTTACCATGAGTATGTTGTGCCCAGATCAATGCCAATAACGGTACCCAGCTCCTTGTCCTTCTCCTTCTTTTCCTCGCCGAGTGAGAGGCCTATAAAGGCCACAACAGCCAGTAATATGCACAACTTCATTGTGGCAGTTCTCTTCTTGTATTTTATAAAATATTAACTAGCGTTGATGCTTAATATTTCACACCAAACAAAAAAAACTGCAATGAGAATGAGAAAGAAAACGATGATTAATTAAATGCAAAAAGCTTAGCTCAACTTTTGTACACGTCAACACACGCTTAACGCAGGCGCGAGGGAGGTAGATCGTGGAATGAGAGAGCGCGTAGATTGAACAGAAAAATAAAAACGCTGACGTTGCAGTTGGCAACAGGTAATACCGTTATGTGTGCTACTTTTGATAGTCATTGAAGTGACGACCTAAAAGAATTTATGGCACCGACCTCAAAAATATTCCATATATTTAAGTAAAGGTAAATCAAGATTCATACACACGCGTACCTAAATCTACCTGAAGATAGCAGCCGCGGACACAATACGTCTGCCACGGTAGATAACCGTTTAACAACTGTTTAATGCTGCCGGCCGCGGCTGTGCTCTGCTCAGTTCAGCTCGGCTCACTGACATTGACCGACGCCACGGCTCTGCCAACGTTGCTATAGAATTTTTGTATACGTGGTAACATTTTTCTGGTTCTTTCTGCTGCTATAAGCTCAAACTCATTCGTTCTCTCTCTACCACTCGCTCTTTCAGTACACGAACTCTCAGTCGCCGGCTAAACTCACATGCGATGCGTTAAACAAAAATCAAACTGGTTTTTCTTTTGCTGAACTCTCTTCTACTTCTATTTTTATGAAAATCTCTTATTGTCATCTTTGTTCAGGTTTGCGTACACAATAAGTGCGCAACAACAACAATAAGAAAATACAATTGCAATCGTATGGCAGCCCAAACAATCCACACATACACACACTCACGTCCCGTCTCGTCCGGTGAAAGTTGGGGCGGTAGTCGGCGTTTTCTGCCGGCAGCAAATGTCATCAATTTGCACAGCTGTGTTAGTTTGGTTCACTTTACTCACGTTTCTATGCTTCTGCTCCAAAAAAAAAAAAAAAAACAAGTTAAAACAAAGCTAGTAATCGCCGTCTATGCTTTGCTGACGACGTGTACTTTTCTCAGCTATTGAATTAAATAACGTATGTGGCTTGGGGATATATATTTTTTTAAATGACGTGTACAAAGCTGATTGAATGAATGCCAGAGCTGCCAGAGTGCGAGACACCAAGCAGCAGCCACCGATAACTCAGCGCAGGCGCATGCCAGATTATATTGTTGTGTTGTGTGTTTGAATGTATGCTTGTATTTAAATTAAGTTTACGTATGCGTATTTTATTTTGTATTGCAATTATTTGTTATCAAACTGATTTAAATCAAGTGTTGCCATGTCAGCAACGGAAGCAGCAGTCAGATATGGCAACGCAAAAAGTTTACAGCTGTGTGGCCAAACGCTCGAATTGAAAATATTTCTAATATATGTACGTACATATGCATGTACATACATATGCCAATAAATTGCAGCCGGCAGGTTCGAAGTGAATGAACTTTGTTACTAATTGGTAAATGAAATATTTTATGCTAATTTCTTGCTATGGCCCATTGAACAATATATGTTAATTATGCACACCTTGGCATCGGCTATTGCTTCGCGCTACACGTCACTTGAGGGGGTGTTAAGGGGGACTGCGGGCTGGTCACACTCTTTGTGACGTCGTTTAATACCCAAACACAGAAATATGAATATTAAATGCATACGCCGTCTTACACGCATGTATTGCGCACACTACATGTGCTTCGCCTATACCACTTATATTTTATGCCTTAAAATCAGACAATTTTGGAGCCACATTGCCAACATGGCGACATCGCGCACAACCCTACATGTGCATTAACTTTATCTACATCTAGTCTTGAAACTACATTTACATTCGCTTTTATTGGGATCAGTGCATCGAATCTTTATGTTGTATTCAATTAAAAGTCTGAGGGTTAGTTTAACTTAACACTTGAAATTTAACTTATTGAAAGCTTACTTTTTCTTTTCTTTAGTTTTCTCTCTTGACGTTTGAAACAGAACTGAAAGAATATAGCTGAACGCTTTCGGCCGGCACTTTCTACACGGTCACACACGTACACACACACATGCAACGCTGTGCAGAGTACACGTCAGTGCTAACTTTACTACAGAGTTGCAAAGTTCTACTCAAAATGTTATCGATTGTAAATTTACAAACTGATTTTTAAATACTTACTTTTTCTAACTTAAAATAACTTTGAGCACTTAATAAGAAAATAATTTATTTAAATATAAGTATTTTGTCACTTTGATGCTTTGTCTTTTTTGGCTTCGATTATTAATAACTTTTGTACACGGTTTCACAGTCACAGTATTTGTTTATATATAAGAAGTTAAAAAAAAATGTATATTCCTCTTATTGTTGCTCGTACGTAGTATGTTTGTTTATGTAGATATATTCCAATGGAATTGCGCTTTTCTATATGCCGATTTGTTACTTCTTTGCTGTCTGTTTGGAAACTGTTGGACGCTCTCTGCACTGCCGGGCTATTTATTCATCCGCTTTGTTTACGCTCTGACGTGTCGACCACGTCAGTGTCTGGTGCAATTCTGATTGGCGTTTCGTGGCGCTGACCGGCAAAATCTGATTGGCCCACGCTGAAAAGAGAGGATGTTGTGTCAAAAGCTTTGCTTTGCTTTGCGTTGCTCTGGTTCGTTTGTTGCATTTGCAAACACATTTTCGTCATTATCAAGGCTGATGACACTGTTCGAGCGCGCGCGCGCGCTTTCTCTCTCTCGCTCTCGCTCTCAGTGTGTTTGTTTCTTTCATGTTTCTTTGGTGAAAATAAATACAATTGTTTTTTGTTTGCTTGTCTTTTAGCAAACGGTGACGTGTACCTCGCATAGTTGTGTGCACCGAAGGGCGTTCCAGTATTTACTCGCATGCATTTTGAACCACTGTCAAGCACCGTTAGTCGAGATGAATCTCGAAACTTCATGATGTAGAAAAGCAAAAGAAACGCCCATATTTTGTTTGATTTAGTTTTATGAATTTGTAATGACACACAATCGATATCAATATAATTTTTTCCATTTTGTTTTGGTTTTTTGTTTTTGTTTTTTTTAAGATCTTTTTATCTTTTTCATAACAATAATAGCTTTTAATAATCGTCCAACATACAATTTAATTTTCCCAAAGTTGCCTTCAACTTGTGCTATTTGTCAATTGAATTCATTATTAACAATTTGTTTACACTGACTAAATGGGGCGAGGGGTGGCGGTTGAGTAAAATGTTCGCTAAGCTTCTGAAATGGGGTTTATCTGGCAAAATCTAAGCCAGACTAAATGGACTATTTAGCTTGCGATATCTTTATATATATATAAATATATATATATAAAGGCAACTAGGCAAAACGTGACAATAATTTTAGTTTGCATTAAAAAATAAATAAAAAGAACAATCTTATATGGCATAGAAGTATCATTAATAAAATTTCAATAAGAAAATAAACAAAAAACAAATCAGCTCACTTGGCTATATAAATATTGAAATATTACATTTGTGGCTGTTTCTCATTTTCTCTTTTCCTCTTTTCTTGTAAAAGCTAAATTTTGGTCAAAAAATTGAGCTAGTCTCATTCAAAAAGTTAAGCTAAATAAAGGGGAAAGAGAGAGACAAAAAACAAACAATGAAAAGCACTTCAAAAAACAGTTAGACGCGTACAGTTACTGCTAAAAGTTAACAGCTAACCATTTTACAGTTACAATTTGGGCGTAAGTTCAGTGCATAAGAATGTTGGTTTTGTTTGTTTGTTTGTTGTTGTTGTTTTTGTTTTTGTTTTTCTTTTTGTTTGAAACTTTTAATTTTAATTCGAGTTCTTTCCTCTTGTAGTAAATTGTTAAGATTTAAGATTTGGTGTTTTTCTTTAATATTTTGAAACACTGAGTTGCCATAAAATTGTTGCAGTTGCTTAGTTGTTGTTGCTGTTGTTGTGATAGTTATTGGTCCGAAACAATTGGTAAATAACTAGATTCTCATTGACTGGCATTTGCATTTGTAAATAGTTGTAGTAAATATATATATATAGTTTATAAGATATACAGGCTAGTTAACAATATCAACAAATGGGCGTGCCTACGCCTGCATTCTTAGTTTAGCATTCTTTGTGTATGTGTGGGTGTGTGTGTGTGTGTATGTGTGTGTATGTGTGTGTATGTGTGTGTATGTGTGTGTGTGTGTGTGTGTGTGTGTGTGTGTGTGTGTGTGTGTGTCTCTGTGTGCGTGCTTGCTTTAAACGTTCTCTATCTCTATCTCTCTATCTCTCTATCTGTATCTCTCTCCCTCTCTCGCATCACTCTTCGCTCTCTCTCTCTTTCTCTCCTCACTCGTGCCGCACTCCGCATATGGACAGGAACGTACTGAAATTGTGTAGACTGCACGCCGGCAACACCGTATATACAATCGTTGCCATTTCGTGGCATTTGTGGCGAAAGTCGTGCAACGCCTGCAACAGCAGATCCGTGGGCGGTGCGGCGTTCACCTGATAGAAGAGCTTCAGGTGTATCGCTGGCAATGAGGATGCAGCTGTTGCTGTTGTTGGCTGCTGCTGGTCTCCAGCGCCGCCCGGCTGCTGTGGCAGTGACATTGGCTCGGTGGGCGTGGCAGTGTTAAGTGCTGACTGCTCCTCAGCTTCACGCTGCAGTTGTTGTTGTTGTTGTTGTTGCTGCTGCTGCTGTTGTCGCTTGGCCAACGGATAGTCCTTAAGCAAACGATTCACAATATAGGTGAGTATTTCGTCCAGATGCTCAGCACTGAGGCTCTGGGCCAAACGGCAATGGTTGCCCAGCACATCGTCGCTCAGCTGCGTCAACTGTGTGGTGGATGAGGCCAACCCAGTTGCCACATAGCAAACAATTGCGGCACAATTGTTCTCATAGTTCCAGCGACGACGTATCGAGATGGTGTAATCGCTTACCGAACAGCCAGTCTCCTCATCTGAAAAGCAATTAAATACGAATTGAAATTATAATTAATTTGAGAAACATTCAATTAACAACTTATAAACTTAAAGCTTTGCCTCAATTTGATTGAAGACGTTGTCATGAAGCAACAAAATGTATAATATTAGCAACACTTATTCAAATTGTTTAGGTTTATGTACAAAGTCTCTGTGAAACGAATTGAAATGCAATTGATAGAAATAGATAGACAGAAAGCAGATATACACAAACGTAAGATGGGTTTGACAAGATATACGCAAATATATATATATATATATATATATATATAACTGTAATCCGTTATCATTAATACAAGCTTAAAGCAAGCTGCAAAGTCTATGAAGAGATCGTCTTTATATAGAGCCGCTGAACGACACGTCAACTTACAGTCGAAACGATCGTTATGGGTGTGCGCCCACACCTGCCACTCGACGAGGGCGTCGCGCGGCAGAGCCGGCAGCACAATATAATCCATGATGGCATTCGTGGTGCGTCGCTCCCATTGCCGGCGCGCCTCGCCAATGAAGGCGGGATGGGTGACAAAGCAAATGCCATGGACGACATCGCGCAGCTGGCCCTGGGCATTCATTGCCTTGGCGATTCGGCTAATGTGACGCAATGTTAGCTTGCATTGGGGCCGGATGCCGCCCTCAATGATTGTCATGCTGCCCGGCACGAGGGCGATTTGGCCCGAGATGTAGGTGATGTCGCCAACCTGCAAATGCGAATATAAATCGTTTCAGACTCTCTCTCTCTCTCTCTATCTGTGTTGGACTCTCTGTGGCTCACCCGAGTTGACTGACTGTAGGGTCCGATGTTGGCTGGAGCCCAATGGGATATGCCCTGGACATGCATCGTATTGCGACGACCGTTGAGCAGTAGCTGCGTCTCCTCGCTGTCTTCTCCACTATGGATGGCAGGTGCACGGTATGCAATGGCCTCCATAACCACATGACAATCATCCGGAAGCGGGCATTCAACACAAACGCGCGTCGGGGGATTGTGAAAGCCAAACGATTGCAAATAGATGCTATTGAGAACTGGATATTCAGCAATAGATCTCACATAGAGCGTGGTGAAGCACAAGTCCTGCAGCTCATAGCCATTTGTGGAGCACAGTTCACGCAGCGTATTCAGCGCCTGTTGCATGCCCAGCTCCATGCTGGCGGCGCAGCCTAGGAGAGACAGAGAGAGACAAACGGACATGAATTAAAAAGGGCATTTCCAATTGGATATCGACAATTTGATATTGGCTGCATGAGCTACTGGTTACCCTGTATGCCCGAGAGCCACATCCAGCCCTTGGCGTTAATGGCCGCCTTGGCCTGGTTGGCGAGTGGACGAAATTCCCGTTCATATTTCATTGGGCTGGGCGGCTGTGTTAGACCCGCTGGCATCGTCGTCGTCGCCGCGTTATTGTTGCACTGTGTGGTGCTCAGCCCAAGCGAGGAGATGGCCAGCGACAGCGAGCCGCATACGGCAGCCGTGCTGCTACCCAACGGATGGGAGCTGCCGAATCCGCAGAAGCTGTTCGCTTGCAAGGCGCCACCAGTGGCGCCCAATGCCGATGCGGACGCGGATGTCGATTGATTCGCATTCGCATTCGCATTGCCAAGCAGCAGCAGCGAAGCGCTGCCCGTTATACAGCTGGCCGTCGGTATGGGCTCGTCGACGCTGGCGCTCTTCGTTACAATGGGTATCGGCGAGGACGATGATGTAGCCAAGTGTCGGCCAAATGAATTGCTGCGCGATATCAACTCATTCTGGCTAAGTGATTCGCGCAGACGCGTCTCCTTCTCGATCAGCTCCAGTTCCGTTTCGCTGAAGTCCGGGTCGCTTAGATCACTGTACGTGGACTCATTGAGATCGGTTATATAGTCGAGTGACTTCTTAACGAAGACCACATCGCCGCCCGCGTTTGGCTCCTTCGGCTGCAACGTTAGTTTCGTGAAGTTAATATAGCCGACGGGGCATATGGGATCCGCGCTGCTAATTATCGTCTGTATATCCTCGACAACGATGCGCTGCTTAAATAGTGGACAGTCCAGAGTGAATGTCTCATATTCCCCACCTTCGCCGCACACATTCAGTCCGTACTTGTCCCGCATCTTCAGCAGATGCGTCTGCATCTCGCGCAACGACTTGCCCAAATGGCGATCCGGCACCAGGCCCAATGCGGCCACCTACAAAAGCCACAAACGGTTGGATTAGACTCAGCTGAATCATGTGCAAATTGGCCATGTGCCCTACCTTGATGATAATCGCGTGCACCTGACAGTCAATCATCTCCTGCAGCAGTTCAGTCTGATCTCTCCTCCACAAATAGGCCAAGGATATCAGGTTCAGCCGGCTGCACACGTTCTCCACGCGCACTCGCTGATAATCCGACAATATGGCACCGACAGCAACCGCCTCCACGTTTAGTTCGTGCTATCAAATGAAACGCAACACGAAATATCTTTAAATAAATACATCTTTAAATAAATAAATACGTATGGATAGTTTTTAATAGAAGAGGCTATTGCGCAATCAAGACTCTACACAGACGTTATGTAATATTGTGGAAGCATAAGCACTCAAGAGTCGAGTCAAGTAGGAATCAATACTTTGTCTATACGAAAAGTCTCTGACTTCAAATGTGAACTGCGTTGAGAGCTGCACGAATTCTGTTTCCAGATTTAGAGATTGCTCCCAGTAAAGCTATAATCTGGATAATTTATTTCAATTTTTGCTTATGCTTCATTCAATGCTTTTCTAGGTATTTTTACGAACCCACATCCAAATTTCAGGACAATATATCAAACAGATTCTGAGTTACGACCCTCAGTGCGATGCTCTATGAACTCTGCCCCTTCCTATTCTGCGCTCTTGGCAAGCTTCTCAAATACTTATTGGATTCATGACCCACTTGGTTATGGCATCATTTGGCTGTAGCCCATCTTCAAAGTTCAAGTACTTTGTCATCGAGCAAGTATATATATATATATATATATATATATATATATATATATATATATATATATATATATATATATATATATATGTGTGTGTGTGTGTGTGTAGCTCCTTCTCCATAGTTCACGTGTTTGGCGGCATTTTTGATAAGATTAAACGATTTGCCCGCTGTGAAAACTAATTTCCGCAATTATATTTTATATTCGAATTGTTTGGTGGGGCGTAAACTCGTCCAAGGACATTTTTACAGACAACCAACGACAGGCAGCTGCACTAGCCAATATCCTGTAAAAGCCAATTTGTGGTTTCTTCTAAGCAAATAGAATCTATATATCTATGGAAATTCTTAAATTTGTTTTGCAATCTTTTCGGACTTCTTTATGAGAGTTTAGAGCTTTTCTAACTTCTTTGTTGAACTATCAAAGCTTACTAAATTAGTCTTGTTATGCAAGACTGCCTTTTAGGCGGGTCACACAATTGCTGACACTAGTATGCCCTACAGAAGACTGCAGCACAGGGTATACAGGTGAGCGTCATCATTAGCGTCATTCGTCAGCAATTTGCATCGATAATCAGCTATCTCTAGCCGCAATCTTTCCAATGCACACACACATGCATACAGGCATACATACCTACATATATATATATAAATATGTATATGACTAATTGGAATTCCTTGCGGCTTGACAACTCACCTTGCACGTTTCCAGCAAACTGTAGAGATCCTCAACTTCATCATCATCGGTGGGCACATATTGTTTGCCGGTCTGTAAGCTCTTGCCCTTGGTCTCGCGCCTGTAGAGAGGCAAGCCCATGGCACTGGCGAGTATTTCAATGCCCATGTGGCCAACTGTTTGGTACATAAAGCTGTCCAGCTCATCTGTAGTGGCCAAAAATTGAATTAAATGTGAATATTTGATAGATATGAATGTGCGAAACGAAATTTACCTCTATCCTTGGGATGCAAATTGGCAAGCGCGACAATTTCGTGACCCTCGGCGACGCACTGCATCATATTGTAGCAGCTATCCTTGCCGCCACTCACCATTGCCACCACGCGCATCTTAACGGCCTATTTGTGTATGTGTGTGTGCGTATGAGTGTGAGGTGGTGTTAGATGTGTGTGTGTGTGTAGTGTTTGGTTATTTGGTTTGTGCTGCTCGGTTTAGCCGGAGTGTGCGCTCATTTGGTCTGTTTGTTGACTAGACTTGTTTACAATAAAGAACGTGGCGTCTTCTATTAACACAGAGCGGCTGTTATTGATGTTGCGGGTGTTACTGTTGTTGTTGGCGTTCGCGTTGGCGTAACTGTTGTTGTTGTCAACTGTAAAGAAGCAAAGCATAAGTAGAGTTCATTAGTGCATACGCTTTTAGCTGCTGTTGTTGCCCTGCTAAAAGCTCTCTCAGGTGGCTGCGGAATCTAATTAAGTCCGAGCATAATCAAATGCCAAAGTGTTGCCACTTAATGTGCTTTGGCAGCCACTGTAACAATTAAGCAGCTGGCTGCCCTGCCCTCGCACGGTGGCCAATACGATGGGCTCGTCTTTCGACCAGGATGCTTTGTTATTCTTCTTATAATTGGTAAAAGTCGGCCAAGCTAAATGATTGCGCGAAGGTCACACTCTCACACACACATCCGCACGCAGACACATATATTTGCATACATAGTGAAACACATATGTAAGTATATGCATATATATAGAAGTAGATTTGCGCATATACACACACTTGTCACACACTTTTGATATACTACTGGCGCCGCCTGTCTCAGCGCTGACACAAATATAAAATTTTCTATGCTGTTTGGCGTTTAGATATACAAGAATTTTGATATTGTTTAATATTTACCCGACCCGTTCCTGGTCGTGCGCGACTTTATGGAATTCGCACACTTGTGTATTATGTTATGCGCTAGAGATGCGCGATAGTTTTGCGCAAAAACCTAAAAGCGTCGCAGCGATAGTGCACGCACACTTAAAGCAACATCTTTATTATTTTTAAACTCTACACTAGAGCTGTTTTTTTCACTTTTAAAATTCATTAATTTAGGGAATAAAGCTAAAATATCAAATTAATATTACTTTAATTATTTAGTACCCCAACTATGTTTGGTATGTTAAAAGAATGCTTTGACTTGCATGCATGTGAAACTTAAAATATTTTTGATATTGCTCACGTATAATTCATTGACTTTGATTCTGTCGGCAGCAACCGTTGACTTGTGACTTCAAAAAACCATAACTGCCGATAGTTGTTATTTAAGCTTAACAGTGGCCCCGGGCAAATATTGTGCATATCTAATGTTATGCGATTAACGAAAAAACGATAACTTGCAAGGCAAAATGTAACTGCTAAAAACCGAATTGTATGATAGCACCGCTTAGCTCATACGATACTCATTTTTGCACTTACGCGACTCACTTTGCGCTTACGTGTCTGTTAACTTTAACATGGCATTTCAACATTACGTTGTGCTTGCTACGACTAACACACACATCTGTTTATAAAGACAAACCAAGAACGAATCATTTCGCAATTTCGTCTTAAAATTTGGCGTTTAAAATCTCTTGGCACCAAATTCTTTGGTGTAGTAATAAAATTTTAATGACTGACGAAACCATTTTAAATCATAATACCAGAAAAAAGCGAGCCTTTACATAAAGAGTTTGGTGCCACTGTGTCAACAAAGACTAAAGACGAACAACCAATTAAACATAGATAAAAAATTAATAAATAAAAAAAATAGGCGAAATATAAAATAAACAGAAAATAAACTAAGTTAAACACAATAAACTGAGAACGATGACCTCTGTGCCACAAACTAAACAATATAATATAACGCATTTTCAACAACGATATAACTGGGATTGCGGAGTATCCTGCATATTGATGGTATTGTCCACAGCGCAGCGGAAACAGTTCCTAACTAATTTCGAGAGCATTTGCAAAGAAGAAGGTTTCGGCGTCAGCACCTGGACAATTGATCTCTGCTATCTGCTACTCCGCTATCACGTGCGTCATGAGTATTTTACACAAACGATTGGCGTCGATCCGAGCTACAAGAAGCATACGTACTATTCACATATAATGGACAGGGATGAAAAGCGGGTGTTGCGCAGGTTCAAGGATGCGGCAACACGAGGCTTACGCATTCAGCAACGTACAGTGAATATGCATGGTATTGTGATGCACTTGGCACGCAACGGACCAATTATATTGTTGACAAATGCGTCGCAGCTTATTTGCGAAGTGTGCCGTCGTACGATTCGTGAGAAAATTGGGTAGGTAATCGTAACGTAACGAGAACGATACATACGTACTATGCATACTCCTTAATGCAATGCACGAATGCACAACAAAGACACGGAAATCTTAATAATAAATAGAGAACGCGTCAAGGTCAGGGTCATTTCCCAATAATGGAATTAATTGGATAATAATTCCAATCACTGAGGCAACTATAAGACCTACACTCGTATCATGGCCATTTGTCGTGGCGCCGCTGCCTGCATTTAATATCAAATTGCGCAATTTCCATATGAAAAGCAGAGCTCAAATATCGAAAACATTCTGTTATCGAAATATGAGTTGGCGCCTAACGCCATTTGAAGCGTGTCTTAGCTGTGTATTCTCTCAGAGTTTTAATTAGCTTGATTGACCAACTCTTACAACTTTACTCATTATCAAGTTTTCACCTATTTTGTTTTGCCCAAAATAAAAACAAAAGTTTTGCTGGACACTATGTGGTGCTATGTGGCTACGATGCAGAAGCACATAAAATATTCTATAACAATCCCGAAACACGAGATGGCCGTAAGTGTAATGCAATGCAATGCAATGAATTTATCAATTGACCTATGCTAATCGATTACAGATACTTGTCGGTGTTCAACGGCTTCAATGGATACAGCTCGAACGGCGTTCGGAACCGACCAGGATATCATATTTATTTATGAGAAATCCAAACGCAAAAAGTAAATACTTTGTGGCTGATGTCAAGGTAGCTGCACAGAAGTTGTTGTTGTTAAATGGACCTGAACGCCTATGTGATATTTACTTGTATTGTGTCTGCGATCTGATTGTTCTAGGCTAGGTTTTTAATTTGACGTATCCCAATCAGTTTTTGGAAATAACTAATAATGTTGTCAAATTGTGCTTGCTTTATTTATTATTCAATATCTGTATGGTTACATATGCAACCTTTGTTGTGAAACAAAACAAAGTTTAGTATTTTTTTGTAGTTATAGCATTTATTTAATATAACAGTTGGTCCCCTTTGAAAAACAAAAAAAAAACAACAACAACAAGTTATATATTATAGCATAATCCCTTGTAGAGCAAGACAAATATTTAAGAACATTTTCGAATAGAAAAAAGTATTAGAAACATAATATATTACAGTATTTAAACGAATATGATTCCAAATCAAATTTCTAAACCTAAACCTAAAGGAATATAATTCTCTTTTTTATATAATATTAACTGCTTTGTTTGCATAACGATATAAACAAAACAAATTGTTTCATATGGAATTTGTGCAATATATATAAGTATTTTTTTGTAGTAGCTTAAAATATTCATAAATATTTGCCAGAGCTTTTTTGAGCCTATTCCGTATACATTCCAATAAAGCAATATATATATATATATATATATAATCGTATATAATAAAAAAAATGGTTATAAAACTGTGGTTTTTGTAGCTTCTACTCTGTGTCTTTCTTGAGCTGTTTGGTCAGCAGCTGCAGCTTAATGTGCGGCGCCTCCACCGGCAACAGAATCTCGCCCGCATCATTTGTATATTTGGCATAGAGCTGCTCGGAGAACGGCTGGAAGCCCTGCGAGCACAGAATCTTTTGTGAGAAGATGCCGGTGGCATCGGCTTTAAGCAGCTGAAAGCCAGATTTGCGTGCCACCTGCTCGGCGCGTCGCACCAGCTCCTTGGCAATGCCCTGTCCGCGATAGCGTGCATCCACTGATAGGATGCGCACATCGAAAATGTCCTCGACACTGTAGCGTGCAAAGAGATCCACCTGTAGGCTGTGGCCGTAAAGCAGTTCAAATATTTTCTTATAGTTTGCATCGGTGCTCTGCTGCAACTTTTCCAGCGCCTGTTCTGTGTCACCTGGACGTAGGATGCCGTTAAGTATGACGCCTGCGATTTGGCCGTAGTTGTTGCTATCCTTGCGAGCATCCACCGCCATTATGCTTAGTTGATCCTGCAGCGTTGCCAGGCTGTGATGCTCCAGCTCCGCGTTGCCACCGCCGTGCTGACAGAGGCCAGCGGCACGATTCAGCGGCTCGTCGGCAAAAAAATTGCCACGCAAATGTTCGATCACTCGCTCGAACTGGTCCGCTGTGATCAGTTTGTACTCCATGTTGCTTAACTATTATATCTACACGGGCTCGAAAATGTATGCTATAGAAAGAAGTGTTAAGAATATGTAGCATGCTTATTAGACACTTTTATTTAGGGCAATATTAGTATATCTAAGAAAAGCTGCATGAAATATCTTTGCAAATTCAAAGCTCTGTATTAATATTAAAATTCATGAGGTGATCAGGGTTTATGCTACTGTGCATATGACATATGCGTACAAATTAATATGTTGCTGGTCCAGCGATGAACTAGGCGTCGGTGGCAGGTCCAGCGTTGATCGGGTATTTATAGTCTTAATCAATAAGTTGCTGGTCCAGCTATGAGCTAGGCGTCGGTGGCAGGTCCAGCGTTGATCGGGTAATTATAATCTTCTTATGATGATTATGTTGGAGGGTTTGACTTCACCCCCTTTTCTATTAACTGGCCTTGTGGCTCAGCAATGATCAGAAATATAACAATTTGATTACGGCGGTGTGCCGGAGTAGTGCGGGTTTATTCTTCAAACTTCAATGCAAAACTGATTTTTAGCTACATAGAATATTTCACTTAAGCTAAGCCAAAACTCGCATCACACCACAATGTCATGGTCGGCAAGCCGACTCAGCAATCTTAGGCAATAACGGAAACTCTTGCAGTAAACAAAAGTATCTGGTTACCGCCGCTGACCATTGCAGTTATAGCGCGCTGATACAAAGTATGCAGTGTCGCAATTGCGAGGGCTGTTTCTTAACTTACGAAACACGCGATAGCGAGGGTTGGTTATAAACTTATGAAATACCCTATATTAAATGTTATGTGTTAACTACTCCCCCTTCAAGTGTAAGGCCGCCCTCGGCCGACCCAATTCCGGCGACGACTTCTCGTAATTGCTTCGCAGACTTCCTTGCGTCGATGAACCGCCAAAGGGTGAGGCCAATGCAGATTAAAGCACAGCATATACCTCCAATGATGAATGCCACACGATAAGCTTGATCAGTTCCGGCGTCTTTCTTGAATTGCTGTATCTCCTCCAAATTACGTTCATTTAAACGATGAAGATAAGGGAGGCTGAGGACATCTTGGCTGGCAGTGATGTTCAGCAAGGGAGAGTTGGCAATGCCCGGGACTCTATTGCGTACGTTGTTGTGGTTGTAAAACAGAGTCCCGTTGATCGCGACTCGGTCCCCGAACGTAATGAGATGCGTGCCGTGTACTTGGATTTCAGTGCCGTTATCCACCTGGATCCTTGCGGACCCGTCGTTAAGAATGATGATTCCATCATCTACGTGGGTGATTATTTCCAGGTTGCTCGGCTGGATTTCACAGTGTGCCGTGCCACCTGCATGGAGCTCTTTGGCACATGAACTCTCTAATGCCAGACGACAAAAGGTGGCTCCAGGTGAAGCGGTGCAACTCTGCAGTGTGTGGGTTTTTCCATCGCATTCGGCTATGACGTTGTCAGGCAATCGCAATATGAAATTCTTGTGAATGACAGGATAAATCGTAATTTTTCTGCAAGCTTGTTTAATATGATTTAAATTCCAAAAAAAAAAAAAAAATTTTTTTTTTTTTTTTTTTTTTTTTTTTTTTTTACGTTGGGCGCCAATTAATATGTTGCTGGTCCAGCGATGAACTAGGCGTCGGTGGCAGGTCCAGCGTTGATCGGGTATTTATAGTCTTAATCAATAAGTTGCTGGTCCAGCTATGAGCTAGGCGTCGGTGGCAGGTCCAGCGTTGATCGGGTAATTATAATCTTCTTATGATGATTATGTTGGAGGGTTTGACTTCACCCCCTTTTCTATTAACTGGCCTTGTGGCTCAGCAATGATCAGAAATATAACAATTTGATTACGGCGGTGTGCCGGAGTAGTGCGGGTTTATTCTTCAAACTTCAATGCAAAACTGATTTTTAGCTACATAGAATATTTCACTTAAGCTAAGCCAAAACTCGCATCACACCACAATGTCATGGTCGGCAAGCCGACTCAGCAATCTTAGGCAATAACGGAAACTCTTGCAGTAAACAAAAGTATCTGGTTACCGCCGCTGACCATTGCAGTTATAGCGCGCTGATACAAAGTATGCAGTGTCGCAATTGCGAGGGCTGTTTCTTAACTTACGAAACACGCGATAGCGAGGGTTGGTTATAAACTTATGAAATACCCTATATTAAATGTTATGTGTTAACTTACACACACATATGCACACGAGCATTCACACATATTTGAAAAACGCCAGCTCCCAATGGCATTTTTGCTTTCATAACTCAATTAGAGAGTACGCATAACTCTATCTCTCTCTCTCTCTCTCTCTCTCTCATGCTCACAGACGCATTCCAACACGCACACACGAAAACTCTCCCGTTTTCTTTGTTGTTGTTTACTGTAGTTGTTGTTGTTGCTTTTGCTGTCACAGGGACTACAATCGTATCATATTCAACAATTTACGACGCCTAAGCGACAGAATATGCACTCAACTAACCCCGTCTACTACTTTGCCTTTTTACCTATATACATCATTTGCACTTGTCGACACTTGCAATGAATGTGTAAATTAATCTCATTTACTTATTTTCACTTGTATTTTTTTGTTGTTCTAACTATTTACTTACTGGTATTTTAGTGGGTAATCTCAGAGTTGGATTTTGTAAATTGGGAGAGCGACAAAAAATATGTAACCTACTTGCGGGCGCTGCTAAATGCGAACTGCGGCCGCAGCAGCAACAGCATCAGCAGCATCCTAGTTGAGCTTCTGTTCCTGTGCGTTGTGCGAGAAAAATTTATGTCCAGTGGCGTGCAGGCTTGGCGCGCTATTCAACAAGTCGTTTGAAAGCGTGAGCCCCGCAGTATGTACGACCATGAAAAACGCTGTTAACAACTAACAGGATGAGTGCGTGAGTGTGTGTGTGTGTGTGTGTGTGTGTGTGTGTGTGTGTGTGTGTGTGTGCGTGTGTATGTGCTTGTGCGTGTGTATGTGCTTGTGCGTGTGCTTGTGCGTGTGCGTGTGCGTGTGCCTGTGTGTGTGCTAGTGAGCAAGGGAGTCATTGAGTGAGTCAGTACGCCTGTTCGTGACTTATGCCAAATGGTAATAAAAATTCGAGCTAGAGAGCAAAAGAGAGGCGAAAAGAATTGTTTTTGTTCGTTTTTCCTAGTTCTTGCTCCCACTCTCTGACATTTGGCCCAACAGGAATTAGACAGCAGCAACAGCGACGCCAACTGTTGATTCACTTTGTTCTTTGTGTGTGTTTTTGTGTCTCTCACGCCAATTTCCGTTGTGTGTGTATGAGTACGTGTGTACATATGTAAATACATACGAATTTTGACTTTTATATGACTTACTCAAGGATTTCAGTCCAATGAGATGTCACCTGCATAACAACTAATTGGCAATTGCGATTGATGTGCTTAGTAATTTTCTTAATTGAATCTTAAGCAACGTGTGCACTAAGTGCTGTTATTAAATATAATATATATATTAGCTTTAACTTACCATAAAACAGAAAGCTTAGAAAGCTAAATAAAGCATCCATTAGAGCATTACGTAGGCTAGTAATTGCAGATGTCTGGTTAGGCAATTGTTTCAACATTGGATACGGCCTTGCCCAAACCCAACCACGCCCTACAACAATCGTTGCTCGGCCCAGACCTCGAGCTAGACTGTGACCCCAGCAATTCACAGTTGCCCATGCAATATTTTTTATATTAATAAATATTATTAACCAACCTACTGTATAAGGCGCACACGTGTACATTCAAATTTTTTTTTGTTTTTTTTTCGCATCGTTTAATTTGCTTCGTTATGTTTTTTTTTGTTTTTTTTTTTTTTTGACACATGACGGCACAAGACGCATATTCAAATTGCGTGACTCGGGCAACCTCTGTGCCATCTCTCCCCTCTGTGGCCGTGCTCCAATCGCCATTGTCAGGTCATGCCGAAAGACGATGACAATAGAAGCGACAGCGTGTGTGTGGGTTCTGACATTTCTTTGTTTTTAGTGACTAACGACCTGACTGAGTGTTGTGCGTACTGTTAGCAATCAGCATCAATTTAAATCAATTCGGTCTAACGGTCAATGCAGCGATTTGGCAGCACTGGCTTAGAGAAGTGCGTGCTGCCGAGTCATAAGTGTTTAATTGAAGAATGTGCAGCTCCTATCAAACTAAACATTTATTTAATAGTAAGGCTTTCAACTAGGAAATATAACTGTAATCAAATTTGAAGTATAATGCAAATGTCTTTGATCGACACTCACGCGTTCATCTCTAGCTAGACGTGTTCCTCGCTGACAGTTTCTGTGGTGGCATCAGCTGAGCGCACGGCCCAATGGACGCGCTTCACTTTTATCCATACGTCACGTTGGACGATGTCGACGTCGGCGCCTGCGTCGGCGTTGACGTTAACGTCGAAGACCGTTGCGCTATTTGCCGTTTGTCCCATTTCGTTGTCGTGTGCTTTGCTTTGCGGTTCTCGTTCTTTTTGCTCGGTGCTCGTCCGTTTATTTTTGTATATTTGTCGCATATATATTTTGGTTAATATTTTGTTGTTCTTATTTTTAGTTTACAGTTTATGCTTTGTTATTGTTGCTATTTCTATTGCTCTTGTTGTTGTTATTATTATTATTGTCGTTGCTGTTGACTTGTAACGTAAAGTTGTGCACAACACAAAATTCTATTCAAATTTGTCATCAGCTGGCAGGCGGAGAAGAAGCAGCGCATAGCGTAACTGTAACTGTATCAGTAACGGTAAACTTGTGGGCTTAGTTAACTGAAGGAGTTATGGCTGCCAAAGATCGTCTACCAATATTTCCATCGCGTGGGTAAGTGTACTTTCCCTCTCTCTCTCTCACACAGAATCGAGAGATTCTCCGTTTCATGCATTTTGTCTCGCAGAGCACAAACGTTGATGAAATCACGTCTGGCGGGCGCCACGAAGGGCCATGGCCTACTTAAGAAGAAGGCAGATGCTTTGCAGATGCGTTTTCGTTTGATTCTGGGCAAGATCATTGAGGTAGGCAGAGCAGCTGACAACTTATTTCGCGATCTTGCTGAGTGATCTCTTCCATAGACCAAAATGCTAATGGGCCAGGTGATGAAGGAGGCGGCCTTCTCTTTGGCCGAGGTCAAATTCACGACGGGCGACATAAATCAGATTGTGCTGCAGAATGTGACCAAGGCACAGATCAAGATACGCACCAAAAAGGATAATGTTGCCGGTGTTACTCTGCCCCTTTTTGAGCCCTATCAGGATGGTGTCGATACTTATGAGCTGGCTGGATTGGCGCGCGGCGGCCAGCAGCTGGCCAAGCTTAAGAAGAACTATCAGAGCGCGGTGCGCCTGCTTGTCGAGCTGGCATCGTTGCAAACGTCCTTTGTGACGCTGGACGATGTCATCAAGGTGACCAACAGGCGTGTCAATGCCATCGAGCATGGTTAGTACCTCAAAGATTTCATACAAGTCAGGTAAAAGTTTGTTATATAATTCGATTACAGTTATAATACCGCGCATCAATCGCACCATTGAGTACATCATCAGTGAGCTGGACGAGTTGGAGCGAGAGGAATTCTATCGCCTGAAGAAGATCCAGGACAAGAAGCGTGAGGCCCGCAAATGCGCAGACCGAAAGCGCGAGGAGCTGCGTCGCCAGGGCTACAATGTGCCCAGCAGCGAACAGGCGCAGAACATACTCGAAAACGAAGGCGACGAGGACTTGCTCTTCTAAGTAGAAGAGTCTCTTGCGGGCCAATCAGCGAGCACTTATAATTCGCACTCACACGCGCACACACAGACACATATGCACACGCACAGACGCACACGCATTCGCACACGCACACGTAGACGCAGACGCAGACGCAGACTTCTTTAGGCTTCGAGAATGTGACGCCTTTGCAAGAATTAATTCAATTTCTACGCTCACATTGTGCTGCAATTTGTTCTGGTTCTGGTTCAGCTACTGGTTCGTTGTTGTTGCTATTTGCTGCTCTTGTTGTCATTGTTGTCATTGTCGCTGCTGTTGCCGTTGCCGTTACTGTGGCTGCTGTTGCTCTTGTATGTAGCTAATGAAATTATGTACACGTATGTACTTGACTATGTATTTGTATTATTGTTATTATTATTACTATTCTCATGTTTGGCTTTTGTGTGTATTTGTTGTTAATTTGACTAATTTCGCAGACTTTTAATTGTGCGCAGAAAAAAGAAACTAGATAAAAAAAACATAAAGAAAAAAATCTATTTGATGGCCCATAAAAACGTCTCATTTAGTCGCTTTTGGTTGAAACTTTGGCAATTCGTAGTTATCGATATGGATATGGTTGGCCCCATGGACAGCCCCCACCATACACACACGGCCCACCACACAACACGTGCCAAACCGCAAGTCAATAACAAAATCGTATATAGTTATAAATATGCATTAATCGAAAGGCCCGTGCGCATAGATTAACGTTCAAGCGAGCTCTTGATCATGTTTTCGTTTTCGTCCCCGTGTTCATACCCGTTCTCATTCTGCGAGAACTAGAGCTGCCCAATTCGTATTAATAATAGGCGAGACATACGTAAATTATTTAGATACATATATATAAAATCAAGTTTATTCATATACATACAGATATATATGTATATTATGTTTGCTTATACACGTAATAGTTTGCCATTGACCACTTTTTTTTTGTTTTCTTTTTGTATTATATGTTCCTCACAGTTCAGTTTTTAAGTAATTAGCTTTTCCATTTTCCTTTCTTGTGTGTTATCTCTTTAAATTCGGCTTGCTTCTCATTGAGTTCTTAGCCTAAGAAAAAAAATTGTCGCACGAAGTCTAGGGGCAAAAAAGCTTTAAAAAATATGGGTACATATACGTTTCATTTGCGCGCGGTGTAGATGGGGCTTCGAATCAGCTGCATTTACTAGTGTAAATGGTCATTAAGCTTGCAAAATGCGCATGGATTATATTAGATATATGTATATGTATTTATATATATTTATATATATGTATGTGTGTACGAGTATGTTAAGATATTGTATACCAAGTACTGTGACTGCATTTTGTACTTCTCCAAAATATATTTATATATGTATATATCTGTATTCGTTTACAGGCAACGTGTTCACGAGTTCGAAAACATTGCAAATGAACTATAAATGTGAACCGGTAAGAACATTCACTTTCTCTAGAGGGAGTTAGAGAAAGGCAATTTATACTCGTTCATGCAGCGCAGAGAGTATATTGGCTTTGTGCAATTCGTCTTGCTGTCCATCTAGCCATCTGCCCATATATTTCTCTGAACCACTTTGCCACTATTGAAACTAGAGACAAGAAATTTAAAGCCGTGTATACAACTCCTAGATATGGAAACAGTCAGTTTGTAGTTTTCAGCTTTATGGCGGAAACAGTAAGCTTTTTACTTGAACTTTTCTATAGATCGGCTTAGACGGTAAGTAAGATAAGCAAATGGTTCATTGTGGGGAAGCTTTGCACATAGGCGTATTGGGGCGGGGCCAATCCGAAAGAATCAAGTTGATCTGATGATCATGGTATATTCAAGGTAAATCTTCCGAAATATTGATTCGGGTGTCTTATGCGCCTGCGAGCTAAGAAATGGTCATATAATAAGAGAATATTATAACATCATATTTTATCTCTGGTTCAGTATATTTGAACCAGTTCGAATGAATATATATATTCATTCTCATTTAAAAATGATCAGGTAGCTTGGTATACCGTTATATTGATATAATGTGACATAATGTGTAAGTATATATATAAATATATATATATATATATATATGTATATGAATATGTTTGTAATTGCACTATACGTTTATGTATGTATGTATGTATATAAATATGTAGCTATGTTTGTTGTATATGAATAATATGTATATATAATATATATCGTATGTATACATCTATATTTCATTTTTAGTAGTTTGCCGCCTTACATTTAGTATATATATTAAAAAAAAAAACAGTTTCTTACTTAAATATTAATTTTTCACACACAAATATAGCCAGAGAGAAGAAAACACGCATCGAAGCAAAGGTTCGGCTTGATTTTCATGCGGTTTTTCGCCTCCGTTTTGAGTTAGCATATATGTATATATATATATGTATACATATATATATATATGTATAAAATAATTTATATTAATCTATTTATAAAAGTGCACACGTTTCAGTTGAGCTGAGTTGAGTTTTTTTAGTGTAGCTGCGCGCTTAAACACTAAGCTAAAACGTGCGCCAAGTGTAAGCGCAAGAGTAAAGGAGATAGCGACACCGAGTGAGAGAGCGAGTGTATGTGTGTGTGAGCGAGTGTGTTCGCGTTAGACTTAACGCGTTTAACAGTTCTTAAAGTTTACAGTTAGTTTTTGTTTTGCGATATTTTTACGACTGCAGCTGCTGCGGCTATTCAGCTTGTTGTAGTTGTTATGGTTGCGATTGCAGTTGTTGTTCTAGTTGTAGTTGTGGTTGGCGTCGCCATTGCTGTCGTTGTTGACAACTGTGACGTCATAAATATTTGCTGAGACATTTGAGCGCCAGGCATCACACATTTGTTCTGCAAATGACACAAGCAGAAAGACAGCAAGAAACGAGAGGGAGAGAGAAAGAGGGAGAGACACAGAATGCATCAAGCATAAGCGCGCAAAAAAAATTGATGAGAAATTCGCAAATAAAAAAAAACAAACATCATTTGTATGCATATCATTGAAGGTAGGCAGAAATGTAAGAAAGAGAGGGAGAGAGAAAGAGGAAACGCACATAGACATTAAGTTTGATAGCCTTTGTTGTTGTTGTTGTTTTTTTTAGTTATAAAGAATATTAGAAAAATAATTGCAAATCGTGTGCTTTTGGTTGCAAACAAAGCGCTGCAAAAAAACTCAGTGAGCAGATTAATTATTAGTAAAATTATTTATGTATTTTTATGAAATTTTGTGGCAATTATTAACTCAAATTAAAAAAGGAGTTAAATATAGATGCACAAAAAGAGGCAAAAATTATTTTCGACAATGGGCAAATATTTAAAGCTGACCAGTGTGACCGAATTCTAATGACAAATGAACCAAATTAGAGTGCTCGACCAGCCGCTACCCTTATTATTGGATTTCGCTTATGTATTTATTGTTCTTTCGATGGTGAAACTGAATTGATGAGTGTGAAAATGATTTTCCTATATTATTTTCCAATTTTCGTTTTCTATTAAGGTGTTTTTATAAGGAATCCTGTTTGTATTCCTCTCTTAAGGCATTTCACTAATTTCCCATCCTTTCGATTATGAATCGATATATTTTATTTTCCTTAAAGTTGTTCTATATTTTTTTTCATCATTTCCACAGAATATGATTTTTATTATTCCCTTTAAAGCCGTTTTCAAGTTTCCTTATTATTTTTATCTTCTTATCATTGTCATAAATATTATAAAGTTCCCTTATAGTCCTTCAAAAATTTCCCTTTTTTTCGAGAATGATTCCAGAAAAATGAAAGTCAATTTTTCTCTTTTTCGTCAAAAAAATTATTATAAATTTCCTCCAAGTTGTTTTAAAATTGCCCTTCTTTTCAAAAATAATTTAATAACCTTTCCTTTTTATCTGTACCTTGTTTCAAATTTTCTTTAAAGCTATTTAAAAATTTTTAAAAAAAATCCGTTAAAGAGCCGTTAATTTCCGTTTATATCGTTAAAAATGCAATATAATTTACCCTGAAATTCCTTTTGAATTATCCCTTCTTTTCGAGAAAATTTCATTAAAACTCCGAAAACATTTTTCTACTTTTTGTCTACAAATTATAAATCTTTTCGAGAATGCTTTGTTTTGTTTTGTTTTTTTCTTTCATTGAAGTCCTTATTCCACTACTTTTCGTCAATGACTCGTTAAATAGTCAAAGCCTGAATATAAATTTTCCTTAAAATTCTTCTAAAATATCCCTTTCTTTCGAGTAAACTTCGTTAATATTCTTTTGCCTCAGCATTTTCTTTAATTTCCCTTCCTTTTGTCTATAACTTTGTTCTTCCTTCAAAAATCTTTTAAAATATAGATATAAAATATAGATATAACCAGTGATATTTATAGGTTAAGTTCAGAGTCCTTAGCTAAGTCTTATGAAAAGCAAAACCTAAAATTATATTTGATTTCCTTTCTATATTGTAAATGAATATAAATATGAATATTCTAACATCAAGGATTACCATTAGCAGTACTAAACTATGCTAACTAAAATTGATATATGATTGAAATGCACAGTTAAAGTCTGTTTCGTATATACATATGTATGTAGACTAATAAGTTTTTACATATGTACATGAACCTAACTACAGATACGATTCGAAATCGGAAGAATTTTTGGTATTGTCTGATGATGCTTCGGTCACACTGATTTCTTGGAAGAGTTGGAATTATGTTTGATGAAATATTTGGAGTTTCCTTGGTTTGATAGACATGCTAGCCAAGATCCTAGGCCAATTTACTGGATCTGATTTGAATGTGAGCAGTAGAAGAATTTCTAGGGACCTGTTGATGCTGGCGATCTTGAGGGTTTTTTCAGGTGCGCAGATCGGAGTCAAGCATATGAGTGTAAAGGATATATATATGTGAAATAGACTACAGTGAACTGTCGCTTTGATAGACTCAACTCGAGCTAAGCGTGTTTCGTGCTTAAGACAAATTCAGCGAGGCGATTTTTACAGCATACAACGAGCTCAAGATCTCGAGATGGGCGCATATTGAGGCTACCGAACACGAGAGTTTTGGATACGAGATAACAGGACATACATATGTCTGCATGACAGATCGAGATATCAGATCGTACTTGGTCGTGTTTGTGGCACGACATGCGCCCATCTCTAGCATAGTTCGGGCGGATGTTAATTGGGTTGTTCTGTGCAAGTAGACTGAAAGGTTGTTGAGTTTCGGACTAAAGTTGCGGCTAGACTCTAAGTGGATGGGGGTTGCGCTACGGGGTTGCTACGTTTCTATATATAGTTGGCTAGAACTACATTTTTGGCCTACTGCTCTGACAACTCAAATACAACTGACTCGGGTGGTACGGATGACGCTGGCGGTACTCTCAGTACCTTTTGGCCGCGAAAGCACAGGCTAAACTTCCAATTGCCATTGTTGCGAGCATCTGGTGCCTCCTTGCCTCTAATCCTTGCTGAGCCACTCGCCGGTTCGTCCTTGCCTTGATTGCTGTTGGCCGTGTTGTTGTTGTTGCGCTGCTGGACAAATCGCTGGCGTTGTGGCTCATTCGCAATGACGATGATCACGCTGCTGGCCTTGCGGCTATTGAGGCGCCTGTTCTGCGGCGAGATCCTAATGCCAAATACCGTATACTGTATTACAGGGTCTAAGTGCCTAGCCGCGACTACTTACCGCAAGCTGGAGGATAGCGCGTCGACCGTCTGCTGGGCCGGTGCCTCCGTGTCCGGCGCTGTGTTGTAGGCGGCCGAGTACATGGATGCACGCTTCGGGACCCACTCCGGATGCCCGCGCACCGACATCCAGACGGCCAGACTCTTGAGCAGCACAGCGCGCACCTGTCAACAGCATTGAATCGATTAGCCAAAGTCAATGAGACCCGGATCAACACGCACCTCGCCATTCAGGAAACAGTAGATCAGCGCTATGAAGAAGCCCTGAAAGGAGGTCAGAAAGTGGGTCACATAGCTCCATATGGCGAACTTCCAAGCTGTCTTCAGTGCCGGCACCAGGTGCAGTAGATTCGTAATTCCCAATAAAGGTAGCAGCACTATGGCCGCCCGGACTGCCTTGCGGGTCTGCTCGATGTCGCTAGCCTGCGACTGGCGCAACTTCACCACCAGCACGCGTATGATGTTCACCAGAAAGAAGAAGTTTAGCTGCAGAGTAGAAGAGCTTCATAGACTGGGGAGCTCTCTCGCTTGGCAATTGGGTTAGCTCACCAGGATGACGGCCAGGCGTGGTCCTTCCAGTATCCAGTAGTAGGGGGTCAGATTGTAGTTCCACATGCAATCGCCCAGGGCTGTGTCCATAAAGATGGCCGTGCATTGCACCCACACAAAGGTCATCACAACGGGCATGCCCCAGCCGAGCAGCGAGAAGAAGATCAGCGGAAAGCTACCCTGGAATACAGCCACGGTGACCATGTTGTGCAAGTAGAGACCCTCGATGAACATCCACATGAACATGGCGGTGCGTGCGTATTCGAGTAGTACGTAGGATGCCTCGCATAGATATGGCTGCAATCGATAACAAATCGATGAGAATCGATAACGAAAATGTTTAAAGTAGATAGTACCTTAATCAGCACAATGTAATCGATAACAGCTCGAAAACAAATCGATAACAACTCAATAACAAATCGGTAACAACTCTATAACAAATCGATAACAAATCTAAAGTAGAATCGAAGTCATACAGCTTGTATAAATATCGATAAATATTTGTAATAATACGAATGCGTTAAGAGGTTATTAATAATCGTTCAAAATCGATTGTAGTCGATGCTATAAACGATAACATCTCGATAAGAATTTAATATTAATTCGATCACAATTCGAACATGATTTATATAATATATATATATATATAATTATAATATATATATAATGCGCTTACATATAAGCAACAGTTCGATAACAAAATTATAAAAGTTCGATAACCATTCGATATCCGTTTGGTAAGAATTCGAAATCCGTTCGATATCAATTCGATAACAGTTCGATAACAGCTCGATAACTGTTCGATATAAATTCGATAGAAGTCTGATAGCCGTTCGATATCCGTTTAGTAACAATCCGAACAGTTACATAACAATTCGGTAACAATTCGATAACAGTTCGATAACTGAACGATAACAATCAAGCTACCGTTAAATACAGATAACTGTTCGATAACAATTCGATTATAATTTACCTTCTCATACACACAATAATCGATAACAATCGTTAGTAGTAGTCATAGGTAGTATGAAGTACAGCTTATGGAAATTTAAACGACATCAAGCTAGATATGAGACCTATGGTTGAGTCTAAAGATCTTTAAGTTTGAATCCAAGCTTTCAGTGACTTTCTTAATCCCAAGCCAAATCACTTAATAACTAATATTATGATAAGGATTTTATATGTGAATACTTATCGATTATCGATTATCGATTTCATGTCGCCTACTTACCGTATTCTCGATAGCCGATAGACTTGTATTGGTAGCTGCTTCCGGCTTGCCGCGCCGAAACTGATCCAGGTAGAGGGTCAGTCGCACAATCACCTGCAACACCATTGCGATGAACAGGTTCTTGTGTATTTTGGTGCGATTGTTGCGCAGCGACCGAAACGCGCAGAATATCACCAGAGAGATGATGAGCGCGAGCAGGGACAGGCATAGTCCAATGATCTCCAGTGTCCGTGTCCGCTGTGCTATATCAATGTAGAGCTGCCCAAAGCAAATGCAATTAGAACGCGTCGAGCTGAGCCGCTGTCCAACATGCGCACTTACGTTAACATCCTTGATTTCCTGCATTAGTTTGATGACCTCCGGCTTGTAGCAGGGCCCGTAGTCCGTCCAGCCGGCAGGACTCGGTTCGGTCTCGTTGGGTCGTCCGCCCCAATGGCCATCCAGCTCGCACTTCCGATTCGCGAATTCTGTTTCAAATCAATTAAAATGCCAGCAATTACAATTATGTGTGTCAGGGTGCCCACTCCCTGCTCCCTGCTCCCTGCTCCCTGCTCAGCTCCTTCCTTTGTTTGCAAAGCTCGCCCAAGCAACTAAATAAATAATTTGCAGCTGTCCATCCAAAGACCACAACAAATAGACGGCATTGATATAGTCCATGTTGGGGAGCTAGGGCTTGCCGAACTTGGCTGTTAAGTCAACTATTGAAATTTGTTTTTGCAGTTGGTCATACCCCACCCACAAGGAGTGCAAAGGGTATTTCTGGGACAGTGGCAATTCGTATTAGAAACTGTCGCTTCAATCCAATCACGTTTCATTGTTGTTTTACATTGCTGTTTCACTGCTGACCCTATTAATACCCTGTACTATGTGCGAGTGGGCATGATGAGCTTTGGGTGCCCTTAGCTTTAGCAATGGAAGCCTGCATATAACTGACTTCTCAGGCTTCTTCAAATAGAATCGAGTCAACTTATACGATTTGCTAGGGTATCTGCGAGTCGAGTATCGCTGAGCAAGTCATCTTTGGCGCTCGTCAGCGTCGTCGCTCTTACTGCAATTATGTCAATCGAATCGAACTTTGTGTGTTTCTGTGCTTGAGCCTCGTTGTGTGGCACAGGTGTGCATTGCTGTGATACCTGGGCGACAATCGAGGACAGCTGAAATTATGGCCAGTTGCTCATCAAGCATTGAGCACCTGGCAGTGCTAGCTGCGTAAAAGCTTCAAATTACCCAACTTAAAGCCATGGCAACGAATCGCCATGCTCATTATCATCAAAGGCTTTGACCGACTGTTCAGACGCTCGCCCACACACGCTGCCCCACGCCCCACGCCTCATGCCCCACGTTGGCACTTCCGGCGTAAATTGCGTTTCAGGGCAGAAGTCGAAAAATAGAGTATGCAGTCCGATTCCCTTAGCTGTTGGCCAAGGCTCATCACTGAGCAGCAGCTGGATGCAGGCGACGACTTCTACTCTGACCAGGAGATTCCCGGAATCGGCAATGAAATGAAAACATTTTCCATTTATAGCTATCTGCATATGCTGCAGTGCACTTAAGCCCACGCTTGGTTGAGTCCTCGAAACATTCCAATTAGTCATTTTTCGGAATTGCCTTGAACGCCTTCTGCCACTTGGAGTTGAGCTGCTCAATCGACTCGAAAAGGGCCTTTTGAGTTCATCGAATAGCCGCAAGTTGCAAGTTGCAAGTGGCAAGTTGTACGCAGCTAAATCAGGTGAATGATGCGCTTCAGCAACGAGCTTAACCTGGCCAATTGAGTCACATCCTTTCTACCTTCCTTTCCACCTTCCTCTCTCCCTTCCCTTCACCCTTCCTTTCTTCCTTCCTTTTGTCGGACAGAGCTGTATATAACTATCGCTTCGATAGGTATTATATGTCATATAGCATTCAGACTTGATACTACGTTTCGCCGCGCTCTCTTGTAGACTAAAAATAGACTCTTATTCAGCTATAAATATGGAAGGATTACACGGATGTTGTCGCTCGAAATAACTCAGCAAAGTTGCTGAGAGAAAAGACAGCGCGAGGTAGGCTAAGAGATGGGTTTATATATCTGCTTCACGAATATATAGAGGCAGAGAGTGTTATAGAGACAGAGAGTAACTGTGCATGTTCACACATACACACACATATACATATATACTAGGACAGAAGTACAGCCCAATGGACATCCCGCCTTAGCAGAGTATAGGAGAATCAAGCAAGGAAGGCGTTACAGAACTAGTTTTCTTAAATTACAGAGCAGACCGAGCGACTGTCTATATATAGTGCGACTCAATTAATTTGCAGGTAATTTCGCACAAATCATAGAGTATAGTCAGGTGTGCAGCAGCAGGTGTCGAATGCCCAGAGCTCGGACCCACTGTCTTGGCCCAGTTTAAGCGCTAAATAATTGCCAATGTGTGTAGCTATTAAAGAGGCGAACCCGTTATTAAATTGATATCAGCTCACTATGTTATATACACTAATTAATATATATATAAATTTATTGCATATCTGCAAGTATTTCAGCTGCCTTTGAGCCAAGTCTCAGTTCAGGTTTACGTGACTCCCATTCACTGATGCCTTCGTGCATATCGAAGTAGTTCATTCAGCTCCCGGGCATTTGGCTTTTGGCCTTTGGCTTTTGGCCATGTTCTATATCAAGGTTAGGCGACACCCACGTTCGATTTCATATTTGGGAAATTGGCTAACTAAAATATGATGAGCTATGAAAGTTTAACAAGTCAATTTAGAACTTGGCCTTAGGTAGAATCAATCTTGTTCATTAAGCCTGGTTTGTTAGGCTCAACACATTTAGGTTAGTTCGATCTGGCAAGCCTTCCAAGTCCAAGACTTATCTTATTTACTTACTGCGTGTATCGACGCCATGATAGCCAGCGGGACAGTTCATTCGGGCGAGGACTCCAGCGGGCGTTGGTGGCCAGCAGAGAAGCGAGTCCCAAGTCCAGTTGCAGTAGATGACTAGAGCAAGGATTGAGATGGAGAGTCAGAAAAAGTATGGCGCGAGAGGAGTGTGATAGATGTAAGGCAGAGAGAAGAGATGGACGAGAGAGGAGAGTGCAGAGACAAATGAGATGACAAAATAATGGAGGAGTGAGGAGAGATGAGAGGAGAGAGGAGAGGTGAGATGAGAGAGGAGAAATCAGTGAAGAGTAGGGAAAGAGAAGACGAGAATGGAGTTGAGAAAGAGAGAGGAGAAAAGAGATGAAATAGAGAGAAAAAGATAAAGATATAAGGACAGAGACAGAGAGAAGAAAGGATATAGATAGAGAGGAGAGGCAAGACAAACAGGAGATACAGAGGAGATACAGTAGAGAGAAACGAGTTTAGGGTATTAGAGGAAGAGAGGGAGAGGAAGAGAGGAAGAGAGGAGAGAGGAGAGAGGAGAGAGGAGAGAGGAGAGAGGAGAGAGGAGAGAGGAGAGAGGAGAGAGGAGAGAGGAGAGAGGAGAGAGGAGAGAGGAGGGACAATCGACAATCGAGAGAACTGAGGAGAAAGAGAGAAGGATGGAGAGAAGAGACATAGAGAGAGGATAGGATAGGAGATAGGAAGGGATTGGATGTATGGGGGACAGGTTAGAGAGAAATGAGATAGAAGTGAGAGCTGATTGAGGGAAAGCACAGATGACAAATATTCAGTTTAGCTCAGTTCAGTTCAGCTCAGCTCAGTTCAGTTCAGTTCAGTTCAGTTCAGCTCAGTTCAGCCCGTCGGGACCTTTGGCCTCCCTATACATAAGACGATTAGTATCTCTCTATTCGTATATTATTCCACAGTTAAAACTTAAATAATTTCGATGCTTCAATTTACTATTGTGACTGGTTTTTCTTTGATTGGCCAGGTGGAGGTCCTGGCGTGTTATTGGCAAAAGCAATTGCTGATGGAGCAGGTCTATTGGGTGCCACTGCAGCTGGCACCAGTTCAGCATTGGCTAATCTCGCTGACAGGGCTGTTTCCGATTTCCGTTGCAAGAGGGCGGGGTGCAGGTGGGCTTCGTTGTCGACGCTGAGTGGGCCCGCAGTTGCCGAGAACAAATGCGGCTCCTGGAAGAAATCGCTTTGGCCGCCGGCACTGGCCTCTGCGCTGGCAGAGTGGGACTGCCGCCAAGCGGACAGCTTCTTCCAAAAAAGTTGCCGGCTCTCGTCTGACATTAAGCTCGCCAAGCCGGCGCCTTTCTTCTGCGAGCGTACAGTGATTACGTATCGACCCTTCGCATCGCCTTTAACGGCAATGTTCACAACGAACTTTAGCATTACGAACAATTTGGACACCACAGGCAACAAATTCGCTTCTGGCAATTCAATTGGAGCTCAAAGGTTAAAGGTTTATCACTCAAACAGACAGCTATTTTATAAATTTATGGACACTATTAAAATACAAATAATTTCAGTTCTCATCGAAGCCGCTTTTCGCTCGACTTTCCGGAAAATTTTATTTTCGAAAGAGCCTAGCCTGAAACGAGAGAGAATTGACGAGAATTGACTTCTCAGCCTCAAACATCGCATTTCCCGAGCTCATTTCTTGACAGTCGCGTCGTGGCTTGCTTTTCCTAAGTAAATTTAATTTATCCGATATCTAATGAATTCAGCTAGCCTATCGATAACAACCATATAGCTAGAACTGCCAAGCAGATATCTAACTGATTTCGATAGTCTATTGACTATCGATACCGATAGCCTGAAGATCCGATGAGAAGCATTATGGCATCGATATCAAGGAATGCCTAAAGCTTTACTGATCGATATATTTACGATCTTTGAGTAAATCGATCAATAAGTTATCGATTATTTCGACTGTTCTAAGCATTTCGTCACTTCTGAATAAGCCTCCCGATCAATTACCGACCCCACTGACTACGCTGAGTTTATCGATAGACTCTAAGTCACATCGATATCATCTTGTTTGTCGTGGAATGGAGTGAAGTGCTTGGTGAAGAGTCCGTGAGACTGAATTGAGGAGGATGGGGAAGGACTGAAGAGCGCTCACCTGTCTGAGGCTGTGTGTAATTGGCAAACATTGCTGAGCAGTTGTCATAGTTGTTGGCCGAGGCTGAGTTGAAGGACGAGTTCCATGCTGGGATGCTGGTGCTAGATGCGGTTGTGAGTCCGGATTCTGTTGCCGCCTTAATTGTGTCCATGCCGACCGCTGTGGTTGCCTCAATGCTCGTACTTAACACACGAGTCGGGCTCAGGTCCGTTGCTGTCGCTGTTGCTGCTGTGGTTATCGCTGTGGTTGTCATGGCGGTGCTATTTTCCATGCTCGGTAATCGAACGTCGCCGCCCAGGGGCGATTCCGCCTCCACTATGGAAATGAGTCGAGCTTTGCTCGTTGTTGCAGCGGTTACGGCCGCCTTGCGAGCGATTCCTTGCGAGAAGCTGTTGCTGCTTGTAGTTGTGGTTCTGATGGTGGGCATGCTGCCAGCCTCGTTATCGCCAGCCAGTTGCATTATTTATCCTCAAATGGCCAAGCTGCGGGCCGAGTGGGACGAGGGAGAGGGAGACAGAGAGGGGAGAAAATTTCAATTATTAAAGCTTTTGCTGATAGAGACTAAATAAATTATTGATTATATCCAGATAGAATGTAGCTTAAAGGAGAGACTGCTAAAGGGAAAGTAAGACGGAGAACGAGAAAGAGAAAGAGAGAGGAGAGGAAGGGAAAGAAAGAGAATGGAAAAGTAGAAATAAAGTGAGCAGGAGAGAGATAGTTAGAGATAATAAGAGCGATTTAAAGGAGATGGAAAATGAAATTGCGAGAATGAAAGATAGAGAGAGAGAGAGAGAGGGAGAGAGAGAGAGGGAGGGAGAGAGAGCTTTGGATATATAGAGAGAGACTTAGATTTATATATATATATATAGAGAGACAAAGGGGAAAGATAGAGGAGAGGAATGGAGAGACAAAGAATGGAAAAGTATACTTAAAGAGAGATAGAACGAAACATTGCTAGAGAGAGGAGAGGGCAGATAGATGAAGATGGGAAAAGAAATTGAAAAAAGGAGAGAAAGAGAGAGAAATGAAAAAAAAGGGAGAGAGAGAAAGGGAAAGTGAGAAAGGGAAACACAAAGAGAGAGAGACAGAGAGATAGAGAGAGGCAGAGAGAAGAAGCGGGAGCTAAAGCGAATGGAAAAGTAGAGATAAATAAAGAGAGAGAGAGAGAGAAGGAGAGATTCAGTAGGTAGAAATAGCCTCAGAAAATAGATGGAAGATGAAAAGAGAAATTGAGGAAAAGAGATAGAGAGAGAGAGAGATAGTTGGAGCGAAAGAGAACGAAATACAGAGAGAGTGAGGATGAAAGAACTTGTAGGATAAATGTGAATCGAGCTGGAGTTCGATTAAGCTAGTCCAGTAAACGAGCCCTATGTTAGTCAACCAATGGAAATGATTTCGATCTGGAATTTGCTCAAGGTTGACTGGCAGCCGTCCTCGCCTGAGCCGAGACGTGGTTCAGTTGATTAGACTAAGCCAGCTTAAGACATGACGTCAATTGGACACATTCTGGCACAGGAGGAGTCCAGCTGGCCTCGGCTCTCTGTCTAGAATTAGCTGGCAGTTCTCTTGTTGCATTGCGTTTTAATTAAGGCTTTCTGCCAAGCAGCGCATTCAGCTGAATGCACTCAATAAAAACAGCTACGTATTGTGTGCGCGATATGTTCTTATTCATAGATCTGGTATTGTTTGCACTTGGCTCAGCAGTGGCAGCACTGGGGCAGTCTATTATTATTGTGTACTGCTTATTGTTTATTGTTTATTGCTTGCTGCTTGTTGCTTGTTGCTTGTTGTTTATTATTTATAAATAAATTACTTGGGAATGCAGTCGCTGGCGTTATTTGCCGATGTCTTCCATTTCTATTTATGTCTGGCTGCAACGCACTGCGAACGGCTAATTGAATTCCTGATTGTACTTTCCTCAATATTCCCGAGAAACGCCAGCTAACGGTGTTTCGATTGAGCTCGACAAATGTGTCACGTTCAGCGCTCACCTGTGTCTGCCTCACCTGCGTCCGTAGCAGGCAACGTGCCACTGAGCGCCAAGTGCCTTATCTAATTCCTATTAGACTTTCAACTCAACTCAATCAATCAATCATCATGATTGATTGCTTCCTTTAAGTGTCAGAAAATGTCAATTATAAAGGCTTAGCTCCACGAGTTCAAGCCGATTATCGCAACTATCACTCATCAAATACCTCCTAACCTATCACAAATATATATATGAGTTGTATCTGTTGGCTCAGCGTCTTACAATTGATAGAGATTGGTATTATCCTATGCTGGAAAATACCCTCAAAAATCATCAACTGACTAACGATATAGAGAAAGGACCAGGGAAGCTGAGTCAGCCAGAACACAGAAAGAGAGACAACAAAATAGAGAGTTGGAGAAAAAGAGAGCTAGAGAAATGGACAGCTTTTTGGATATGTTCGCATAGAGAGAGTTAGAGAACAGAGAGAGGAAACACAGAGAGATAGGAAGCCAGAGAGACATACACTAAAAGATAAGGACAACGAGAGAAAGATACTAAAAAGATAGAGATATAGGGAGACAAAGGGACAGATCACGGAGAAAGAGAGATAAAGACACTCAGAGATAGAGAGAGAAAAATATAGAGATGCAGAGAGACAGACATGGAGATGGATCGATGCAGAGATAGACGTAGAGAGATAGAGAGGTAGAGAGAATAGAGAGATGGAGACATTGAGACAAAAAGCTAAAGATACAGATCGATACAGAGATAGGGACAGAGAAATAGGGAGGTAGAGATAAGGAGATACGATAGATAGGTAGAGGCATAGAGAGGTAGAGAGGGAGCAGAGAGAGATGGAGACATTGAGAAAGCTAAAGATACTAAGAGATAGACAGATGGAGATAGATCGATACAGAGATAGACGCAAAGAGCTGGAGAGATATAAATACAGTGACATAGGCACAGACAGAGTGACAATAGAGATGCAGAAATGTGGAGACAAAGCGAAATGGAGACTAAGAGACAAGAAAATATAGTGAAAGAGAGGCAGATAGACAAAGAAGAGAGCAAGGCAGGGAGACGACTTCAGCTGAAGGCAGATAAATGCAGCAACAGAGGCGCTGAGATAGACGCATCACTGCTCAGCTTGGCTTAAATTGGTGTCAATGCCTTGACGAAACGGGACTACCCCTTTTTAATGCTACGTAGGGTATACTCATAGAAATAATTATCTTTAGCTATCAAGCGAAGACTAAATAACTCAAAACTCGCAATATGTGCTCGAATAACTAACATAATGTGTATGTATATATATGTATATGTATATGTATGTATGTGTATATGTGTATATGTGTATATATGTATTCGTGTATATAAAAGTTAATCGCTCAACTCGTTGCCTGAATAGAGCGGATATGAGACTCGCTCTGTCGCAGCTGCCAAGTGACCCAAATCGAGGCTGGCTGATGGCTGATGGCTGCTGGCTGCTGTCTGCCGTCTGCTGCCTGTTGGCTGGGCTTTGCACCTGCCCAGGTGCAGACACAGCATGCGCCTTGACTGAGCGTGTCGCATTACTCTCTGTTGACTGGAGTGACATTCGCGCTTACCTGCACAGCTGAAGGCAGCTCATAGGCCGCTAATTGATAATTCCCACGAAAGACCCATTTAATAATCAAAGCTATTTGTAGCAGCTTGGCTCTCGCTCACTCTCTCTCTCTCTCTCTCTCCCTCTCTGTCTCTCTCTAACTGTGCTCATCTGTCTTGGTTTATGTAAGTGTGTGGCATGTTGCATTGAGACCGAGTGGTTGGGTGGTGTCTCGCTGGTTATGAAAGTAACATACGCTGTGACAACTTACAAAATTGAAATTCTTATGAAATTATATAAAATACATCAGCTCAAAGGCATTTCGAGCGGGCGGGCAACCAGGCCAACAACACCCACAACAATTTCCCATGCACACATACATATCTGTGCGTCTCTCTCTGTCTCTGTGTGTGAATTGTTCGAGACCATAAAGCAAAAGCTGAGTTTAACTTGTAGCTTAGCTAGTGCAGCTAGATGATATGAAACCTTGCCAAGTTTTAAACTAAAATCCATAAGCTAAAAACTTGTGCCAGCTGCGAGGCTGTGGCTTTGCGGCGCGACCCGGCCCGGTCCGGCACCACACAGCACCGCAGCAGGGTATTTGTTAGTCGTTTACTTTTTGCTGTGTTTTTTCTTTTTGTTTTTATTTTTATTTTTCTTGTGTGTGCACAAGCATGGCTGGCGGCATGTTTACGCAAGCATGCTTGTGCTTGCATACCTGACCACCCAAAATGCGAATGAGGTCGACGTTTTATTGCCGAGCAAAGTGAGCCTGGACTCAACTACCAATCAGCTGTGTGTGTGCGTGTGTTTGCTCTTGGTCAATAAAGAGTCGCAAAGTGAGCAACACTTGACAGCTACGACGCGTCGTATGCGTAATATTTCATAGATCTCTTGCCTGTTTAACCAATTGCTTTAGCATTGCACAAGCGTGAGTGCTTTAGGCCGTAGATGTATGTGTTAGGGCAGTTTAGAAAAATCCGACAGCATCTAGGTATGTAATATATACAGCCTGGCTGCACCCTGTCGTATGCGTAATATTGAATAGAACTCGAGTCTAAATGAATTAAATAACTGTTTTTGCAGTTGCCCAATAAAATAATCAAGAGTAAAAGTGTATTTAGAAGTAGATATGTATATATAGGTACGTATACAGGTATATATATACATATATTTATATATGTTCATCCGATAGCAATCGACACTAAAAGTTCATAAATTTAGCTTTGTGTTTTTTATTGTTTTGCACAAATTTGGATAGGAAATGGAATAAATCTATATATATCTGGCCTATATAATTCCTATAGCTTAAGCTAGATCCCATTTGTTAAAGTTTAATTGCCGCAGAATGCGAAATGCGATGGCTCATTGGTAATACTGTTAGCAATTTATGCAAGGCTAAGCGTGATTATTAAAAAGTGGGCTAACGAGTAAGAGGGGCGTGTCTGCTGTTTGCTCATTAACAAGGGCATTTGGGCGGGCGAGTTGACTGCAGTTGTTTCACAGACACATACACACACACACACATATATATATATATATATATGTATGTGCCGTAGCATAGCTTTGGGGCCTGCGCGACCTTAAAAACTTTCGCGCGATTTGACAATGGGGATGTGGCTGTGATGAGATTCGCAACTGCTTTGAATTGTGCGCTGAAACGAGTGGCCGAGGGGCAAACGAGTCGCTATGTAGACTAGGGTAAGTTGATGTGGCTCTCAAACTAGTTGAGGCAACGTTCGGCTTGGCTTCTGCAAAGCAAGTTGCGAGTCGCACGGAGCACAAAGGGCTGTCCTCTCTGCTGGCTTTACTCTTATCAAACAGGCTATTTAAAGCGAACATGTCTTGAAAAACTATGTTAGCAATTAAACTTCTACAAATTTATTATGTAAAGACTAAGTTTCTATAGCAATGCAGCTTATCAA